TAGCATGCTAACTTTGTTTGGGCTCCTGAACGACACGGGGGAGGAGCGTCGGCCTCACAACCAATCAGCACTAAGGAGCAGCGTGTGCCTCACAACCAATCAGGTTGGGGGAGGCAGAGAATGGCTTTGTTTACAGTCAGAAAGAGCGGACCACTCAAAAAATTTAAAATGTTGACTACACAGACATAACAGAACACAGCGATATCGTTATTAAACCAAATGTAATCAATGACTTATAACTATTGACTGATATTATAAACTTTTTTTTTATATACACCACAAAAAAAGATGCTTTTTAACAGATTCCTGCCTACCCCACCTTTAATTCTTTCTGCTGCCCTTGATTTTCATTAAAATGCTTTGTGTCTTGTAGTTTCAGAAACCCAGAAAACTGGAGGTCATTGTGTTATTGTAGTATTGTGAAGAGCTAACCTAAACACCTGGACAAATTCAATCTCATTTCTATCGAAGAGGTTGTCGTCTCTTAAAAATAAAGACGATTTTAACAGCAAAACAAAAGAAATATTTGAAGTTTTGATCTTTCATGCAAATCTTCAGAAAGCTTAATAACACTGAAGTTTCAAGATTTAGTATCTGAAGACTCGATTCAAAGTGAGCAGTCACTTTTTTTTTTGGCCAAAGTTATCAAGGATACAAAATGCTAATGCATTTCTTCAGTTACCATCTGAGATCATTTGCGTAATTTAACATTTGGGTGATCGCAGCTGTGATGTACAAAACATCAGAACAAACCATCTTGGTGTTATGACAGAAGTATATTTAGCTGTCTCCTCCGTCTGACGGCAGGCCAAGCCCCTTTTGGAAGAAACTGAATCACACTGTTATAAAATCAACACATTTGTAGCCTGTAAGTTCACATAAAAATACATCCAAGCTGGTATTTAGCATCATCTTTGAGTAATCCGTGCTCTCATGGTGCACAGTTTGCTGTCTGCAGCACACAGTGTCTTGGCATCCGTTCCTAAATATGACTGACATCTGACCAGGGATTATCCCATTGCCCCACTTTCACTGGGACTGGTGATGAGCAGAGAGAGCTGCAACAAAAACATGCGACACAAGCTACACTAGGATGGATCTCTGTGTCGATGTGTTTGTGTCTGGCTGTTCACACATATTCACATCCGTCTGTGTGAGCACACTCCTGCCTTCAGTTATTGTGTGTCTAGAGATTAAAGGTAGTTAGAATAACAAAGCAGGCATGACAAATGAAGTGCACAGCCATGACCTAATGAGTGTTATCTCTGAAATAGGAATAACAAGCCAGGACAAGCACTCTGTGGAGAAATATTTCTGCTTTGTGCAGACAGACAGATAATTATGCTTTGCAGCCACTCCCTGAGAGAGAGGCACGACTTACATCCCTCGACCCAGACATTTTTTCTAAATAATTGAACTGTGCTCACTATTTTGAATTTTAAATGCACCGAACTCAGCAGGAGCACCCCAGCAGCGGTAAAGGTCTGTGGACCGAACTGACATTCTCTTAAATGCATGAGTGGGAGAAACTAGGCTGGAAACAGCACACACTCAGGGACACCCACACACACCAACACACACACACACTTTAATGCATTAACATTTCAACATTCATATGCCGATTTATTTTAACAAACTACTCTGGCATTTCAGCGGAGGGCTTTTAAGCACAGGAGATATGCCATACAGCCATCAGTGGGATCGCTATGCCGGCTTGTAATTGATGTTTTTAATGTCTTCTGAAAAACAGAATGTTCTTTTTCAGATCAGGTTTTTTTTTTCGTCTTTATTGAGAGGATGGGGAACTGAAGAGAGAGAGGACATAACATGCAGTTTAAGACCAGAGATATGCAAGATATGCGAGATATCTGACCACCAGGGTAAGCTAATGCCCCTGAGATGAGTTGATATTGAAATTTTAATGGCATTGTAATGTTAATCTTTTTATTATTTAACACTCAATAAGAAATTTTAAGTTTGTGTCAACTTCGGCGCCCCTTGTGGTCAAAGAAGTCTTTGCTTATCCTGCCTTTTACATTCTTTAGTGTATTTTGACTAAAAAGAAATTATTCAGCTGACTTTTGAAACTCTAATGTCTCATTTACAGTGAATAAAATGTAAAAACAGGGCTGTTTCTACAGCTGGTTAACTAACACCTCCCTTCTCGCAGTTGTCTCCCAGGCTGTGGCTCACAGGATGCCATATCACAGACACTACGCAGGCCAGACTCTGAGAAGTAGAGAGGACGAACATAAAACAAGCGTGTGTGTTATCAGATTGCGATACTCGTAAGAAAGCTAATTATGATGTTACCTTTCATCATGTCCCCAAAGACATTAGGTGTCCAAGAGCTGAATAGCTGCTATGTTACCTGCCACTTCTACTACACTGACTATGTTAGACTACATTTACACGTGCCCGGCTATTTTTATAAACTGACATTTCACCCTCTCTGTTTCCCGGAAAAACTGCGTGCACACCACTACGTTTCAGAAAAGTTTTTGTTTACACTAACCCGTGTATATATGCTGTCAAGAGCATGCCAAACCTGTAGGTGGCGGTGTAACAAGAAGCTCAAGCCCAAGTTAGCCAATCAGAATCCTGCATTGCAGCAAGAACAACAACGTCACTTCCTTCTTTTTGAAAAGTTGCTAAGTCAAACAAATACAAAGTGATTGCACCAGCATAAGTGCGACTGCTATTTTATATGCATCCATGATCACCATAGATTGTAAACACAGACAGTAGGTTGTAAAAAATGTCACATTTAACCCAGTTTCTCGTGCACAATCTGTCGTCTGCTACCTAAATATCCGTTTACCTCCATTTTTCTATGTTTAAGTGCAACCGTGTGAATGGAGTTTTCCAAAATCTCTACTCTGGCCAGAGTTTCTAAAAAGCTTCATTTTCAGGGGCAAATTCTCCGTTTGCGTCTAAACTTGCGCCTTAGGCTGCAAGCTAGCGTGAAGAGGAGTGTGCAGAGCAGCGCTGTCTCCGCCCATGACTCAGAGGTGACTTGCTAATGATCTACTCGAGGTCTGCAGAAGAAAAGCTCTTAAAATGACACAGGTGACTTGATTTTGGCTAAAACTTCATAATCACATTTTAAAAACCACTGAGAACACTTTAAGTAGTAAAAAATGATCGGAGTGGGACTTTAAAAAGTGAGAAACGAGGCTGTAAAATGTCAAGTCATGTACATCTGCACAGTGTAATTTTTGTGAATCATAAACCAGCTGAAGCTATTAGCTGCTAGCTGTGTGTCTGGCTAAATCGACTTAGCCTGTTATTACATAAAAAATGCTCTAAAAATACACACTGTTGCGTTCCTGCCAGCTGTAATACTTTCTAAACGCTGTGAGTGCTCATTTTAACAGATTACATTTATGTAATGGTGTTACTCCAAACACTATGGATGTGTCACTCACCTGTTAGACAACACCTGAGCCAGTCTGGTCTGTGATTGGTGATTAGCTCTTGTTGGAATGACGATCAGACTATCACTCGCTGCCCTGGCATGATGCCCATTCGCACTAATAGCCGTGTTAAATGAGAAAGTAGATAGATTTCTGCCCTGTCAGCTGTCTGCTTGTCTGCGTCATTCTTGTAACCTGTCTGCGCTCTGATCTCTGTCAGTTTTCTAAAAGCATCTGTTGGTTTGTCGTGAGAACTGGTCTCATCTGTGTGGGGTACCTTAAAACCGCTTACCTACCCAGGTTAAAACAGAAACAGAAACTTTGCAGGAGGATATGCCAGCTGGTGCCTCAGTGTATTTCAGCATGGAAAGGTCTCTTACTGTCATTTTAATATTTAATCCAGTGAATATCTTACATACTGCTCCTTTAATTGTTTGGAGGAGAGAAGGATTGAGGACAGAGGAGTCTTTTGGATGAACTCAGAGCAAATCTAATCAAACCTGCTGTTGTACATGTCTCGATTATCTCTATAAAACTCTTCATCACTGCTTCCTCACCATTTACCTGAGTCATCTCCCCCTCTTCTTATTCCACCCTGGGTCTGTCCTCCTCCTCCTCCTCCTCTTCCTCCTCTTACTCTGCTTTCCTCTCCTCTTCTTCTTTCTGTTTTCCACCTCCACACCTCCAAGGGATGACTGCTGAGAAGCAGCCTTTCTCTCACAGCAGGGGAGGCAGCTGAGGGTAGAGATGGAGGTGTGGATCACAGATTACACAGATGGCCGTACTGCATGTGTGCACATGTTTGAGCACATGTGAATTTTTCGTGTGTGTGTGCGGTTGTTACAGGAAGTTGAAGAAAATACACAAGGAAACACTATATTTGGCATTTAAAAATTAGAAATTCTGTTTGTTTCAAAGATTTTTCAACGAATATTGATGTAAACCTTCATAACATGAACCTTTGCATTAATGAACTCATTCAGTGGCAGGTTCATTTGTCAAATTTTCACCCAGTGCCACCATTGACCACAATAGAAATTTCTGTATCTTTCAGGATCCACAGAATATCTTGTGCTTAGACTAGAATGAAGTGCAATATTTTAAAAGGAAGGGGTGATTCTCTTCTTTCACCAGAAAAAAAAAATTGTCTCTAACCCACTCCTGTGTTTAGTTATAGCCTGCTCAATACAGCACGGTCATTTCCGATCTGGAAAAAGAAACATTTTTACGAAGGAGAGACTTTCAAGTAAGCTCTGATCGTCTATTTCATTTCACTTCAAACTACTTTACCGGTGGCATCAAGGTCCTCCCTCCTCGGACACTACTCCTCATCGCTCTCAAGATCCGATTGTGATAGGTCACCATGAAATGGCTGGGAGTCGTATTGGCTCTCGAGAACCTGATGCCGCGACATAAACCACACAAACTGCTCGTGTCCCCTTGGCAGTCGCTAAATTCCAGCTCAGTTTCACTCACCAGTACCAGCACTGGTGGACAACGACACGCCGGAAAATTGCTGACAATGTGAAGGTCCGGTACGGGGATCTTCACTGGATCCAGAGATGATAGCACCTCAACCACGGGAGCCAATTCGCCGAGACCGTTAGCTCTTGGCTAATGACTTCAGCATTTTCCTACTGTCCTAATAGAGGAAAGACCACTCCAGAACTAGGCTAACTGGCACACTTGATGGCACACTTCTCACTGGCAAGTTCTTGTTTTTGTTATTGTAACATGGTTATGACGTATTTGACGGCTTTCTGCCTTCAGAACGACCCCAAACTTAGTCGCATGTTGGGCAGGAGTGCCCTCTGGCGGAATACTAAAAAACTAAAAAAATCAGTCCAGATCCATCATCGACACTGAATGAGTTAATGAAGGACTCAGGAGTCAGAGGGCTCTGTTGTAGTCAGCTGACAGACTGCTGATTGAAGTATTGTCTTTAACACCAATCACAGCTTTTTGTTCACAACAAGGCTCTTCACTTAAACACTGATCCCTGCCTCACCAAACGCAGCCCACACTCTGCTGATGCTGGCAAAACTCTGCCTCCTCCTTGTCTCTGAGCTAAAAGATTGCTTGCACCCTTGCAGAAGATTTTACTACACCCGCCCCAGAAAGCCAATACTTGTTGCTTGGCAAGCCCTTTAAAAGCAGAGCCGTTAGTGCCAAGCATAAATGTATAACCATTTGGCAATAAATGAAAATCTGTGACAAGAATATCCCTGACTGCATTAGCTAAATGAATGTAAATGAAGAAAGTCTCTGTACGAAATCATGCAGATTAGAAAGATGTCGTTTTATGAAGCTGTCTCATGGAGAGAAGTTGAGCTGGTCCACATTTTCCTTTATTTGTATGTCTCTGTTTTCGTCATTGAAGACAGCCAGCTTTAAGTCAACATGAGGATCTGAAGAGAAAACTGTGTCTAACTGTATCTGTTCTAAAGTGGATACAAATATCACCTCCAAAACACTGAATTCTGCTGACTCTTTGGCAGTGCTGATTCTAGAGTGTTCTGAGGCCCTAAGTAAAAATTCTCAAGGGGCCCCTCTGACAAGTGTTAAACATAGAAATGATCTGAAACCAACAAAACAGGTCAGAAACAGAAACTTTTAAAAACAATTAGCATTATTACCACATAACTTGAAAATGTTGCTCTAAAACAGCTACAGCTCTGGATTTTTTTTTACCACAACAGCACCTCACCTTTGTTTTAAGATCTAATGTCTGAGATTTACAATCTTTGTGCTGATTAGTTATCGCAGAAAGCACACTGTCTAAATTATCCGCTCAAGTTGAGACAGTGTTTTAGCTCCCTCCCAAGCGCAGATCATTCATGCCGCCAGAGTAGTAGGAGTGTCTAATCGCGTCTTTTCATTGACTTATCATGTAATTATTTCGCATGAATGATTTAACTCGCGCTTACTGTGTGGAGACTGTATTCCAGTTTGGCTAATTGAGACATAATTTAAATCAATAGCGTTTCAATTAACAGTGAACAACCGTCCATTTTCATGCATCACCCGGCAACCTTCTTGCTGATTTGTTATCGTGACGTGAATATCCACTCAAGTTGAGACTTTTTCAGCTCCCACCCTGGTGTTTTGGTAAGCGGTGAAATTTCAGTATTGAACCTTACTAGCGCACTTTCTCTCTGTTGGCTAACCTCGCAAGAAAGTGCGATTGTGTGAACACAGGCTAACAGCGACTCACGAAGCGCAAACCCCAGGCTAACGTCCCCCACTCCACTAACATGGCTAACTGATCACCAAACAATAACAGCCTTAAACCTAATGCTAGCTAACGCAATATGCTCCACTTACCATCGTCTTGCTTTCTCGTTATTTCTTTCTCTTTACTTCTCTTTCTTTTCTCACTCCCTGATAAGTTGCTCCACTTCACGGCCAATTTCGATGTTACTTTGATTGACACACGTAAGTAAAGATGGGCATAGGTCACGTAGCAGTGCGACAGAGATGACATGGGGCCCCTTACAGGGGGTATCCATGTAAAATGTAATTGCAATTTGATCACTAGTTGTTGAATGGGGTTGCAATATTTCAGGACATTTTCATGGAGTGAGGTTCGTCAGCCCTTGGGGGCCCCCTTGTGGCCTGGGGCCCCAAGCAACTGCCTGCCTTGCCTGTTGACAAGCTCCGACTCTGATTGTTGGATGAACGTACACAGCTGCGCATTTCCTCATGTCGGGCTTGATTTCCCTCTGTGCCAATCACGACAGGACTTTTCTTCTCTTCCACTTCTTACTCTCTTTCTCTTGTTTTACCCGAAATGCCCCTCTCTGCTTCAGGAAAACACCAACGACCTGTCTGCAACAATCAGTCCTCATTCACGTCAATACCTAATATCCTGCACTGGCAGGAATTCAGCATGAATTATTGCACTGGAAGCTATTTGCCATCATAATTAGAGTGCTGGAGAGAGGATTAAGCCACAGTTCATCCCATATCTGATTGCCAATTGTCCCTCGGAAGTAATCAGGGCCATAAGGTCTTTTAAAATGAATGGTGCAATAAGCTTGGTGAAGATTGTAAGCTGCAGCAGGGAGAAATGGATCTGAAACCCAGCAGCTCTGTTTATGCCGAGGAGATGCAAAGATCATAAAAGCTGCACCCTAAGATGTTGTAGAAGAGTCGATTTTTCTGGGACTGTCGGTATCATGATAAAAACTCGAGGGGAAAGTGTCTTTAGTTTAGCCGACTCTTATTTCAAAGGCATACCTTCCTTTTTAGTTTCTGACCTTTGTTGGTGTTTGAAGCAAAAAGACGACCACTTATCGTCCATGTGACGCCACCAGCTGCTTCTCTGCACCTGACCCCTCTATTCACAACATGTCAGCATTGTGTTAGCATTGTGTAAGCACTGCATAAGCAACCATCTGTCCAGTTCTGATTATGAGTCAGTTCTGTTATTTATTCACCTGAGAGTTAAAAAAAAAAAAGAAACTCCTAACATCAGGAGGATGTCTTTTATGATCAGCTGTCAGCATTTAAATATCCGTTAAGAGAGCAACTCAACTTTAATGAGTTTTTCAACAGCGCTCAATAGTTCCTAAGAGCCGTTACGTTGGCAGTACTACAGCTCTGCCAGCTCCACCAAAGGTTTTAATGTTCACAGAGGTCTGTTTTGCAGAAGTTGGATTCTTGATAAAACTAGAGCGCACAATCAAACAATTATTCCACAGCGCAGGGATCTGTCAGCTGATACTTGTTTTTACAGTTCTATGAAATTCCCCTTAGCAATTAAAGGTGTAGATATGGGAATACCCAGTTTTGCCAATCTACAGAGTTTGTCGCTAGATTTAGCGACTTTTCAGACCCCCCTAGCGATTTTATTCAAAAAAGAACCTAGCGACAAATCTAGCGACCTTTTCTGGAGTTTAGAGACTCTGACACAAAAGCAGGTATCGACCACAGACTGTATATAGAATGGACGCCGTCTGCCTCCTCGCTTGATAAAGCCACCACAAGAACAGCACCCTCTGGTGACGGGCTGCAGTATAGGTCATAAATTCCGCCTCCTCCAGCAATCCCTATGGAGCTGTGGACAAACTTAAGAAATTTATTACACAGAATATAAATGTTTCTCCCCCCTGGTTGCGATGTTGACATGTAGTTACAGTAAGATGGTTTGTGCTCAAGTTCAACTTTTTTTGTGCAGCTCCATTTTCAAAAGTTATTAGTTATTAATTTTTGCACCCCACATAATTATTTTTTTCTGTAATAAGTTAACTTCCTGGAAACATTTTTACACTTATTTATCCTGCCAATATGAAACATTTTGTATCTTTTCCTGTCTTCTTTCTCTCTCCATGTGTTTCACTCCCTCAGTCTTGAAAAACACAGCCGATGCCAATAGATTCAGTAAAACATAAGCCTTAAGCAAAGAAAGACTCACTAATTCGCAGTAAAAACACAGAGAACTTCCCTGCCAATCACTGATGATTGATGGATACTCAGTACAAACACAGGCACTAGGTGCTCATCATCATGCAGCACTGGAAAGATCTGTGCATGGACAGCAGAGTACATATCTGCTGCATCAGGTTCCAGAACATTTGAATTATACAATGTGCTCTATAAGCAGTCATCATCACTGTCACTCACACAGCACTGCCTAAAGGCCACATTAGGCACTGCGTGAGCGCTGAAGAGACACAGCGGTAAGCAGGACTGACAGACACTCTCAGCACAGGTCACAGCTTGTTTTATTTTGAATCCGAACCAAGAGAAGAGAGGAACAAGGATGCACACTAATAAATTACATCGAGTATCGCTACATATCAACTAACATCACGACATCTCATAAAAGCACTCTTGACAACAGATTCAACATTGCAAATTGAAAAATAACATTAGAGGGGAGAAAACTGGCTGCAGTTGAAGCCCATCAATGAACAGATTAAAACACAGCTAAAAAAAAAAAAAAAAACTGTTTTGGCAAGACACCGTCTTATGCAGGGTTTTTCCTTTTCCATCTGCAGATCTGCTATTTTGTTTTTAATGGAGCTACAGGACTGGCAGCTGAAGCAATATGAACATAAAGTGTATGTCTGTTAAAAAAAAACAAATAAGAAAGAAGAAAAATCTAGTAAAAGCTACTACAATGCATACAGACACAAAAAACTAGCTTGGACGCACAGTTGTATATACAGCTTAGGGTCACTGGGGGGGTTTCCAAGATGTAAAATGTATAGCACAGCACATTGAAATGTCATCATATGAGAGCTATCAAACAGCCATGATGGAAAAACTCATTCAATCAACTCAGGATGTGGAAGTTTTCTCGCACAGTAAAGGTGAGATCTGGTGATAAAAAAAGATGTGTTCCTGCAGTAGCAGGTCGTCTATTTTCTTTGGAGTATGAAGTGGGAGAAATGTATGTGTGTGTGTGAGTGTGTGTGTGAGTGTGTGATATTTGACTGAGGTGCCTGAGGTTATGCAGTTTTAAATGGATATACAGTCACTTCAGTTTACACGCTTAAAAAAGAAACTCCAAACTCCACATGATCTCACAAGAATGAATTTCATCGTCTTTGTACAGATGAGTAGATAGTCACATAAAAACTGTCAATACATTACAGTTCAAAAATATGTTTAGCATGACAGTCAATGGATAATAAATTAGAGAGAGAGAGAGAGAGAGATGGTAGCAAGAGCGCAGACTGTGTGTATGTGTATGTGTGTGTGTGTGTGTGCGTGTGTGTGTGTGTGTGTGTGTGTGTGTGTGTCAGCAGACAATGAGAGTAACAAGAGCTAAGGTTCGATGGGAAATGCCCTTTTCTAAGACAATGAGCACTAGAATGAGCCGTCGATGTAAATCAGAAAACCGAGCGTGTGCTTGGTGTTGTTTTATGTCTGCATGCATGCTTTCACTGAATATCTTCATACATAAGGACGGTTTGTATGTGTCTATTTTTCTACCTTTTTTACCTACATATTTACGTCTGCCTCTGAATTCGCCTGTGTCTTTGATCGTAACGTCTGCATGTGTCGGTTTGGGTTTTTAACTGCTCAGCTAACTCAGTGACCCTCGCCGCTCGGGGGTTTGGTGTCGTGCTGCTGCCCCCCTGCTCCTCCGGGCAGCCAGGGGGAGACAGAGTGCGAGGTGGTCTGCTTGGCCATGCTGTAGTGACTGATCACTGTGTAGAAACGTCCCCGTGAGTTGGCGTCCTGGGCAGCGTAGTACGCCTCGAGAGAAGCAGGGATACAACGCTTGTGCTGTAGAGGGGAGAAAGAAAATAGTTAAAACTTCTACGGATAAATAAATAAGAGTAAGAGATGAAATTTATGGTTGGTTAATGGAATCCAAATTAATTAATGAACATGAAACAAAACTGCTTTTTGACTTTTTAAAGAACAGAAGTGGGGAAGAAGGCTTTTAGATTTTCCCCCCCAAGAACATGGAGTTCCTCTCAGTCAGTGCTCAGACTCCACAGTCTGGTATTGCACTTGTTTAACTTGAGTGAAATATTGTATTTTAACAAATCTTGTTATTGCAATTGTTATTTGTATCGTACAACGCAGTATTAGGGCCACATTCGGAAACAAAAAATGAAGACTTTGAGATTTAGGTCATTACTTACGAGAACAAAGTGGTAGGAAAATCATTACTTAGGAGAATAAAGCTGTAATAAGATCATTACTGACAAAAATTAAGTCGTAAAGTAAATGAAGTCTTAAAGCTGCTTTTGTGGAGGAGGAAATGTCTGGAACTGGTCGACTGCAGAGTTATCAGTGGGTGCATCAGTGGGCCATTCAGAGGGATTTTGTGGTTTCTCAAGAAACAATCCAACTGATGATCAACAATTGCGATTCGGAGGGAGTCGAGCTCCGACGAGCACTGCGTCTGTCTCTGATGCCGACACAACACCGGCAGCAACCTCCACCTGCAGAGGCACCAACACCTTATGGCAAATAGATTCATATGATAAACTAAAACCATGTGCTATTGCTATATCTATAAACGGCTGCATTGAGGGATTAAGCCTCTGCACAGTCATTTCCAGCCATTTCCCCCTCCTCAAAAACAGCGATTCTCTACAAGTCCGCCTGGTTCTTTCTGCGGAAAAGATGCATTTCTTTCATATGTCCCGATACTTCTGACAATGTGATGCAGAAACGTCAAGGATTCATCTCCTTGTTTGTGAAACCAGCTACTGTAGTTGAATTCATCTAAATGCTCCACAGCGCTCATTGAAACAACTAACAACAGGTCAGAATAGCAATTAGCTACGACTTTATTCTTGTACCAATTAATTACGACTTTATTCTCACAAGAAATTACTTTTTTACGACTTTATTCTCCTAAGTAATTTCAAAGTCTAAAATGTTTTTTTTTTCTTAAGGTGGCCCTAATACTCCGTCGTAGTATCGTGATTAATTGTGTTTAATATAATTTTATGAACATTTTTTATGGGCTGTCATTCTTGGCCAGGTTGCTCTTGCAATAGAGATCTTGGATCTCAATGAGACTAACCTGGTTAAATAGAGGTTATAATAATTATAACGAGCAGGCTCAGGCTGTTTATGATGGGGTATCCAGACATTCCTGATTTCCAGGGACAGTCCCTGTTTTCGATGACCTGTCTAAGGCTAAAGCTGTCCCTGAAAATGTCCCGAATTTTGGAGTTTTGTGAATGAGATAAAAATGTTGCATGTAGACTAGAAAAAGGGTTATTATGTTAGCCGGGCAGGTAGGAAGGAAATAGAAAATCAAATTAGACCCCAGATTTCATTACAGAAGTCTGGTCACCTTAGTTTAAGAGGTACTGGCATATAAACTGGAAAAGGCACAGACTGCATGTGCACAGAGTTGAGCTGATTTATATGTAGACATATACTGATGTAGAGATTTACATAAATATAGGTGTACAACACGGAGGGGAATGGTGGCGTTGCATACATACATACATATATATATATGTGTGTGTGTGTGTGTGCCCTTTTCCTGATAAGCTCTTTGTGTTACAGAAAATAAGGAGAAGAGAGAGTCAGCTCTCAGTTTTTTGTTGAGTATTTTCAGTTTCTCACAAGCCGTATTACTGAGCATACTTTTGCATTTGCATTAGAATATGCTTAAGTGTGTATATATTGACAACAACCTGTATTTCAATGTGTGTGTGTGTGTGTGTGACTGAGTATTCACATCCCTTTGTACAGTTTCCTATTGACACTTCTGCTGAAGGTGAAGGAGCATGTGACACTTCTAATAATACCTCTGCAGACTGCAGTCAGAGCCCCTGCAGAGGCTGTGGGCCTGAAACTAGATTTATTCCACCTCAAAGACAGATTTGTCCTGAGACACAAACTGCCAAGGTGACCTCTTAAAACTCCTGTGAAACTTAAGAGTGCAGTGCGGAGAAAATCTGAAAGTACCGGGGAGGGGAGCAGAGGCTGTACGGAAGAGGATGAGGGCCGCTGGGAAAAAAAGGTCAGATATATATATATATTTGATCATTATTCTGAAAAGAAAAATCGGAATTATGAGTTAAAAGTCACAACGCTGAGATTAAAATCAGGAGTCTGAGGAAAAAGGAAGAGTCTGATTTCTGAGATTAACATCAGAATTCCAAGATTAAAGACTGGATTCTGAGAAAACTAAAAATCCAAACTCTGAGATTAAAGATAAAATTCGGAGATTAAAACCGGACCTCTTGGATTAAGTCAGAATTCTGAGTTTAATCTTCCTTTTTTTCAGCGTGGCCCTAATCCTCTTCTGTAGTGGCTGTCCACATCCAAAACTAATACTTTACATACTGTATAAGCACAGTGTCGGGTGAGGATGGTTGAATGATCCTGTTCAGTCAGATGGCTCGTAAATTTGTGATTATAATAGGCGGTTATAATTGTGCAAATGGCAGTGAGCCTAATTTTTACTTAAACGTTGACGTGGCTAATTACTCATGGATGCGGCCTAAAGCAGAGGGTCTTTCTGAGGCTTCAGGAACAATGACCCAAAATTACACATGATTACACTGGCTGTGATATTAATGATCAATGTCGTCTGTCTGATAAACCTTGTTATCTTCCCATGACAGAAATGAGAAAAAGTAGGTCAGTAGACTTCCATATTTTCTCCTGCTGTGGGAGAACCGGCAGCACCCTCACCTTTGACCCTTTGTGGGTGGACTGGAATAAATCAAGTGGATGGTTGTTGAGCACAGGGAGGATGACTTGACTGATCAGTTGTTCAATATAACACAATTCACTTGAGGAAACGTTTACGAAGAAGACAGACACCCTTCTTAAAGATCCCCTATTATGAAAAATCCACTTTTGGGTGGTTTTCTACCAATAATATGCATTCCCTCGAAGCCGACAACCCTCCCCGACATGAAAAATATTCATTCTCTCCCTCTGTTTCTTTCCGCTCCTTTCCGAAAACATGAGCGCAAACAGGCGAATAGAAAAGCTGTGCGGTTATGACGACATGTTGGTGGCACCGCCCCTGATAATCGTTAAATAAAACTCAGAGACTTGACGTGGGGAAGAAACTAGCCTGAGCGATCAAAGCTAATCCCTGCAGCACCGACTATTTTCATCTGAGTTGTTTTTGAGAGTAAACTGTAATTTAAGTGCCTGACAAACACTTGGCTCGGAGCAGCTCCCAACAGAGACACCAGAGAGTTACCAGCTGCAGCCAAAAAGCATTTCACCTCTTGACACTATTCACCATGCTGAGAAGGATTATTTTTATGCGCTCCTCGCTGTAACCTCGTGTCTAATGGATGAAGTGATCTATCTTTACGTCTCAATCTCAGCCAGAAAGCGAGTTAGCCCAGCTCCAGGAATGAGGAACTTCAGTTTCATTTGCAGGGTGAAGAGGTGCTAAATTTGCTCATTAAGTTAATTAATTTTACGCATTCACTCATAAATAACTGGGCGTATTCGAGCATTGTTCAAGCACTGTTTTACATGAGCGAGAATCTTTTGTTAACTGACTTCTCGATCTATGTTTGTGTGTTTTATTTCCTGTCGACATTTGGAAGCTAACCTTTGCGTGGCTCCTTCATCATAGCGGCACTATTCACCACCTCACTGACCTCCGGGTTGTGAAAAGGTGAGCGGGAACAAACTCACAAACCATTCATGGGTCTCACCTTATAAATGAATCCATCTGGGCAGGCATGATCGTAGGTGAAGGCTTTATAAACCACCAGGAACACGATGCAGGCGAGGAAGGCCAGGGCCAGGATGATCAGGATCGTCACCTGAGAGAGGAACGAACACCAACAAACACCAGTCAGTGTGTGTTTCTGTGTGTTTGTGGATGTAGTTTATATACAGTATGCTAGGGTTAGGGTTAGGGTTAGACAGTGAAAAGATGGAGGGTGTAAACCCGTGTGTGTATGTGTGTGTGTGTCCTGATAATAAACGATGCACTAAGATGCTGCAGGCTGAGGTTAACAGCTCCTCAAGGTAAGGCGTCCCTGTTGAGGTAGAAGATGAATGGATCAGGTTGTGACACTGTGTGTGGATAATTATGAGGTAGCAGGTCCTGCGGGTACAGTAGGAGGGTAATAAAGCCAATTTCTCGACACTCTTCTGCTGCTGTGCTCTTGTTTTCTCACCATCTCTACACTGTTTCTTAAACAGAAGGTGTAAATGAGGTAAATGACGCCTCTGTGGCTCCTGGTTTGAGCTGCTATTTTAACATCTCCGTGTTTTGAAGCTCAAAGTGACTCACTTCTCTCTTCTTAAACCACCTCTCCTCCTTGGCCTTTGTTTCTTAGTAAGACGTCGATTTGATTCGATTTTTATCTCATTTTATTGTTTCTTCTATTGCATGGCTATTATTTTACCTACATTATATGCTTTTAAGATTATTTTATCTGTTTTTTTATATGTGATTTTATGTTTTAGGAAAGATGTTGTGTCTTTATTTCTGGTGCTATCGATCGCAAGAGTAAAACAGCCTGCAGCTGTTAGATGATTTAATTCAGGGGTTTGCAACCTGTGGATTTGGAAAATAAAGTAAATAAAATAATATTAAATTATAATTTTTTTAAGGATTCTAAATTCTAATATTATGATGCTCTTGTAACATTAAATAAACCGTATTTAATTATTTTTGTTACTCAAAATATGCGTCATAACTGCCGACTTGCGAAAACTGAAAACCTGTGCGCTTAAGTTCAGGAGCGAAAGTCACATTGAGCGAGTAAATTTCATATTTTGCAAATATTTATGTCACAGTGTTCATTGAAATAGTGTTTTTCTATTCAGGTTGACAGCTGACCGCACAAAGAAGCAGACGACATTTTTGTTTTGCTGCAGGTGGCCAGTTCAAATTTTGATGTCATCAATACGAAGTGGATTTTATTAGAAATTGAACATTATATTTGAAAGCAACCTTTAACCTAGTGTCCTCTTTTGTTAACCTTCCTCTTGTGTTAGCTTTTACTACGCACCCACTATGTTGAGGGTCGGTGTCTTAAATCGGCTGTAAATTACACTAAAAACTATTCTCTATCATCCAATTTGGTTCTCATCTCTAGGTTAACTTGTTCGGCTTCATTAACCATGAAAATATTGCTTATATTATTTTTTTGTTGTGGACCTCTGGGCCTTTCTTTTTCATTATACCCCTCACACAGACATCTATATTGAATTGATCTCACATGTCTGGACATGCCTGACGTTGTTTTTTGTGCAGGGAAAAACAAGACAAAATGAGAATTTACTAAATCTCACATGATTGGAAGATGATCTGACTGTCAGTGCACTTATGATTTTAGTTTTTGCTCTAATCATTAGATATTGATCTAACCAGGTCAACAGCGACCCTAACACGACAAGTGCCATAATTTTTAAGAGCGTTTTATAATTTAGTCCATTAAATTTTTTAATTCTTATTTTGTTGAAATTGAGGTTCCTGACAAAGTCAAAAAGTCTTGATGTAAAAAAGCAAATTCAAGTGGTTCAGACCCTAACACAGGAGGAGGGTTAAAGTTTGAACAAATTGGTTTCATAAATGCAACACACCACAGTTTGTTTTTACATATTTTGCATAAAGGCTAAAAAAAACCCCGATATATTCAGTGTTATCTTTATTTTAGATGTCAAAGGGCTTTCATGGCTCCCTGTGTTTTCTTTTCTGCGGGTCCAAATGGCTCTTTAAGTGTTTAAGGTTTGCCGACCTCCAATTTAGTTGAAGTACTCTTCTGGTCCCGGTGTACAAGCGAGTACATCCACCCCTGCTATCATCCTACCGTCCCCTCCATGACCTTTTATATCAGGTACCAAAAGAGTTCACTAACAAGTTCTGACACTTTTTCCCTGTGAGGCAGTTTTATCTCTGTAGATCCAAAGTCCCCGTCCAGAAAAGACATTAAATCAATTAGTGAAGAGCCTCAGTGAACTTCTTAATAGGGTTTATAATCTGTGGCAGCTAAGATGTACCATGAGCTCTCTCCTCATTTAATTGCAAACATTCAGTAAAAGCGAAGGATCAAAGCTCACTAACCACACTCCTGACCTGAAATCTTCGACTCATCCTCAGAGAAATCTCCTCCCGTTATGCAGATTGTTAAATGTTGCCGTGTAATTGGGGACGGATATATATAAAGCTTCATTATGACTAAATGGATCAAACTGGATCTGTTATTGGGAAATGCATACGAAGGTGAAGCCGTCGTAGGTTTCAGTTGTGTATTTCAGCTTCTTTAATCATTCATCATTCCTGGCAGCAGACCTCGGCTAATTACCGACACACTTCGCTTAGCAAGGAAAATAAATTAGCCCTTCGTCTCCGTCGTGACTGTTTCCAGCTGTTTGCTGTGAAAAAATCGTTCTTTTGTCCCTTTTAATAAGCAAACAGTTTCATAGATGACCTTTTCTATGACTGTAGGCAGCAAAGAGGTGATCAAATGAGCAAATTAGGTCTTTTAGCTTCAAAATATCATCTGAAACGAACCAAAATGTTCTGGTCTGTTTTTTACTACATGTAAACTGTGTGATATTTCAAGCAGAATCAAAATAATGCTTAACAGCGGTCAACCGCTAATCTACAAAGATGGAAACAAACCCGTTTTCTGAGTATTGGTGAAAATAAATATGATGATGAGTGGTTTGAGGTGTGAAATATTCATTTCCCTTGCAGGCTAGACAATGTTTTAGTAAACCAGATTTACATATAAAAGGATTCGTCTCTGTCTACTTTCAACCTGACACACTGATTGGATGCTTCTGAGCGAGCGTTTAATTGGAATTATGGAAATCAAGTGCAACGGATAGCTGTGTGAAAAAAATGGTTTTGTTTGCCAAGACATGAATGTTCACTGTCAGTATATGCGTAGAGCTTGCATATATGCCTGTATCTGCCTGTGTGCATGGGAACATTTCCAAACACAACCAGGAAATCAAAAGTTGCCATTAAAAAGTGAAATCCTCCATAATGGATGGGTATTTCCAATTTTCCTGGTTCCATTTGCAGACTTGCTTTAAAGCCATATTCCTGCTTTCACTGCTCTGTATGATCCGTAACCACAAGATGTCACAGCAATTACATATGGTTATGATCATTAGTCTCCATCAGCATTGTGGGGGTGGACAGGGACATGCAAGCTAAGCGACTGTTTACTTGGTGTCAACTGGAGGACACGACTCTCAGCCTTGGTTGCCGCTGACACCTTTTGTAAATTACATCTCCCACATTAACCGCTGCAATCCATTAAAAGGGAAGTGTTTAAAGTCATGGCGACCCGCCTTTTGGAGCGGAAAAAGACACAGTATGACTGATTTAGTCCCGCCCTGACCCTCTTTTTGAATAGTGATGCACATGAAACGGCTTATTAAGAAGAGGGATTACTGTAAAGCTCCTCACATTTCATGGAACGAGCGATGAGTGTTTTTCTGCATATATGGAGGCCTGACTTTGCAAAAGGCTCTTTGAAACATGGAAACCAAGTCTTAGGTCACTAATGAGTAGAAGAGATTTGTTTGTTTTTACAACCTAAACTGGATGCATTTGGATTATACAGTATTCTCATCTTTTTACAGTATTCTTCATAACAAGAACTGACGATACACTTTAGGAGATGAATTGGTAAGGACTCAAGCTGCAACTCTGCAATCTGACCCACTTATTACCATACACAGTTATTACCATAACTCCACTGCATTGTTTTTTCTACACTTTAAGACTCAAAATGCAACAGGAGAAAATATTAAATCACTATTTACTAGGGGTGTAACAATTCAATGACAACATCGATATATTGATTCATATTCCTGTGATCCATCTACTCGATCTGTGCTTGACAAGTTGGCAACTTATATCGATCTAATGTTGTTTTAAAATGCAATAAATTGATCATATCAATATTTGGAAATAACCCAATAGATTTAAGCACGGCAGACTGCACACAGATGTGGGTTTCTTTTTTTCACTTTTAATAGTAAAGACATTAAACGTTATTCAGTTCAGCCGACCGATTGACGACTAATTCCCTGACAAGGAACAACAGATATACAGGAAATTTCACCTGCAGTATCCAGGTATCCAGGTATATAGTAGACTAGAACTGATATTTCAGTCAACCAGTCCAGCCCTTAAAGTTTGTTTAAGTAGATTTCATCTTCACTCTTGCCTGTTTTTCTTCCTTCAACTTTAAAGTTGGAAGAAAAATGTCATAAGATCGTGGAGAAGAAAATGTGCCTGTTTTTGCTCTGATACAGAATTGTTATGTCCAACTGAGACATTAATAAAGTCAAATAAAGCATTGATTTATGCAATATCTGGGACAACCATTCAGCAGATTATTTATCGGTATCAGAAATAGATCATCTAACCTCTCTTTATTGATGCTTCAAATGAGGTCAGGACACAGATTAGTGGAATTAACCCAGCAGGGGTTTTAAAGCTTATGCTCACATCTGATGATCATAAAAGCAACACAGTCGACAACAAATACAACAAAACAATAGCAGTGATGGTGATAGTAAAAGAAGAGGAAGAAGAAGAACTTTATTTATGGAGTACTTGTCAAAAAGTATTTACAAAGTGCTTTTAGATTTACAGTTAAAGATACAGCCCAGGCTCTTTGTTATTGAAACGATTGCTGGAAAATCCCTGTTGATACAGCTGTGACCATGTGGTATATAAATCCATTAAACATCTATCTGACCTTTCTCCATTATTCATAATCTGGCTGATCTCCACTGTAAACCTCAGGAGGTCACAGGAGAAAATACTACAGCTCCCTCCATGCATGAAGTAGGTTTACTTACCATTTATCTCCCACAACCGTCCCGATGCAACTTTCCTCTCTAAAAAGATAATGCTCTAATACTCATGATATCACATGAATCTGTGTCAAGGGTGCAAGCACATTAAGCACAAGCAAATAAATAGATAGAAAAGTACTGTTCAGTGTAATGGAAGGAGATAAGATTTTTACGCCACCATATACACACCCCTGTGTCAGCAATGTGGCCCAGAAAACTGCATCTGTTCCACTTGGAAGCAAAGCCTGATGGTCAAATATAAACTCAAAGCAACTTGCCCTTTTTACAAGTATTGACTGTATTAGATAAGACTTGATGGACTGTGAAGGCTTCCATCTGTTACTGACAAAAATCATGTTTTTATTCAGATTTTTCTTCAGAACAGCAGTAGAAAAGGTTTTAATCCAAAATATCCACACTTGGCTTCATGAGATCAAAGCCTTGTACATACGTAACTGGATGTTTTTATTAACAAATATCCAACCCCCTCCGTTTAAAGAAAAGTTGCGTACACACATTGTTTGGAGCTGTAATCAACCAAAGAAAGAAATTCTTGGTCAACTAAAACCCTGAAATTTTTAACCAAAAATTGACTAATCGGGGGGGTGTTTGCCGACAAACCCCTCTGCGGTGGGGGACAACACGGCTCACGGGTCATCGGGGTGAAAACATACTGATATCAGCCCAAGACGTTGATTAACGTGGACGCTCTTCACTCTTTCTGTTTCCAGCCTGTCTTCAGTGATTTGGGCAAATCCAAAATGGTGAAAATAAGGGGGGTGTTCTGAGACAGACTGTTACCTGTGAAACAGGGGTTCTCTGAAAACACCCCCATTAACACTTGGTACGTTCCTCCTTAACCATAGATGGTAAATTGACACGGAAAAAAATCAAGTCGACCAATCAGAGTTTTGGTCGACTCAGCACATATCGACCAATAAGTTGACCAGACAACTAGGACTTTGAGCTCTGATAGAATTCTGACCTGAATCTCAAAATTCTGATTTTAATCTCAGAATTCTGGGGGAAAAAAATCATAATTATGAAGTTAAAGTCAGAATTCTGAGATTAAAGTCAGAATTTTGAGATTAAAGTCGGAATTCTGACTTTAATGTTAAAATTCTGAGATTAAAATCAGAATTATGAGATCAAAATCAGAATTATGAGAAAAAAATCAGAATTATGACTTTAATCTCAGAATTCTAAATTTTATTTAAAAATTCTGACTTCAGTCTCATAATTTTAATTTTAATCTCAGAATGTTGAGGAAAAAAGTCCTAAGTATGAGATTAAAGTCATAATTCTGACTTTTTTTCTCATAATTCTGACTTTAATCTCAGAATTCTGACTTTTTTTCTCAGAATAGAAATTACAAAAAATATATTGAACCTTTTTTTTTTCCCCAGTGGCCGCAATCCTCTTCTGTATTTATCAGCTGAGGAAAATCATGTATGAAATGTAATGTAACTTTGTTTATTCACAACTCTGAGTGCTTTCAGTGAAACAGTAGCTGTGGACAGTTGTGTGTGTTGTGGAGACGGATAAACAATCAAAACAGATGATTAAAAAACACACAGTGGGATTGTTCTTGTTTTTCCCGTGTCTTCATCTCTGACTGGAGATTAAGAGTAGGAAGTCTACCTAGACCTTACATTCACCCACTTGTTTTTTTTTTTCACCCACTGTCTGGCAGCTAAAAATATTGATTTTTATGTCTGTTTTTTTTTCACAAATATATTCTTTCTTTTAATAATTTATGGCTGAACACTGCAGTACGACTTTAAAGGCTGTTTTTCCTGAACGGATTAGCTCCTTCACTGTCTATTTCCTCCCCTTTCAACATATGATTTCTCTCCTTTTTTTAACACAGCGCCGTGTTAGAAATGCAAAACACCACCCACGTTTTCACTGCTGGAACCTGACACACCATATGGGGGAGCAGACACCGCCTCCCATTCCTGTCGGGGTAGAAGAGGAGAATATGTAAGAGTGTGGAGAGGAGAGGAGGGTGTGTGTGCGTGTGTGACAGGAGAGGAGAAAAATGACGCTGATAAAAACAGATAACGCAAGGTGACAGAGGGGGCAACGTAAGAAATAAAAGGGGGACAATGAAGGCAGAAAGGGAGAGCGATAACGGGGCAGATGGAGGCTCGATTTCTTCTGCTGGTGCTGGGCCAGGCAGAAAGACGGACGGGGAGGCGGACAGACTGACATACAGCGAGGCAAACAGCAAACACAGTAGAGTATCGCCTGTTTCATCAATCAATACACAGCCAAAAAAGCCCATTCTGTTTACTTTCCTTTCTATTGCCCTTCTGACACCTTCACAATAAAAGCACAAAAGAAGATCAGCCCCACAGATTTTCATTGATTATTTTTATTCTGTTGTGCTCTCCACAGTAAAGCCCGCTGCTGCTGCTTTGTTGAGCTACATGCATTAAAAAGAAAGAGCTATAAATACCAAATGAGGAAAGATCTAATATAACATACACTTTATCTTGACTTTAATAATCCACTGTGCCTTCAGGGGAGTTTGTTGATTAATGAAATTAATGAACTCGGTGACAGGGTGAGCGAGCGCAGAGAGAAAGAAAGCCTGTCCTAAAAATACAGGCACCAAAAAAAAAAAGCTTGAAGGTCAGTGGTCAGACTGCAGCAAAGGCTCGGATAGAAAATGTCCACTAGACTCAACATCCTACAGTGAAGAGTAGGACAAGTGGAAAATGCACATAAGTGGATCACTCAAGTGTGGTATGACTTTATGCCAGACATCATATAACCGCACAAGTGACACTGAGCTGGAAAAGTGTGTCGATGCACGCAGCCTTTTGATTTATCCAAGTTCTCATGTAACGTAAAAACCTGAGCTGGAGTGCACCTCAATATCTGTTTCAAACAGAAATCAGACTGTCATGACTGTCCACCATCGCCAACCATAACTCACTGATTAATCAGCTGTGTGATCACCAAATAAAACTCGCCAATGCTAATACTCGCACCGCAGAGCATGCGCCACACGTTCGTATACTGGAAGGTGACCAGGCATCTCTGCTTTCCAGAGACAGTCCCCATATTGGATGACCTGTCCCTGGCTGAGGCGTTTCATGAATGAGAATACAAATGTTGCGTGTAGACTAAAACAACGTTTTTTCCGGTAGCCGAGTAGGTAGGAAGCACGAGTTGTGCGCTGCTACTAAGTAGTGCTAAGATGTTGTATGTGGTCAAGCAGCCCATGCCCCCTCCCCGCTCCGGATCTCCCCGGATTTCATCACAGAAATCTGGTCACCTTATTATACTGATACATATGAGTCTGAGGTTGAGCCACATAAGGAAAAAACACATTTTCGGGTGTGGCGGCTTTTATTTAGCCGCAGCGGTGCACCACCATCAATTGCTTGTAAGGGAAATCCTGTGTTAATCATCCCAGCTTCATCCGAGTCTCCTGAAGTAGCTGCGCAGGCAATCTGTGTAGCCGACAATTTGCGTTTAAACTTTGTATTAAGTTTGAAATGGAATCATGGTGGAGGGAAGAGATGATGGCGTTTAAGATTTCCATCAACCCTCTAAGAGGACCAAGTCGGAAGTATGGGCGTATTTTGGGTTTTGTAGGAATGTTAAGGGAACGCTCAGTTGAAGATAGTAATCCTGTCTAGATATGATGAAACGATGAAAACAAGGCATTGTTAGCGCTGGTTAAAAGCATCAAAAATGCTGTAATCAATGCCTTTGAACACATTTTTCAAAATACCCAGTAATACCGAAAACCGTGATTATTTTGGTCACAATAACCTTGAGGTAGAATTTCCATATTGTAAAATCCCTACTCTGGGCAGCATGCACAGAAATAATTAGGGCCAGACTGATTTATCGGCGAGCCGATTAAATCGGCAAATTTTTGCCTGTTTGAAACTAATCGGTTAATCGGCCAAAACTCGCCGATTTTTTCGGAAATAAGTCAACAAGTTTCAGTTCAACCCACTTCATGATGTTTACCGCTGTGCTGGTCTCAATCACGCCGAGTTAACAGTCTGCTATTAGCCTTGCTACACTGTTAGCCGTGCCAGTAACGGTAGAATAAACAACAGTACACAATATGTGCTCGAGCTACTTCTCTTACTGAGGCAGCTGCACGTCTCCAGATGAGACCGGACCGGAAATGTGTGACATAAGTTAAGAAGGTAGTTGGTAGTTGAAGGTAGTTGAAAACGCTTTTCTGGTCCAAGTTTGATGAGTCGGTCTTCCTGTCGGCATGAAGTAGCTTACAGTATATCTACAGTATATAGTATACTGTAGATATCTACAGTATATATATATTTTTTATAACTTCATAAAAAAATGTGATAAATCGGTAATCGTATTTTTGCCCCCCCTAATAATCGGTGTCGGCATCTGCCCCAAAAATCCATATCGGTCGGGCCCTAAAAATAATACCACATTTTTAAGAATAACCACCAAGGTCTAATGACAACAACACCACCAACATGTGTCTGCTCCTCGGACAATAAACATCACAAACAACGCAACTCGTGTTTCAAAAGTTAAAGTCACATTTCCATGAAAACATCAGGTGAGCCGCACAGGCGACGTAGTAAAACTAAGAGAGTGCAAAACAACACGGCCAACAACAAGTTGCACCAAAGGATAAAATGACTGCATCCTAGTTATTGATCTTGGACAATGACCATACACACTTGGGCACCCATAGATACATCTGGATGGCACACCCAAGTCTGCACTGGACAATGATGACGTACCTACAGCGGGACAAAGTCAGGATCCATAAATGACAGTTGAATTCAAGCTTCCTACTGTCATTCATTTCCTTATTTACGCTGCTGCTTTTCCCACATAACCAAATATGTTGTGCAGAAACCTGTTAAGGAGTAAAGACAGCATAACGCCTCCTGTTTTCCTCTCACAGGTGTTGATTTTTTTCCTCTCTGTTAAATGATTGTAAATTGCAGATCTCCAGAGTTCAGACTGAACAACAAAACAGGTAATTCAAATACACCATCACAGCTGTGGAACTCTGATTATAGTCATTTTATCCTGTTTCCTACATCCTAAAGAGTAAACAGCAGATAATGGAAATAAATGTTGCAGCAGCCACAGTCTTTACCGTGGTCCAGGATGTAAAACTGTCTCATTTAGTGCGCTTCCTTTCCTTCTGCTGGAGTCTATTATCGCTAAGACCTGGCACACACAGATCTAGCCTGCAGTGTTGATGTAAATGCATCATATTCAGGTGTCTACAGAGACACTAAGCCTCTTCCTGTTTATCATGTATATAAAAGTGAAGTCAGGGATCAGCCTGCTACATGAAAATGCAAATGAAATATTCTCTTATCCTCTTAAGGCACTTTTGTAATGATGAAATTAATGAGGTGGGTGACAGGACGCCTGTAAGCGTTCTAATGGATGATAACTGAAGGTCACAGGTTTGATCCTGAGTAAAAGTCAGAGCCCACACTCACCCGTCATGGTTATTTAGATGTGCAGGTTGCAAGATAAGTGTAATGTGGTTCTCAGTGCTGGAAGACATTTTCAGTTCCTCTTAAAAAACATGGCCAAAAAATAGTATGATAAGAAGAAACTCAGTCTGGTTCAGTTCAATATACATCTGAGACTTCTTCTATGCTATATTTTATTTCTGTCCAGGCATCAATACATATTTTTACTGCAGGTATGCTGTCCAATCTTGCGTTTTTAAGCTACCAACTGGCCCCTGTAAAAGAGATAAATCTAAGGGGTCATGGCAGGGTTACAGACAAACCATGATTTTTTTAGAAACTGAGCCCTCTTTATTGGATTATGGTCTGGTTTGTTCTCTCTCGGCCCCCTTCAAAACATGGCAGTGCAACGTGGCAAACACTTGAGTGGCAACCTCTGGTGTTGAAAGTTAAAGCCAGTGTGGAAACCAGACAGTGTCCCCTTCAGTGTCCATGTGAGGTTGTAAAAGCCAAAGAATCCCCTCAAAAAATGACCATAATTTACAGCAGAATAAAATATATTTACGACCACAGCTTTCAGGTGTGGGATTATCTATCATACACTCTGTACAAGAGATTTGAACGCATTTGATTAAATTTGCATACCTGGGCAGCTGAGTTGACTGACAGGTATGCATTGTAGCTGCTTGGCCGAAGGCTAAGGCCCTGTTTATACGTACCAGGTTATTTTTAAAAACTGAGACATTAACCATTGTTTGCACCTTTCGTTTAGACGCAAACGAAGAATTCGCCCCTGAAAACGATACTTCGGCCAGAGTTGAGATTTTAGAAAACTCTGTTTGCACATTTGCATGTAAACAGAATTTATCCCCTGGGGTAGCCAGAGGCAGATTGTGCGCTGAAAACTGGGTTAAATGTGACGTTTTTTCAATCTACAGTCTATGTTTACAATCTAAGTTGATCATAGATGCATGCAGAATAGCAGTCGCATTTATGCTGGCGCAATCCCTTTATATTAGTTTGTATTTGCTGTCCTATGTGGAGGAGCAAAGACGACTGAGTGCTCAAAGGTCAGCAATGTCGCAGCGACCTCTCTCTCGGCAGTTTTGGGTCAAACCTTGGCGCACTGCTGTCTGGTGGGGGAACTTCGAAAATGAAGTGGTTTTCCGGATGTCGCGGGCATCGCTGCTGTCAGACGGCATTTATGCATGGGTTAATGTAAACAAAAACTTTTCTGAAAACGTGGTGTGCACGCAGTTTTTTGTAAACAGAGGGGGTGAAATGTCTGTTTATGAAAATAGCTGGGCACATGTAAACGCGGTGTCAAAGACGGTCTCAGCTCCACCTCTGCCTGTTTGACGAGGTGATTAAAAGTTAGCTGGAGTCATCATTTCTGACACGGCGCCACCAAAGTTGGCCTCATACATCAAGAAGACTCACAAATGTCTGTAGACAAACAACGAAGAGCAAAACACAATAACTGCACAACTTTGTATTTACATCAGTTTTTCAATATAAAAGCGAAGCAGTAATTTAGCCTCAGCATGAAAAGTAAAGCACAGAGTAAATGTTTCCCTCTGACATAAAGAGCATGACATGAGAAATTCATTTTGATGTGACACATAATGCCGCATTTTTCCTGAGTATGCACTTTCACACTTTTTCCTTAATGGCCATTTTTCCACTGATGACTGTTTATTCTGTGTTTTTATCTTTGCTCCCACAGCATCACAGTTCAAAGTCCTCTCTTGTTTTCGCTGGAACAAAGAAAAGCCTCGGAGCTGCGGTCTGCAGGGAGCCTCCAACCTCAGAGAGGAGTATCCAGACAGGGGAGAGGGATGTCAAGGAGACGGTTAACGCAGATCTCAGCTCTTGGGGACCAGCTATCGGGCTGAGACAGCTACAGTGGTATGGCAACAAAGTACAAACACTGTGCTGTCGAGATGCATCATGTCAGAGAACGGGAGCACAAACTGTTAAAATGCCAACCTGACAAAACAGGAGATTTTGCTCTGAGCTCAGGTGAGCTTAGGTCTGCACATGAGGGCAGATCTGGCCCTGAGCTCTGAGGGAGGGTTTAAGAGGTTTAAAAAAGCTGCATAAGTCAGTATTTTCTCAACACTATGGAAATATACAACCTCACGAGTGGACACTGAAATATGTTTGTGAGAGTTAAGAAACTGCAACTTTAAGTAAAGGTCTTTTTAAGTATTTTGAGAGATGATAGAAAAACTTTCTATTAAAGTTTGATGAAGTTGTCACTGAATAAAAAAATCAAACTAAATTGTCAGAGAAAAAAAAATCAGGATTTTAATTTTGGCCGAAATCGTGCAGCCCTAATCTCAATAGACCTTCACTATTTTTAACTCTGGATCAACTAAGCATCAGGAGAAGTCAACTTTAAAATAGTGTGGATCAATTATATGTAATATGTGAATTATTTATGAACAAGGGAACATATAACAAGAATTAATTTGGAGAAAATTTGCAACAATTAAACCTGCTAATAAGCGGCTCGTCAATGGTTATTAATATGTACTCGAATGTGAAGTGTTGCCAAAATCTACATATCAGAGATTTTCTATGTTTGCATTTCAACACCTTTTGTTGACATACACACAAAAATACGCATACAGACTTTAGGAGCATCACTTCACAAAACCCCGAATTCTCCGACAGCTAAACTGAATCTGTTGTGAAAGAAATAATGATCAGCTTCTCTGAGACTGTGCGACTCATCAAGAGGGGAAAAAACACTCCAGCGTCCTCTGCAGCCTCCTCCAGTCAAGAGTTGCTTTGTTTTCTCTCTAACAAGACCATGTTGTTCCAACTCACAAGAACAAATTGACAATTCTACCTTCTTGGGATTGTCTGCGGGAGCTGAAATGAAGCTGCGCAATTTAGCCGGAAAACAAACTGGAGAAGATTCGGAGCCGCATGCGACAGATGATTTAAGCAGATCAGGGTCACTCACACTGGGTATAAAACTATAAATGTACTTTTTATTAAATTAAAACATATAAAACTCAGGTTATGAACAGTGTAAATGTCTGAATTTAAAATGAAATGGTCAGGTTTTAATCCTTTTCTGGGCCCCCACCTCTGGTTATTGTCAGAGGTGGGGGCTTGACGACTCGACTCAAGACTCGACTTGGACTTGAGTCCCGTTTTTGACTTGCTCGATGAAATCAAGAAATGACTTGGACTCGCTTGGGACTTGATTGCTAAAGACGTGAGACTTGACTTGACTTGAGCCCAGTGACTTGAAAAGTCTTTTCAAGTCTTTCAAGCCACTTAATACCTTACAGAAAGCCCAAACCGTTTAAAAAGTGTCGCATCAACTAATAGTCAGGAATTACGGCCGTTGGTAACACCGTGTTGTGTTTCCAAGTCTGCTTATTTCCCGCAAAAAAAAATCGCTTGTTTTTGGCTTGTTTCTGGAGGTCTGTTTCCTTATTTCTCTCACGAAACTTCTCAAACTCTAGCCTCCCTTATAACGACAACACCAGGAGGACTGAACATAAATCGCTCGCTCGCCTGTTTCCATGTGTTGCCTTGTGTCTCTCTCTTTTGTTTTGTTTTGGAACAATGAATTAGAGTATCAGTTTAATGTTTAATTGTATTTGAGTCTTCCTTATTTTTGTGCACATTGTCTAAGTTTCCAATTATTGAAGTTTATCTGATTATTTTTTGTATGACATGTAAAATAGTTTGGTTAAAGCTGCACTATGTAACTTAACACAAACAAGAACCCTTGTTTAATAATAAATGCAAATAGTGAAAAATGCTCATGATTTATGTAAATCTTTACATATAACAAATGGTTTATGGCTTTGATATGACTTGTTTTTGACTTGAAAGAAACGGTAAGGACTTGGTTGGGACTCGAAGCAAAAAGTTCAGGACTTGGACTTGACTCGAGACTTGAGACTCGACTTCGACTTGCAACATAGGACTTTCCCCCACCTCTGGTTATTGTTGATTATTTTCTCCTCCTCCTTTGTTTTGTCGTAAGATTTGTCATTATAAGACATGAAAAGTCCTCCTCTCACTGTACACACAGACGCCACCGTTTAAGTACAGAGTGAGACACTACATGTGCAGCAGGAGATAGATGCTAATTATGCTAATGTATCCCAATTAAGCATTGTCTCTATGGAGACACAACTTCAAAGCTTTAGCTGGAGCACGCCATCGCAGCACAGAGGAGAGCGTGTTTGTGTCGACTGAGACAGAGAGCAGAGGGGGGTTAAACGACTTAAAGAGTGAGGGTCAGGAAATCCATGAAGAAGAGAAGAATACAAATTAATATCTACAACCTGCAAAAACCTTTAGTTTCTTCACAACATGTGCTTTGTCAATGATACGAATTCTGAAGAATCTGAACACCACAGCATGCAGACGAACACACACACTCACAAACACACATTATGAATCTGTAATTCGTCTCCGAGGAGAAACTAAACATCTGGTTTACGTTTGCTAATCAGCTCTAACTCTGCTAGATGGAGATGTTGCAAGAGAGGAATATTATTAATGATAGGACCAGCCCCTCACACACACACACACACACACACACACACACACACACACACACACACACACACACACACACACACACACACACACACACACACACACACAGACACCTCTAAACAGTTGTTTACACCAAAAGACAAGGTTCATTACTCTAATGTTTCCCAGCTCTCAGTCTCCTGGGTACTTTTTATGTTTCTGTGCATGTTCACCGTGTAGACAGCTGTGTGCGTTTGGTTGTTTGTGTGTGTGTAGGCGTGTGTATATGCACATGTTTGAGGGTAAATGATCTAGACGGGTACTTTATCACTTTTAATACTTATACGTTTGCTCTTTACAACCAGCTTCTTTCAGTCTTTAATCTCTTAATGGAGTTTGTGTAATCTCGGAGATCTAAAATGTAAAATTTTAGATCTCATTTTCAATATTTATATTTCTGGGAGTATTTGTTTAACTTTAAAAGGCCAATGTAACAAATTAAGTGTGAAATAACAAGCAGAAAATTGAGTTTAATCTTCACAAATCTGCTTTCTTTAGTGTAAATTAACTATGAATGAAACTTTTTTCTGTTTTTATTTTCTTAATATGAAGTCTCTGCAGATGAAGCATATTCTCTCTCCTCTATTTAAAAAAATCCACCATGTCACACGATGATGTTTCTGCAAAGGCCTGAAATAGACAAACTGTTTCCTGAAAGAGCCTTGCACCTTCTACTATTAGTTGGGGTGGCAGTAATTCAGGAGGTACAGCGGTCGTCCTCTAACCAGAAGGTTGGTGGTTCAATTCCCCCCCCTATCCCGAGTCTGTCCGTTGTGTCCTTGGCGTGACCTAACCCACCTTGCTCCTAGTGTGTGTCCTCCACTGGTGTGTGATTGTGAGTGTTGTGTGGTGGTGGTTGGAGAGGCCGTAGGCGCAATCTGGCCACCACGTTTCCATCAGTCTGCCATAAGGTAGTTTACCGCCACCAAGGTGTGACTGTGTGAGCGGATGAATGATGTATCTAATGTGAAGCACTTTGAGGGTCTCTGATAAAGCACTCTATGAAATCTGATGCATTATTGTTGTTACTCATAGTTTACTAATACTCTCTATGTTTAGTTTGTTTGTAATCCAGGGGTTGACTTTTAGTAACTCCTAAATTCTACACCTCAGTCCTTATAAACCCCCCTCACATATTGCGATTTATGGCGATGTTGTGAGGCACACTCTACGTCCTCGAATAATGTTCATGAGCCCAAACAAAGTTAGCGTGCTACGATATCGGACAGTAGGAAGCAACCAGAAAGTACGGAAAACACAGGCAAGAAAACAAAGTAAATACCGGAGACTCTGGTGGAATAACGGGCGCTTAAAAAGGAGGTAAACCGGACAAGAGCTAAGAAACCGGATCAACATCAGCATAAATGATGGGGGACGCTTCGGGATCTTCCGGATCCTGTAACCTTTCTGCTGGACAGGTAAACCGCTTTAACAAAGTGAGCCAAGTGTCTGTAACAGAAGAATTTCTTGTCAAACCGACCTGCTGTAGCGTGTCGTAGCGCCGCTAAACTGTTGACCTCGGGTCCTGGACTATGTCACTTTATCCTAGTTGTAGAAGTCCTGCAAACATTGTGTTTGCTGGTAGTCTGTCGGCATCTACAGTAGCACCAATGCTTTTTACTTTTACATTGACTGGGCCCCATTTGTAACTATCTGAAGTATTTATCTGCATTATATCTGAATTTAATTGGAACGATACGAGCGAGCAGGAGCGTCTGTTTGTGGGCGGGGCTTGTTAGAGCAGAGAGGAAGGGGAGAGGAGGAGCTGAGAGGGAAACTGGTTGGGACGGGTAGAGTTTACATTGAAGATTTCTGCCAAAAACTGGCATTTGATCAGATCCTGCCTACTCCACCTTTAATACGCCGTACAATCCTGTGCGCCCTATGTTTGAACATATACATGTTAATTCACCGGGCGCCATATCACCCAAAAAATACGGTACTTCAAGTTAAGACTATGTGGATTATTAAATGTAAAACAATGACTCACATTTCAGCGACTCAGAAGGACAACAGATGATGGTTAACACCAATGAAATCTGCACTGAGAGCGCAGCATGAGCAGCATCGATGGCAGAGAGAGGTGGATCGATGACAAGGACAGATGTTAAAGGCAGAGGAAAGAGGGGGGAAAGGAGAAGCAGAGGGTCAGGCTAGTCATCCACAGTCTGTCTGACTCTAATTGCTCCCATGGCTCAGCTTGTCAGGACAACAGCAGCACAGTGACGGCTGAGGACAGGGAGCACAGTGACCGCTCACTTCCCTTCTTCACTTTATCAATTTCAACATGAAAAACATCAAAGCTGGGATTTTTCTTAGACTAACGGCTTCATTTTATTGGCAGAAAGAGAAGATAGCGAGTGACCGCGGTGGACAGAGCCCGGCTAAGATGTAGCAGGAGGATTTTTTTCAGTCCCATCTCCCTTAAATGTATTTTTCTTGTCAGGAATTCAAAAGATTTTTAATAGCAGGGACAAAATGTTCCTCTGCTGATGCAATGTTGAATTTTTTGATGATTCCTTTTCGCTTTCACAGAGGGAACGGGGAGAGACAGCAGGAAGTTACATGGAAAGCTGGAAAGAGGCCACAGGCTGAGAGTGAACCCTGGCTGACCGCTCAAGGCATAACCTCCTGATATGGAGCGTACTGACCGCAAGGCCAGCAAAGTCGAACTGTTTTGAGATCCGCCAACCTTTGGGGATTGATTTGACACAGAAATGTAGAATTTTGTAGTTAGGGGTCGAAATCTGTCATGCAGTTGTGCTGACCTTGTTAATCAGACATGAGTGGGCCAAACATCACACATGAACCACTTTCTTCATGACTGCCTATGTAGAAGTTAGTGTTTTCCCATGAGCCACCATAGACTGTATATATTATGGACAACTTGGTTCCACCTAGGGCTGGGCGATATGGCCTCAAATCAATATCACGATATATTTATTGAGCAGTTCACCTCGATAACGATAAATGGACGATGACTACTCCACAAGCTGCTCACCCCCTCCCACATTAACCTCGTCTACTTCAGCCGCTACAATTTTTGAACCGTCCTCCATCTCCTGGGGTGGAGTCACGTCTTTGGCATGGGACAGCATCCTAAAGAGACATGAGACCATAGCCTACCTACTCACATCCAAAACCAACTTTTATCTATTTATATTTTTGATAAGAATATACCGATATGGGCAAAATGACGTCAGTTATTATCATAAATTTCGGTAATAGTAAATTTTTGGTTCATCGCCCAGCCCTAGTTCCGCCTGTGGAACAAAATGGTAGCCAATCAGAAAGCAAGCTGACTTAACGAGGAAGCAGATCAAATGCAGCCATGGCAACGGCAGTAAATGCAAGGCATGAAACTTCGACGGACGTCAGAATGATTGAACCCGTGCACCGGTACTTAAAAACGTCTGAAGCGGCATATTTATGATTTTTCACAGCGGTCTTGAAAAACTTTGAAGCTCTCATTATAACAACATTCTGCATATATTATGTAAAATTATTATTTTATACAATATTTAAGCACTTAAAAAAAAGCCTATCTTGCAATGTTGAGAAATTCTGTGAATAATACGAGATCAGCTCCAGACACTAATTGGTGTGTCTTCAGGCGGTGGCCCAGTTTCCTTAAGATTTCACAGTGTTAGAAATACTCTGCTCGCTGTAAAAGCCAATGCTCTGGAGATAACCAAGTTCACAGACAGTTTGCAACCCACCAGATTTGACCTACAGACAGTGAGAGCGGGTTAGCTGGTAGAATATGATGATTTCATGGCTCAGATATAGCAGGTGTATTTGGATTTAAATCATGAACACATTCATCTACGTATGAAAACATGTGCCCAGAGATTGAATGCTGTCTGAATGCATCGATCAGACCGAGAAATCCTTTTTTAGTCTTGGAAAATCCCTGACTGCTGAGTTCTTGAGTCCAACAAAAGAGTATTTGATACAGCTGCCATTTCATTGTTATGTAAAAACAAAGATCCATCAGTCTTTAATGGATTCAGGATTTTTTTTTCTACAATCACAAATCCAATTTCCTCTCGTCTTCCCTGATAAAATATGACACGCAGTCGGGAGTCTGTTCCGTTTCTCTTATATTGTGTATATGTATGTGCGTTCAAAGCTGCTGATATTTATAGAGAGAGGATGATTGAAGTGTGCTGTCCTTTGAGTCGCGGCTTGATAGAAGATCTGAAACAAGAAGTAGAGCAGAACGGAGCCATCTGGTCTTATAAATCACCCCAAATATCACTCCCTCAGCGGCCATGCTTGTCACTTTTGTTCTCCGTGTTTCTGAAGATTGGGAGTTGCCGTTGTGTCCCGCTTGTCAAAGTGTGTGTCTGTCTGCATCTCCGCTGACACACGAGACCTCTTTGCGGTGACAAATGAGTCAGACTGGAGTCGGCTTTGAGACTGACCTAACGGGGTCTGTGTTTGTGGTTCATCAGAGCACGAGGACACGCTCGCAGGGTCGTCTGCTGGTTTTGATTTACAAAGTCCTACAGCCTGTTGACAGCCTCCTCTTCCTCTCTGTTTTACCCCGATAACTGATCATCCTCTCCTTATGAAGCTGTAATTTTCGTCTGAGCCCCAAACCGAACATCAGGTTCATCATTTCCAATAAAATGAAATGTATTTGTTTGTATTTGATGCTTTGGGTCTATGGGTCACATCTGGCTCATTCATTTTATCAGAAGCCATTTCTCTCCAATAAGACGTCTGTGAATCTCTGCCAAAAGGAGCTGGCAGGCTCATAACAGGAACTGTGAGTGTTTGTGTTAAAAGTGATGTAAAAGGCTCCCCCAGAAGTGAGTATGATGAGGCTGTGCGAGCGAGCCGCCACCAATTCCTGGCTCGGTCTGAGAAGATATGGGGGAAAATAGAGGAAGTGGGTGAAAGGAGACAAAAGAGTGAGCTGCACAGATGACGAAAAATGGAGCGAGAGAGAGAGGAGCAAAGGGGCAAGAAAGAAACAAGAAAAATACTAAGAAGTCAAATGATAAGGGGCCGGTGAAGATGCCTGGTTGAATCCCTGAAAAGTTTAATGAAGTCTCACTCCTGTGACCAATTACCTCCAATCTGCCTTTGGGCGAAAGCTCAGCTGCGGAGGAGCAGATAATGACTACGACTACATTAAATCAGCTCAGAACTTGTTTAAAATCAGTTTCAATATTTGGAAAAGGAGAGCAGAAGTGTGACCAGACAGCCCTTAGGCATATACGCCTCAGGTCGTCTGTTCCTAGATGGAGTCACTTAATACAGCTCTCCTAAAGTGAATGTGCAAGGATAATGATACAGAGACATTTCATAGACTTCAGTCGAACACATCTACTCTTTTATTTGGCATGGATGTGACTCCATGTTACAGGAGAACAGTATCCACGTAAATATTTACTAAGATTTGAAGTGTTTAAAATCGTGCACTATGACGAGGTAGCTAGTGAAGCTATTGCTATCGATAGCTACACTGATGTCAGAATGCTATTGCAAACAACAGCTAAAAACGGCTAAGGGTTACAACAGTTGGTTGTTTTCTGACTAGTTTACAGGTATTGTTGCATCAGCCTACGACACAGTGGGAAGGCATGATGATGTAGATATTGAATCCTTTGCTACTCCACTTAAATATTAGCTATATCTTGAATTGTTAAAAATCGTGCATTGTGACTAACTAGCCAACAAAACTATAGCTACTGATAGCTACACTGATGTCCGACTGCTATTGCGAACAACAGCTAACAACGGCTAAACGTTACAATAGTCAGTTGTTTTCCAAATTTTTTACCAGTATTTCCGCATCAGCCTATGACACAGCGGGAAGTCATGATGATGTAGGTATTGAATCCTTTGCTACTCCACGTTAATATTAGCAATCTTTTGAATCGTTTATATTGTGACAAGCTAGCTAACAAAGCTATAGTTATCGATAGCTACACTGATGTCATACTGCTATTGCGAACAACAGCTAACAATGGCTAAACGTTATAACAGTAGTTTGTTTTCCGACTTGTTTACCAGTATTGTCGCATTAGCCTACGACACAGTAGGTAGGCATGATGACGTTGCAGGGATTGAGTGGCATCTTGTTTCTTAGCAGTGTGACAGTTAAGATTGGCCCTTAGTGTTTGTTTCAGGCCAAGGCTGTAAAAACTTAAACATTGTTGGTTTTGAATCAAGAGAGATTCAGCACAAGGGCAAAGCAGGAGTACATACAGATCTCTTATACTTTCTGTTTACATAAAACCCTCTACGTTCCAAGTGCAGTAGTCGAGTTCAGTAGCTCCCACATCAGTGAAAAAAAGGATCCGCTCTCTCCCTGCCCTCCCTCTGATGTTCTCCTGCCTCCTGCAGCACCCAGAGTTCACCGAATAATACTAGAGCTGAAGGTAAATCAATTGTTCCCACATTACTCACTTGAACGTCTGTGTGTGTTTGTGTGTGATTCTGCATCCACGTGGGTGTTTAACTGAGCACAGACGATGACTATGAGCGCTCCCTACAATCAGCGTACTATTAGTCATCCACACAAAACAAGCAGAAACAATACATGGAGGGAGAGGCAGGATGAGGTTTCTCGCAGCAGGAGTAATTATCTCCAACCTGACAAACGGTGCAGGCCTTCTGTGGAGGTGGCAGATTGCAGCAAAGCTTTTATGTGAAGGCGAAGTGGAGGTAATAATGGGATAATTGTTCTGGACGATTGCCGCCTCTCCCATAGCTACCTGCACAAGCTGCCGTTCCGTGGCCTGGCAGTCACGGCCCTGTCATGTGGTAAGCGTCAGTCCTGTAGGAGTGTGTAAGCGTGTGCTCATGGGTTTAAAGTGTATGTGCAGGCCAGGGGAACAGGCGGCCAAGTACTCTGTGTTTTCGAGCCAGAAACCAAGCAGGACAACACAAATTAACACTCCTATTCATCAGTCTGTACACCTGCAGCTCTCCATCCCTGCCCTGAAGCGCCTGACCGATCCTGTCCTCCGTTCTGCGGGTCTTCATTTTCAGAGACTCGGCTCCTCGTGTCTTTTTCTTTTAATAAGAAAGTCTGCAGCAGAGCGAGGCGGCCAAAATGGGAAAAAAAAAAAAAGGAGATCTTTTGCTGCAAAGGTCGTGAGCTGAATCTCAACTCTGCAAAAACCACAATGCAAAACCTCTTCTCTAATCTCAAATGCTTCTTCTGTTTTTCAGACCCAGGCTGCTATTTAGACCAACAACATTTGAATCTGATACAAATATGTTGGCTTAGAAATTTGAGAAAATTTCTGACATTTTCATCATCAATTTTCATGGTTTGTTTAAGGGAATCTAAGGGAATCTTTGAAAAGCACATTAAAAGGCTATACCGGCGTAAAATTAAGTTAGGGTCAAACACACCGTAACACCGAGTTAAACACCCCATCAAGAGATGAATGTTGCCGACCGCTTGCTTCCCGAGTTATACCAACTTTAGTAACGACCGCAGATAGCTCTACAGCCACAAATAATGCTTAGAACAGCACCTAACTTCATCAACAGGACATAAAGGGTCCCAGCAATAGCACTAGCCACCAAACATCTTTTTAGCTTTGCCTGATTTCTTTAGCAAAGAGACTAAACACAACTCACCCACTCTCTTCCAGCAGCTGCTTGTTTGTAGCGGGGTGCCGCAGCCCAAGGAAGACCATTTATGATCATTTCTTTATCATTTCCTTGAAGTAATAATCATCATAATAATCATTTTGCACTGCAGACGTGGTAGTTCTTCTGCTTTAGCGTCTCGGTCTGATCGCATTTCCATGAAGAAATGATCATAAATGTTCTTCCTTGAGCTGCGTCACCCCGCTGCAGTCGATGGACTCGCCCAGAGGTGAGTTGAGTTAGTCTCTTTGCTAAATAAATCAGGAAAGGTAAAAAGATGTTTGGTGACTAATACTGTGGCTGGGACCCTATATGTACTGTTGATGAAGTTAGGTGCTGTTCTGAGCATTATTTGTGGCTATAGAGTGGCGTTTTGGTTAAGCGTGTGGCTCTCTGTATTGCTATCATGCAGTCGTTACTATAGTTGGTATAACTGGAGAAGCAGGTGGCCGGCAACATTCATCTCTCGACGGGGTGTCTAACTTGATTTTACGCCGGAATATCCCTTTAATACATGTGTTCTCCTTTCAAGGAATTATTCATGTCAACAAACTAAACTCCATCCTCGAGGTTCAAACTATTTCTAACGCAGCTAAACTGAATGGCTTGTCATCTAGAAGTCGGTTAATGAGAGAGGGAAACTTGCGCTGTGTGGTTCTGTCATGGGACAAAACTATCAGAGGGGACGAATACCTCATATCTGAGGTCTTCTGGGAGAAATCGGAGAAGGAGATGGAGAGACATAAGAAGAGTAGGTGGGAGGGGAGAGGGAGACATGAACCTTGTCTACAGGGAAGAAGCTTTGAGTCATCGAGAGGATGGAGGAGGGGTGAGAGAGGCCAGGGGAGACAACAGGGGAAAGCCGTTATTATGAATCTGCTTTTGTGTTTAGTTTGTTTCTTCATGGATTGAAAATGTCTCAAAAAGATAAATTTTTTTGTACCTGTTTCTATTTTGAGATCTCTTTGCCCACTGCAACTAAATGCCAGTCTCTTATTTAAATAAAAAAAACAAGCTGCACTGCATTTCAGAGTCAAGCAGTTTAAATCCGAGAAGGAAAAATCAATGCAGTAAGCAAAAACATGCAGGGAAGGAAAGGAAGCAACGGCAGAGAAGGAGAGGGAATTAGAGGAAAGCAGGAAGGCGGTTAGGGAGGGCAGATTAGAGAGCATTTTACACTCTGAGCTCTTCATCCATCAACACAATCTGCAGAGCTTAGAAGAGAAAAGAGATGTGCAAGCTTTTCATCCAAAATGTTTGCTCTGAACTGCACAGTGTGTGTCTGCGCCCGTGTGTGTCTGCGCGCGGACATGCCTGTGTGCCTGCAGAATCAGCTCTGTCAGTCAAGCGAAGCAAGCGGTTCAGCTGAGCTCCCCAAACCGACCGACACCACGCAAAATCACACAGACTTGAAACGCCTTTCTGCCTAACAGGAGCTGACGTGGTGTGCGAGCCGGAGATGACAGAAAAGTCTGCGGCAATAATTCTGTTGAGCAACAGTCTCCCGACAAGTTTGCGAGGCATTTCTGAGTCGCAATGTGCAGCGACTATTTTGTCACCCTGCCCTGATGTGTTTCTACGAAATTACACCACCACAAATAACCAAGAACGTCTTCTTCATAGAGTACTCGAATGATCCTCTAATGCCATGACTCTAAGAGTGCACCAGTTTATTCCCCAACAGCAACATCAACTCATAATCCCCTTTATGGATTAAGGATGGGCATTTCAAGCAAAACACTATTAAATATTCGCTGGGAACAATTATTCGAAGATCGTTATTTGCTCTGTGAATAGGGTGACCATACGTCTTCTTTTACCCGATCATGTCCTCTTTTTGGGGGGCTGTCCGGGTTTGTCCTGGGGAGTCTATAAAATCCCTCAAAGGTTGGGGGTCTTGTATGAAAGTTTTGAGTTTGTGCCACGTGGACTAACTGAGTTTGAAGCATGTAAAAAAAACACTCAAAATGAACTATGTGCGACTCCGTGACGACTCTGTGCGTCGATGATCAAACTTGCTTCTTCGGGTGACGAAGCTTGCCATTGACTGTTGATCTGCAGACAGCGCCACACTTTACATTGCCCTCTGTACGATGTACGATTAATAACCCAGAAAAAAGGCTTAATGTACTATAATTTGACGGTTTCATGAACGTGTGGTGCAATGGGACTGTTAGTCTGCCGGACACTTTATTTTTCAGTTTTTTATTTGCGAACCCTAAAGGCATCTTTACCACGTGATGTTTCCATCCAATCGTAATTTGAGTGATGTTCGTCTCCGAACAATGAGCGTCATTGGCTGCCAATCAAGAGGACTGAAGAGGACGGTGATGAACGGAAGAATTCTCGTGTGAAGACAAGTTGATTTTTGTGTCAAAAATAAATTTCACTAAGTAAAGTCAGATTACTCTTTATATCCTTTTCCGTCATTATAAATGCCGTTTTAAAAAAGTGAGTGGCCTCAAGGTCGCATGATTTGGCTCATTAGTTCCCACCTGTCATTTGTTTAAAGGGGGCACATTAGTGTAACACAGCTGAGATCAATGTGTGACTATCATACAACAGTAAGATTGTTATTTTGATTATGACGATTGTACGATAATTTTCCCCAAAATACGATAATTTCTAAGTCCGGTATAATAATTCTATATTTCCTATCTGCCAGCTCAGTGCCTCGCTCTCAAATGGCTGTGCATATTTGTTGTCGATTTTTTGGTATGCTAGTTTAACCTTGCAGAGTTAGCATTGTACTTCATTTCCATTTATTCTTTTGAAGGAGCTCTACACAGAACTTTTTGATGCCTGTGCAAGTCTCACATTTTTCTGCCGTTTGTATGATTTGCAGCGATAACTGGCGCAACATTTGGTGTTACCGCGTTATTTCCGTGTGCTGGTAAAACACCTTTTTTCCCTCTTTTCTTTTAAAAACAAAACCATCATCACATAAACTATTCGATTTTTTAAATGTTCATGACTATTTCAAGTATTTAAAAACCATTGCCCATCCCTATTATGAATGGACATCTATGTTTAAGATGACGGTCACGAACACACTGTTCAGCTCGGGTCCAATTTCGCATTTGTTCAGCTCCTGGTTCAGAAGACAGGCCACCAAGAGGACACGACTCTGGCATTACTGTGAACCGAGCAATAATGGTGCAGTTTGTTAAATAGACGTGAGAGAATATGTAGGTCACACAGGAGCAGCAAAGTGCCTCCGAGTGGAACAGGTGACATTCAGCTGTCAAGACGAGTTCCAGTGGCATTTAAAGAGCAATCAAGAGCTTTCATAAAAGCAATGTTTTGGCAGGGCCGTGTTAGGACTGAAGACTACTTCTCTTAAGTAAGTTGGAGCTTCGTTCTGCATTTTAAATGAATATGTGCTCACTGAAGGGATTAATGACTTGAGAAGAGTTTGGTTTATCATTTTAGACTAAAGGTTTCTTCAGGACTTCAGAGTGAACTTAATTAACTTCTTGTCTAAGAGGTGTCGGCCCACAATTTCAAAGGCAGCACATCATTTATATGCCAAACCTAAATTACGAGAAAATATAGCACTTGATCAATTTAGTGTTTTTGAGAGAGTAAATTACATATCCTGGGTCAGATTCACCAACAGTCCACTACTGACTCTGCTCATATAAACTTAATATTTTAGAGAAGAAAACCACAGGCTTTATGGCTGTATACTGAAGCACTATTTAATATACCTGACAGTTTTAAATACTTGATTCTGATTGGTTCTCTTCCATTGGTTAAAACCATAAACCCTCCTTTGCATGATATAACTGTTTTGCTAATGTTGCACTGGGATAAGAGTTCATTCTTCCTGTTAAAGTTAGCCATAGCCGCTGTGGGTTGTAATGTACTCTCTCTCTCTCTCTCTCTCTCTCTCTCTATCTCTGTCTCTCTATCTCTTTGTCTCTCCTCTCTCTCTGTGTGGCTTCGTCTCATACGCTTCGTCCTTGTTGGCGTTTGGCGGCTATTTCTTCCGGTCGGCGGACTCAAATTTTAAAATTTGGAATGGAAATGCTTAATGTGAATTCGTCAGAGATGTAGGATCTTTTTTTTTTTTTGCTTGATCATTTAGTGAAAAGTTCAGTCAACACTAATTCATTAGTCATAGGCTTATTAAAATTGGTTGCCATGGAAGCAAATTGAACAGGCTAATCTAAGTGGCTCCTTTTCTTTAAAAAATGAGTGTATTCAACTTGTATCTGTCATGCCGGGTCATGAGAGCGATTAAGTATACTAAGCGGATGGCTATGCGATTTAAAAGCCAACGTGGGTGAGATAAGACCCCAGGTCAGGGTTCTTCTGCCCACCTTATCAGGATTCTGATTTGCATAATCACCTGTCTGCGATGCATTATGCCACACTCAGACCACACTGATTTATTCATAAGCCTGGTATCACAACTTCCATTTTCAAGACACCAAGTCCATTGCATTGCTTTTCTACGTTTGTTTATTTATCTTAACCCCTGCAGGGCGCTCTGACACAGCTCTAGCATATCAGCGTTAACATAGCGTCTGTTTGTGTCTGAGTGGGTGTGCCCACGTAAACACAAGAGCCGGACCAGACAGATTTCAGCGCCTCTTATAGTGTCTGATATCTTATTCAGCTCCCACCTCGCTCTGAAGGACCTTTCAGACCAGTGTTACACATCCTCTAGTCTTTACACACACACACCTACGCTCACTTCTCCCTCTCTCTTTCAGGGTTGACACAGTGGGAGGTTTTCATTGCTGCCATGACAACATGACTTCTCTTTGGTCGCCCCTAACGACAGCAGGATAGAGCAGTCAGCGGCGAGGTGATGTTTTTGGAAAGGTAACCCACACATGCAGCTAATGTCACCTGTCAAGGAACACTCGTGGAGGTACTTGAGAGTGAAACTGACAGTCAAAAGATGGGGGACGTCTCTCTGCATTCTCCTGCCATCATGCTAAAGTGAAGCCAAAAGCAGACATTTGCCATTTCACCTCTACTACTCTGCAAATCCAGTGCATACAGCGATACAGGAGCCACAATCGTTATGAAATAATCAAAGTTCAAGGTTGCTGACTTTATTACCGCTAAGGGGCGATGTGTTTTACAGCCAGAAGTGAATAAAACAAGAAATAAAACCGAGGCATCATACCCTCTTTTAGCACCTAATAAAAATGGAACATGGAGCTTCTTATAAACACAGACACCAAGTTTGAGAGAATTTTCCTTGACCTGTATTTTGACTAAAATCCAAGCTTCCCTCTATAAACACAGAGGTGGGATTTATGACTCATACTGATGTTACAGAATAGAAACCCAAACATTAGATTCATCACAAATATCCCACAGAGTAGTAGTAGTTTTCTTAGGATGGAGTCATGTGGTTTTATCCAAAACTTGATCAATCTTTGGGGTTAATATCTGATGAACCAAAGTTCTGCTGCATGCTTCTGTTTTTATTTTCATATTTTCACCTTTTTTTCTGGTTGTGTTCGATTTTTGTCAGACGATGAATAATTTATCACCCATGGGGGAAAACATTTCAGATTCTGACTGATATCCTTTGCTCTGCTGCTCTAAATCTAGTAAAAAAAAAAATAGCTTGAATATTTGCTCAGAGAAGAAATAGATGATGCATCATGCTGCCCCTGTTTGCATTAAAGGGATATTCCGGCAAAATATTAAGTAATGGTCAAACACACCGAAACACCGAGTTACCCCCAATTTCCACTGCATCTGGAACGTCCACGAAAAGGCCGTAACCGCCGATCGTAGCTGATCGTAACCATTCACGTTAATATGTCAATTTCCACAGGCATCTATCCATTCCACTGCAGATCACCGGACTCCGCAGCTGATCGCAAGAGTTCTATTTTTACGGACGCCGGAGCATGCCTCATAAATTCAGCACAGATTAACCTGCGCTGGAAAGGAAGTCGGGCACAGACACAAAACAAAACATCCGGCTTCTTTTCTAAATAAAACACTCCGTGTTTCAGGCGGATCGTATTTCGGATCGCTATCATGCGGTTGTTACTAAAGTTGGTATAACCAGAGAAGCAAGCAGTCGGCAACATTCATCTCTGGAGGGGGGCGTCTAACTCGGTGTTACAGTGTGTTTGACCATAATTTAAATTTAGGTCAGAATATCCCTTTAAGTGTCCACATTATTACTAAATGTTCACTTCATTTAATAGCGTCTGAATCCTGCAGCCATCTCTCTAAACCCAAAGAGGCGTTTTGACCCGGTCACGCTGATCTGATACGGTAAGCACAAGGAAAAATGTCAGATGAATAATTATCTTCTTTCTAATTAGAGCCACGATGACAAATTTAATCTCAACCCACACACACATCAAGTACAGTATGATTGATCCAACTGTTCTCACCAGATCCAGGAAATGAGCCAATAGCAAGTACAGATCAGATAGCAGTGATTCACGAGTTTAAATTAAAGGAAACACTCGTAATTTTTTTGACAAAGAAAACCGTCGAACAAGGAGGCTCATCCCACACCACTTGACACCAGCCTGGATCCAGACTGCGGTATCAGTGAGCCAAAATATCTGGTTTTCAGCACAAATTCTCACCTTCAGTCTCTCAGACACGCCGTCAGTGAAGCTGATGGTGAACTCCTCGACCTTGGGCACCTTCAGCCTCTTCTTTTCTGTTTGGTACTCCGTGCGAGTTTTCACCACCACCTGGGGAGGAGAAAACAGGTTTAGAGCGGTTGAACCCTCAGGGACGCTGGAGAGGAAATATGGATGTTATGGTATTGTATATCTCAGTAGTTTAGGAGATTTGTGCATATGACTTCTTTGGTGCATCACTCTTTTATTATCTACAGATATTCCTCTGTGCATTCTTGAAAAATGAGTTTACTGCTTCCTCCTAAAAGTTGATGCACAGCCGAGATATCCGGAGTCTTTCGGGACCAAAGAAGAAGAAAACAGAGACTGCAAACACATCAGGAGGTCAGACACCTTTTCAAATTTATGTTGTGATAAAGCAGGAGTGTCATGAGAAAGTAATTTTGAAAAGACAGGCTGAGATGAGTTCACAGCACAATACACAAAGGTGTCAGAGTGGATGGAGGGAGAGATGAAAGTAAAGGTAGCTATGGATACTCAATCTGGACAAAGATAAAGGAATACACAGAGAGCAGGTAAAATACAAAGAAATAAAAACAACAACATTTGTGCCAGGCATCTGTTGAAGTGTCTGATGTACAGAATCCAAGGCGGCTGATCTGAAGGGAAACACTGAGCGTTGTGCCGGCAGCTGAATGTGGACAAAAAAAGGAAAAAAAAAAGAGGCGAGGGCAGTGCAGCTCTGCCCCAGTACTGTCAGTCCAACACTCCTCAAGCTAACATGTTTAGAGGGCTCGGAGGGACACGAGGGGAGACACGCCGGATCTCCAAAAGTCTTCGATTTGTCTACTTTTCAACTCGTTCTGCCTGCTGTGAAAGGTGGGAGTTGAAGAGAAAGTGGAGAAGAGACAATGAGAGACAACGGCAGCGACCTTCAAACTCTCTATTACAGCAAAGTACCGTCATGTAATAAAACACACAGCAAAATCCTGAACACTACATATATGTTTTGGTCTTCTAATGTAGCAGCAACCTGGACAACGGTCTGAGTAAGTGTTTGCAAAAAAACAGTGGGCTAACATGATCAGTTTCCCGTTAACAGCTGTACAGTCTCACCATGTGGTTCACAGAATAGAATAGAATAGAAAAATAGAATAAAATAAAAAATAAAATAGAATAGAAAAATTGAATAGAAAAAATAGAATAAAAAATAGAATAGAACAGAATAGAATTTAAAAAATAGAATAAAATAGTAGAAAAATAGAACGGAATAAAAAAGACTAAACAATAGAATAGAGTGGAAAACAAGCATAATATAGAATAAAGTAGAATGGAAAAATAGAAAAGAATAAAATAAAATAAAATAGAAAAATAAAATAGATTAGAATAGAATAGAACAAAAAAATAAAATATATATTGGAATTAAAAAAATTAGAAAGGAATAAAATAAAAATAGAATGGAAAAGAATAGAAAAAAGAATAGAATAGGATAAAATTTAAAAAATAGAATTGAATTGAATCGAAAAATAGAATAGAATAGAACAGAGTAGAATAGAATAGAAAAATTGTAGAAGGATTAGAATAGAAAAATAATATAAACTAAAAAATAGAAGAAAAGAGAATAAAAAATAGAATAGAATAGAAAAAAATGACGGAATAATATAGAATAAAAAAATAGAATGGAGTAGAAAACAAGAATAGAATAGAATAAGATAGATTAGGATAGAATTAGGGCTGCAGCTATCAATTATTTTAGTAATCGAGTACTCTATCGATTAATCTGTCGATTAATCGAGTAATCGGATAAGAAATGTTTTGCTCTCACTGTAATACTTTGCATTGAATCACGTTTGCCTCATTAAAAACCATCAGTAACACACAAAACTGAAATAGGCCAGGTCTTTCAAATGAATATTTTTACTGCATAAATCAGGAACCAAAAGTTTTACATTTTACCATGTAGTTCACATGAAACTACTGAAGGCAAGGTCTGCAGATGGTCTTTTAATTGCTATGGTAATGATCTTTGCAGTTTTCACTAAACCAGTCACAACTATTTCCAGGCTTTGGATCTAATTTTACTTGTTTAATTAATAGGCTGAAATAATATAATTCTTTGATACTAACATAATTTGACAAGCAAATGTACATTTATTCAATATATAAAAGTGTTACATTTTTATTTACATGTTGTTGTGTGTTGGTCATTTTGCAGCCCTCTGCTGCTCATCACACGCCTAGCAGGTGGTGTATAGCATTATCACCATGGATACACGGATGTTTGTGTGATTTTTTTCATCCACTGCCGCCCGGTTTGTGTCGTGTAGATGTTGATTATGAAAACACTTCGCAATAATTTGGAAACGTGAAGGGGGAGCTGCTGCTGCCCGGTGTTTACGGTAAATAGACGCAAACACCGACCAAGTGGACGCTTCGGTCTCCGAAAACGCCGAGACAAATTTACAAACAGCCACTATTTCAAACAACTGGGCTCATAATCGTGATGTAAACACTTACTTTCTCGCTAGAAAAAATATTATTATTGAATGAATTTATATAATTTGTCCGGTATGCAGTCGTTCTATGTAGCTTGTGGTAGGACTATTTAAATTTTCCCGGCGCTGCGTCCGGCCGGCACGAAATGCATTCTGGGGTATTTAGTATGTATGTGTGTAAACGCTCGGGCAGCCGCGGCATACTCAAATCATCTTTGAGTAGTCAGTAGGCAGTAGCTACTGCTTGAGTAGGTAAGTAGATAGCAGGCAGTATGCCATTTCGGACACAGCTTCTGTCTGTCCTCCTTTCCCTCCATGATTGAACCAAACGCGCGGCAGCGGAAGGAGCGGAAAGAGCACGCTTCTGCGCAACAGAAATAACCGTCCGTGTCAAACACCGTGCGCTGCACATGGTTCCGGATTTAAACGATTCCTCGAGGCATATAATTTGCCTCGAGGAATTTTATTAATCGAGTTACTCGAGTTACTCGAGTAATCGTTTCAGCCCTAGATAGAATAGAATAGAAAAATAGTTCGGGTTAGGGTTTCGATAGTAGATGGGCACACCATCCACTCACCCTCTGAAATCCACACCCTGAGTATCAAATCTGCTTCTTTCTTCAGAAAAACATCTACAGATTCCGTCTATCACTCTCTGACTCTGTTGCTGAAACCCTCATGTTTGCTTTCATCACTTCCTGCCTTGATTTTTGTAATAAAGTCCTGTCAGGGGTATCCAGAAAATCCCTGGACAGGCTCCAGTGTGTTCAGAACTCAGCTGCCAGGGTTCGAGTCCTGGCAGTACATCACCCCAACCCTTATCCGCCTCCAACAGCTCCCAATAAAGTCCCACATCAAATATAAACCACTGCTCCTCACCCCTCAGTACCTCTCTGACCTCCCCCAACCATACACCCCCTCCCAGAACCACCGCTGATGAATGCTGGTCCATGAAATAAACATATTATTATAGCTTTTGTGCTGGCCTAGAAGGAGATGCAGACTCCACATATCATACTGTACTATAATATTCTTGGTGTGAATGAAACTCAAATCTAGGAAAACACAAAGTCTGTTCAGTCAGTGTGTTTACATGAACAGCTTAATCGGACTAAGTTTTTTTTTCACCGAATCGGACCTCTCTCCTTGTCGGCGAATACATGCAGCTGAGAAAATCGAATTATTGATGTGAACGTGTCCTCCTCCCCAAAACTACGGGGCGATATGGGTCTTTTCAGCGGCGCTGTTTCCGACCCCATACAACTGTCAACAACAACAGCAGGTCCATGCCAGACGTCAGAAGTGGCTACAACTGCTGCTGGACATTTTCAAGCAAGAAGATGGAGCGTCTTACAGCGTTGTTTTTGTCGTACATGATGTACGTGCTACTTTTTCTGCAGATGAGATGCACGCTCCTCCTCTTTTCTGATGTTTTTGTTCTGGGGTTACAGGGGCGTGGCGCACGCGCACATACATTGTCCAATCATACTCTGATTATAGTTGGACTAAGGTGTTTACATGCACTTAAGTTGTCCGGTCCTAATCGGAGTAAGGCGATAATTCGGTTTTCTTGAGTGTCATGTAAACGTACTGAGTGATGCTCCTTTTGTGAAATAATAGAAGTGATATATCTTGATTTTCTACCATTTCTTCTGTTTTAAATCAGTTATTGCGGTCCACACAGTCCTTACTTTAATCCCCTGATCTTAACACCAACCTGTATCCTCACTTTTAGCTTCATCTCCTCTTTCATTGTAGACTTAGCTGAACAGAGGAACTGTTTTTTTTTTACATGGTTTTACCCTTATCCCTGCCTGTACAGCACAGAAAGAAAGAGAGAGCCCCCGCTGCTCTGTGCGCTCTCTGTATATTAATGTTCTCTAGAGGACAGGCGCACAGAAAGGTGTACAAATGACGAGGCAGAGGAGAGGTGGAGAGAGAGAGGGAGAAAGAGAACAATGTCTCCGTGTCCTTGTGGCTAATTGTGCTGCTTCAGAGCGGCTCTCCGTCACTTCAAGACAAAAGCCAGAAACTGCTGTGCACACAAAGCGGCGCCACTATCTGAATGAGGGAGCTGTCAGCCGGCTCTACAGAGCTCTTATCTAACAGTCGAAGGCCGCAGTAGGTGTAGCCTCCCGTTAGCTACAGTAGATTTGATTGGACCCCTGAGGATGATGAGCCTTGTGGTGCTCGGTGCAGAAACACCGGGCGTCAGGCCTGTCAGAGCCGTAACTAATGTCTCAATTTTGCATCAACTCGCTCATTCTCTGACTCATTTCACAATAAGAGCCTTTAGGTTTCAACACGGCAGCGCTTTTTGCCGCTTCATTACTCTCCCCCTGCCTGTACCTTTCACTCCTTTATTTCATATTACTAAATGAGGTGGCCATAAATCAATGTCGCCTCATTTACACGGGCCTTTGGTTAGCAGCAGCAGCTCATAGAAATCTACAGAATTAAGTGCCAACATCTCTGATTACAAAGGAGCAAATACCCGGAGGAAAGCCATTCACATATTCATGGTTTAATCCTAAAGCTCAGCGTAGCAACAATACAACCCCAACAAGATGAAATATGATCAGAATTAAAACTTGAGCATTTATCATTGAGCAAGCACAGCCATCTCACTTTCCTGAATGATTTCTCCAGGGAACTCATGTGGACTCAAATCGTCATGTTCTGTTTCTTCTACAGCCCCAGTAGCTGCTTGGCTCCAGGGACTGCAGTCTCACTTACCTGACTTTGTGGACTCCTCCACTGAATTTTACAGAGACTGCCATCATTGACAATATTTACATCCACACTGAGGATGAAATCAAAGTGGAATTCATATCGAAGACAAGATTTAAAGGTGGGGTAGTCAGGATCTGAGGAAGTGACAGTTTTTAGGAGAAATCTTGAATGTAAACTCTACCCCTCCCAACCAGTGTTCCCCTCAGCTCCTCCTCTCCCCTCCCTCTCTGCTCCAGAAAGCCCCGCCCACAAACAGACGCTCCTGCTCGCTCGAATCGTTCCAATTAAATTCAGATATAATGCAGATAAATACTTCAGATAATTACAAATGGGGCCCAGTCAAGGTGAAAGTAAAAATCATTGGTGCTACTGTAGATGCCAACAGACTACCAGCAAACACAATGTTTACAGGACTTCTACAACTAGGATAAAGTGACAAAGTCCAGGACCCAAGGTCAACAGTTTAGCGGCGCTACAACACGCTACAGCAGGTCCGTTTGACAAGAAACACTTCTGTTACAGACACTTGGCTTACTTTGTTAGGTCTGCAAGATCCCGAAGCGTCCCCCATCGTTTTATGTTGACCCAACTTTTTAGCTCTTGTCCGGTCTACCTCCTTTTTAAGCGCCTGTTATTCCGCCAGAGTTTCCGGTATTTACTTTGTCTTCTTGCTTGTGTTTTCCGTACTTTCTGGTTGATATCTACTGTCCAATATTGTAGCACGCTAACTTTGTTTGGGCTCGTGAACGTTATTGGAGGACTTGGCGCGTGCCTCACAACACGGGGGAGCAGCGTCCGCCTCACAACCAATCAGGTTGGGGGAGGTGGCGAATGGCTTTGTTTGCAGTCAGAATGAGCAGACTGCTCAAAAGACTTAAAATGTTGACTACACAGACATAACAAAACACAGGTATATCATTACATATCACCAAATGTCATCAATAACTAATTTTTATTGACTGAAATTAAAAGCTTTTTTGTAAATACACCACAAAAAAGATGCTTCTTTAACAGATTATTTTGAGTGTCAGAAATCAGCAGAAAAAAAACATCAAAAGACACAACTTAAAGTTGTCCACAGGGGGCGACAAAATTGACACAAACCCAAAGTTACTCACAGGAGCTTTAATGAAGTCAGTGGGTAACTCCCTGAACTTTTGGTTTGTGTCTCTGTACGTCTTCAATGGTTCAAAAGACGGTTAGAAAAAAGACAGAAAGTAAAGCGAGTGCAGTAAATGTCTTTTAAACATCCTTCAATCTGGATGGTGTCGCATATGGATGTGTTTCAGCAAAGGGGCCTCTCTGGTGTTTGACCTTCCAACGCTGAGAAGGGCCACTATCTGCATTAAAGATGTTCTGGGTCATTGAGTGTGCGGACTGTCCTCCTCCTAACTTATTTTTAGACATATTTTGCTCCATCCTTCTCATTCTGCCACTCTACCTTCTTTCTAGGTGTTATCATCTAGACGCACAATATTATTAGTAATATATTGGTGAAGGCAGATGAAGTTTTGATCTGATCCTTCTCACTCTGCCTGCCTGTCATGCTCTGTGGTTTCAGACTCTCAGTCCTGCTTGAGTATAAAATAAAGTCAGTCACATTATTTGCAGATAAAAAATTGACACTGATATGTTTGGCCAAAAAGTTCATGGCTGTATTTGTATAACTATTACGAAAAAAGCAAGTCCAGACCACGCTCTTTGTTTTGTTCGTTGCTTACAGAGACCTACAACAAGGTGAGATTGAGTCTCATGTTCAGTCCAACGGGTTTAAGTATAGATGATGTGCACAGGAGGACATCTTAAAGGGATATTCCGGCGTCAATTTGAGCTATGGTCAAACACACCACAACACCGAGTTAGACAACCCCTCAAGAGATGACGAGTCGATCACTGGATGCAGCGGATCATATCCTTGAACTAATAATCATCATTATAATCATTTTGCACTGCAGACACGGTAGTTCTTCTGTCTAATGGGGCGTTCACACCAAACGCGAATAAAATCATCTACTCACTTAATTCGCACAAATCTAGACAAGTGACAAGTCGCTTCATTCGCACGTCAACGGTAAATTTAACGGTAATCCCTGCCAATTCAACCAGCGGGATCAAGTTTTTTAAGGTATCATATAATTCGAGGCACGAACTCAATCAGCTTGTCCTCCATTTTAGATACCAGTGAACAACCGTCTGTTCTTATACATCGCCAGCAACCTTTGTGCTGATTAGTTATTGCGAAGGGAATATCCGCTTAAATCAGTGTTGTTTTTGGCAGGCATTTTAGATTTAGTTTTAGTCTTAGTCATTTTGACGAAATGCTTCTTCGTTTTAGTCCCATTTTAGTCATTTCTATCCTTGATAGTTTTCGTCTAGTTTTAGTCCGACGAAAACTCAAAAGGTTTTAGTCTAGTTTTAGTCGACGAAAAGGTGTCTTTTGAGGTTCGTGGTGTTCTTTCCCGACAGTTTGAAGCCGCAGCATGAGGAAGCTGTGGCTCCACAACTGTCGTCTGTCTCGTCTCCCCGTCCCCGTACAAGACATTGTGTTTTATTGTCACTTGGACTGTATCTTTTTTCGGCCACCGGGTACCGCTGCTGTGCCTGCCACGGTGTGTGTGTGTGCGCGCCGCGTCCACCTTCCGCTCTGTGTATGTGTATGAATGTGTGCGCGCAGCTGTGCGCGAGCGAGGCTTTTGGTGCGTGTGTGATGGGGGCGTGACTGTTAGGACAAAAAAAAGCATGTTTTGAAACTTTGTTCGTCCACCTAATAACAATTTAGTTTCGTCTCGTTCTCGTCTGACGAAAATGAATACAATTTTCGTCACATTTTAGTCTTTACAGAGCTTTGGTGACGTTCGTCTTAGTCTCATTTTCGTCAAGGAAAAAAGGGGTCTGACGTCGTCATTTAAGTTTTCGTCCTGCCTGACGAAAACAACACTGGCTTAAATTGAGATTCTCCCAATTCGCGTAATTCAACCCGCCAGAGTCTTTCACGTCTTGGTCTCATTGAATTTTCATGAAGTAATAATCGTAAATGTTCTTCCTTGAGCTGCGAAACTCTGCTGCACTCAGTGATTGACTTGTCAGGGCTCCCACACAAACAAGCGGCTGCTGGAGGAAAGTGTTTGATGGCTGGGACCGTCTGTGTACTGTTGATGAAGTTTGGTGCTGTTCTGAACATTATTTGTGGCTATAGAGTGGCTCTTTGGTTGAGGTTTGCGCGTGGAGATGTAGACCGCTTTGTATTGCTATCGTGCAGTCGTTACTAAAGTTGGTATAACCAGGGAAGCAAGCAGTCAGCAACATTCATCTCTGGAGGGGGTGTCTAACTCTGCGTTATGATGTGTTTGGCCCTAACTTAATTTTATGCCGGAATATCCCTTGAAGCTCCAACAAACACTAACCAGTCTTTTCTGGGAGTCCCCGAGCTCCCTCATCCCATTGGTTCATCTGGATCACTGCTGCAGACATGTGACACACAGGTGATTTTAGGAGGGACAAATAACTTAAACACTGTTTTATTTGTGCGTCCAAAGGACTCTGTATATTCAACGGTTTTACAAGTATAACTGTGTGTTTGCAGCCCCATATCTTGTCTCATGATTTGATCCATTTCAAACTCCTCCACCCTCTGTGACCTTTTCATGTGACACTAAGACTGACAGAGACTTTGACATCAGTGGGAGGTAATTTATTCCAGCACATACAAGCAACGCCTCCGGTGCGATTTTCCTGCGAGAGTCTATTTACAGATATTCAATTAGACGTGTTTATTTTATGCGAACTTCCTTGAGTCACTCTGACCTTTTGAGTACCTCCATCACTGACATAAAGACACTTTTAGATCAATAAAAGAGCTCTAGAGTTATTTGCTCTGTGGGGAAATGCCTGCTGAATGTTTCTAAAGCTAACATGACTCGATGTTGGCTTTTCAGTTTCTATTTCTGCATATAAGGGAGATAAAGAGTTAAAAAGATAATGCCACATTTTTTTTTAAATGGGACATTTTAGAAAAAGTGTCTCTTCAGACTCTACCAGCTGCTCTCCATCTTTTTCTCTCCCATCACAGTATTTCGTTGACTTGATTCCCCCCGTGGAAAAGCTGTCAAAGTCTTTCCTTTCTTCCTCAGTATGTTATTCCTCAGATCTGTTATCACTGTGATTGTGGTTTCATATTTCACCCCAAAAGACCGAGCTCCAGCAGGAGAGTGTTGGTTTTCCGCTTAAATCTCAGGGTGGAAGGCAGCTGCTGACGTTTTTGACATGTTTGACTACAGTGATGAATAAAACAGCGAATAAAAGAGGGGACTCCTCGATACAGCAACACTAATGGTTCAAGTTGGATTTGGTTGACTTCGCTGGACAAATCTGCCGAGAGAACACTAAAATGAAAATGTATTCTTCAGTAAGAACTGTGCTTCAGGTTTCACATCATGTAATCATATATTAAAGTTGTGTTGTTAGACACTTGATGAGAGTAAAACCAGATCCTTTTGTTATTTTCCTCTTTGTATTTGGTCTTCAGCAACATAAAACCAGCAAACTTATTGAACCCGGGACCACAGCAGCGAGGACTGAAGCCCACATACATTAGGTGGGTAGGGGAGACCAGGGCTTGTTGTCACATGTGTAAGTTGTCACATTGCAATTATCTTAAAGAGGGCGCAACTAAAAAGTGGAATACTAGTTTTATTCCTCTACATCAGGGGTCGGCAACCTTAAACACTCAAAGAGCCACTTGGACCAGTTTCCCACAGAAAAGAAAACACAGGGAGCCACAAAACCTCTTTGACATCTAAAATGAAGATAACATTGCATATATCTTTTTTTTTTTTTTTTACCTTTATACAAAGTATATAAAAAACTGTAGCGCGTTGCATTTATGAAATAAATTAACTATTTCGGCGACTGTCTGTCTTCTTCTGTTGTTAAACCGCAAGATATCAAAATCTACCCGGATACAGCAATGCTGCTTTTTGATTGGCTGTTCAGTAGATATACTTTATTTGATTGGCTTGTGCGTGGCACGCAGCTTCTGAACTCTCGGAGGAACTCAGTTGATTTCCCCCAGTTCCATAGTTGAAGAAGTGCAACTTGGTGGACATCACCGTGTTCATTTAAATGCATGAGAAATACAATGTGTGGTGTGTGAGCGTGTGAACGAGTGGGAATGCGTGTGTCATACGCTGAATGCGTGGGACTTGAGAGCCCTGTGCTCACGCATCATCGATGTACTCCCGAGCCATGCAAAACGGTCTTTGCAAATGTTGCACTGAACGCCTTCCTCTTCAGTCTTGGTGAAGTTTTCCCACACCACTGATGTTTTAGATCGGGATTTGGGTAGGGTTGTGTCCATGTTTTTCTCAGCCGCTGCCTCGGCCATGGCTGTTTCTTTTCTGTGCGTCCTGCTGATGTTTACACGCCGGTGTCCATGGACATATATAAAGACCCGACGAATCGATTACAGAATTTGTTGGCAACGGATTTTTTCGTCACGACGAATCTACTTAATCGATTCGTTGTTGCAGCCTTAATAGGTTATTTAATGTTACAAGAGCATTATAATCTTTGAATTTAGAATTACAAAAAAAAAATAATAATAAAATAAAAAAAAATGCAATTAAGTATTTATTATTTATTTTCCAAATCCATCGGGAGCCGCAGCTTAGGGAAGAAAGAGCCGCATGCGGCTCCAGAGCCGCGGGTTGCCGACCCCTGCTCTACATGGTCAGAGGTAGTGTCCTGTCTGAGAAGAGGAGAGCACATTGTGAGCTGAGATGATTAACCATTTTGCACAACCCAAAGTAAAAAAATTTAACTTTATATATTTTAAAATAAGCTTCTTCCAGATAAAAATCCCAGCAGTGATACATGTGGACTTGTTAGAGGAGAGATTAAGGCATCCTGTCAGACCTCAGTCATTGTTCTGTTTTAAACTAGAGCTTTAATTAGCAAACACGATAGTTTAGGGCAACTTGTCTCAGTCATTTTGGGGTTGGTTGTCACATTAAATTTCATAATGAAATTTCGATTTTATTTTTACAGAGAACAGAGCGGTTTAAAGGAGAGGAGAAAGCGAGAAGACATAGTCAGGAATTACAACAGAAAAACAGAACATGTCAGTGCAGTTCCTGACGTGATGGTGAGGACAGTCAGACAGGTGACCCTCGCTAATAAATCAATCTAGAGGAAAATAAAGGACTTTAATGTCAACAACCATATCTTGGCTCAGTACTGCAAAACATTCACCTCAGCCAAAATACAGAGTCAGACAGATCTCCAAACTCCAGAGCATGTTGCACAATATTTACATTAAGGTTTGTTCAATATTTTTAACAACTTTTTCTTTAGCTCAATGATAAAAATTTTCTGTGCCTGACTTTGATGTTCACTTTCAAGTAAAAAAATGATAACAATAATTTTGTCACAAGATATGAAACTGACATGAATATGAAATATATACCTGAGACTTTGTTCTTTCATCTGGTACACATTTTGTTTATATGTGATGAATTGATTGCAAGAAATATGAGAGTGTAAAAAGTGTGACAACAAGCCCCGGTCTCCCCTACTTTCAGCTGCAGTATAGTATTTTAGACCCTTTTTATAACAGCGTGTTGGAAGAGCAGAGGGGTTGTAGGTCAGTGAAAGGAAAGTCGGTTTGTCACGATCAGCCACATTTTCTACATTCAAGTAAAAATGTATGATGTAAAATTATTTATTATACCTGTTTGATAAAGAAATGGTTTCATATAAACACACACACACACACAAACACAGCTCTCTCTGGGCTCTGGCTGGAAAAGCAGCAGGTTTTTCTGCATGGTTACTGCTCTTTCTCTTCTTTGTCCAGGTAAGTACAAAACAGTTATTAGCATTCCCTCCACACCACAGGTGTAAATCAATATCTGTCCACGCGCACGGAATACAAACCAGCTGGGTTTCCTGAAGAGAAGGACTGGTCCAGCCAGCGTGCAGCACTGCAGTGCTGTTGGATTACTCAGAGTACAATATCAAACAGTCAGTTCATAAAAGCAAAGAGGACTCCTCCAGGAACAAAGAGCGAGCAGGTTTTAATCTGAGCGATGAAGAACGAGAGAATAGGTCCCCTTTTTTTAAACTAGTCACCCAAATAAAACTCAACCATTGATATTTAATGAAATGTTTGATTTTTAAATAAAGAGTTGTTTTTTTCTTATGATGGATTCCATATTTATTGTTTAAAATTGAACTGATAATAGGATTAAGATGTCAATTCATTCATTGATATTTGAAAGAAATAACTCAGGCTGAAAAGTTGCTCTTTTGGTCAACTACCTGCGTGCTTACTTACTACGCTACTTAGCTGGTTTGGAGTGTGCAAATCATTACAAAGTAAGGATCAACCGATAACTAATATTTAGAACTGATATTCATTTGCAGTAAAAGTGTATATTTTTGCCTCATTTTGAAACACTTGCTTTTATTTTGAAATGAGAAAAGAACTAGAGGTAGGGCATGCTAGCTTGTATGCTTCATAGAGACCGAGGATCAGATAGCAAAGAGAAGATAGCAAAAATGGTGATATTATCGGCCATGCCAATTATTGGTCGATCCTCACGACAAAGCAGTTCAAACATTTTCATAGCTGTCTTTATGTGTATTTTATAGCGCTCCTTTAATTCCAATTCAAGACAATTCCAATCCTAAACAGTCTCTGTACCTCATGTGCATTACACTTCGTGCCATCAGTCCTCTTCAAATAAAGGTAAAAAGCTTAAAAAACACATCTTTAAAAGAAAATAAACTGCTCTGTTGATATGTTTTAAAACTGTTTTGAAATGCAAAATCATAAAGATTTAAAAATGCAATTAAAATGTTGATAAATCTGGCTGTGATTCAGTGATTAAATTGGATTAGAAAAACAAGATTTAGACATCTGTAATCATCTTTGAAACTCTGTCCTTTTCATCGACAGTGTGTTATTAAAACATGACTCTTGTAAATTTGGCTTCCTTCAGATGCCAAAGCTCCTGTTCCAGCCAACATGTTAAATAGGTCATGTATAATTCACGATCATTTGTCGAATTAAACATGTACGATGTTTCATCTTGTTACACGGCCTCACATTGTCACAACACACACTAAACCTTTCATCAGCCTTCTGACGGGAAGCCCTTTGTAATTCACGGAGGTAAGAACACACAGTTATTAAGATTAAATGAGACTTAAAAGCTGCTCTGAAGAAAACACTCGACGAGGAGGAAGAAAAGGACGGGGGTCTTTGAGGAGACATGTTGGTCAGGTAAAGTCTCAGCCTTTGAAGCAGGTCTCTGAACCCGAGCTTTGATCCCAGAGAGACGACAAACACAAAGAAATGATCTATCAGTCTAACCATCTCTCTGGTCCTCCACTCTCTTCAGCTTGTTGTTTTCTTTTTTTTCAAACTAGCAGCAATCCAATCAAGATATTGGCGACCCGGCGGTGGTGGCGGTGGCCGTGATGCGTCCCTGCCCAGATGGAATCAAATCTAATACCTCTCTAATGCCTTTGCCTCTGCAGCCCACAGCAGCATTGTTATGTGTTTGAATACGTGTGCCTGTGTGTGTGAACTTTACCCCACCCCTGCAGATATTCCTGGGTAACCCTGTCGTCGGGGAGGTCACTCAGTTATTGGGCTGGATCAGAGAGAAAACAGACAGGGTTGTATCTATAAAGCTTCTCATCTGGGGTACAAGTCAGGTCACATGACCCCGTAAACCTGCATTAACTTGTAAAGACAGAGAGCAAAAAACTGGTCTCACATCAGACCCTCAAGGCCAGACAAAAGCTGATAAAGAAAGAGCTCTGTCTGCATCAGCTGGAAGCAAAAACAACAACTTTAAATTTAGACAGATTACACAGATTCTCATCCCAGAGATTATACTAGTGTAAAATGTTTTAAGATGTTAAGACTAGGGGCGACAGTTTGCTTAGCACCACAATCCTGTTCCCCTCGCTCAGAGGATTTTGTCCTCAACAGGGTGGCCTTGGTTTGATTCCAACCTGTAGGTCATTCTCAGCTAGTTTCCAACTCCTCCTCGTCAGCATAGGCAGAAAACTCCTAAATAATCTTGTGAAAAGAATGTAGCGACTGAACTGCACAGAAAGGTTTAGTTTGTTCGCCCTATAATTCATATCAAAGATAAAACAAAACATGAAGAGACTATGTGAAACAGTATGATAACATTAAAAGGTTCATTCGTAGCAACAAAACTACAGAAAAATCAACCAGAGTCTTGTATTAAAATAAAGCGATGTGCTCGCACCCGATTCAAACCAGACCTATCAAGCTACAAGCTAATAGACCAGGCATAACATTATGAACACCTGGACAACCCAATACAAGAGCTCTGCCACAAATTCTACTTAAAAAAGCTTGTGTATCTTAAGTGTACTTTATATCGATAACTGAAGTTGGAGTAAGTGATGGTGTTCTGGGGTGTGTCACATCAAAAGGTGTATTATATATTATCGTATAGTATGTTAAAAAATATCATAATATAATAATATATTATAAAAATATTGTATGATAGTATTGAAAAAGGTCACAGTATAGTATGGTTAAAAAATCAAAGTTAACCATAATAAAAATAAAAAAAATCAGAGTATAGTATGTTAAAATATCATAGTGGAGTATGTTAAAATATCATGGAAAAATATGATAAAAATATCGTATGACAGGAAAAATAAAAGTCATGGCATAGTATTATACAAAAAATAATCAAAATATGATAAAAATATCACAGTATAGTTTAATAAAAAAATGTCATATTATAGTATGACGAAAAGATATTACATTTTGAGAAAAAATGTCATTGTATATTATGTCAAAAAAAAGGATGAAAAAAAACATAGTATAGTATAATAAAAAAAGGTCATAGTTCAGTATGATAAGACTGTCACAATATAGTTTGATCAAAATATTATACTATAGTATGATAAAAATATCAGTGTATATAATGATAAAATGTCATAGTATAGTATGATAAAAATTTTATATTACAGTGTTATGTATATATGTGGGTGAGTGTCCAAGAGTGTGTGAGTGTCTGTGAGGATGTGTCTGTGTGGGTGTGACTTTATAAGAGTGAGTGGGAGAGTCTGTGTGAGAGTGTCTGTGGGTGTGCTTCACTCCTGAATTGCAGGAGGCCCATCACCTTCAGTTGCTGCGATCAAGAGAGAAGAGGACATGTGGCCTGCTCTCTTACCCCAGTGTGATGTTCTGCACTGGAGCAGCAGCAGTAGCCTGATAGTGTGATTCCAATAGTGATTGAAAAGTGATTTCTCTTTGTGTTAGACTGTGTGTTGTCTCTTTATTTCTCCCTTTGTTTATACTGAAAAAGTAGGTTTTGTGTCTGTCATCTGTTCTTGATTAGTCATCCTGTTTTTGAGAGGATTGTTTTTTGTTGTCAATAATTATATCGTCCTTGGTTCTGTGAGGATTGTTTTTTTGTGTGTGTATGTGGTACTGCTGTCCTGAGTTCCCTTATTAAAATACTAATTCCTGCCATTCTCCTTTTTTTCAACTCTTACCTGGTTTTAGATTGCTGTTTCATCAAAGTTAAGTGTGATAAAAAAAAAAAAATCATAGTGTAGTATGTTAAAAATCAAAGTATAGTATGATCAATTTCAAATTTAAGTATTACAAAAAGGCATAGTATAGTATATTCAAAATGTCATAGTATTGTATGATAAAAATGTCACAGTATAGTATAATGAAAAATTTCAGATTTTAGTATTAAACAAAGTCATAGTGTAGTACATTGAAAATGTCATAGTATAGAATGATAAAAAAATGTCATAGTATAGAATGATAAAAAATGTCAAAGTATAGTATGATAAAAATTTCAAATTTTTGCATTAAAAAATTTCAAAGCATAGTATGTAAAAAACTGTCATAGTATAGTATGATGGAAATGCTATCGTTTAGTATGATAAAAAATTATTTATTTCAGTATGAAAAAGGCCTTGCATAGTGTGATAAAAAAAGACTAGTATGGTAAAAATTCCAATTTTTTGTATGAAAAAATTGTCATGGTAAACTATGATAAAAAAATCTAAAATTCTATTAAAAAATGTCATAGTATAGTATGATAAAAAGTTTCACGGTATAGTATGAAAAAATACTATAGGATGGTATGTCTAAAAAGTCAGTATAGTATGGCTTAAAAGATGTCATAGTATAGTATGATATAAAAAGTCATAGTATAGGATGGAAAAAATGTCATAGTATAGTGTTATCAAAATGCCAATTTGTATGATAAAAATTCTAAATTTCAGTATGGAAAAAGGCATTGAATAGTATGATAAAAAAAAGTAATGTTATAGTATGATAAAAATTACAAATTAAAGTATGAAAAAATTATCATAGTAAAGTATGATAAAAATTTTAAAAATTTATATAAGAAAGTCATAGTATAGTATAATAAAAAAGTCATAGTATTGTATGATAAAAAATGTCATAGTATTGTATATTAAAAAATGTCAGAGTATAGTATGATAAGACTTTTAAATTTTAGTATGAAAACATTTTATAGTAAAGAATGATAAAAAATATAAAATATTCATATAAACAATGTCATAGTATAGTATATTAAAAATGTCATAGTATAGTACCATAAACATGTCAAAGTGAAATTTGATGAAATATTAAATTTTTGTATGAAAAAAGGTCATAGTATAGTATGTTAGAAAATTTCATTGTATAGTATGATAAAAAAAAATTTATAGTATAAGTTGAAAAAAAATGTCATAGTGAAGTATTATTCAAATTTCAAATTTTTGTATAAAAATGTTTATAGTGTTGTATGTTAAAACAAGGTCATAGTTTAGTATGATAAGAATGTCAAATATTTGTATGAAAAAAAGTTATAGTAAAGTATGACAAAAATATCAAATATTCATCTAAAAATTTCGTAGTATAGTATGATAAAAAAAAAGTCATAATATAGTCTGTAAAAAAAGTCATAGTATTGTATGTTAAAAAAGGTCAGTATAGTATGATAAAAAAATGTCATAGTATAGTATGATAAAAAAATGTCATAGTATCGCATGACAAAAAAATGTCATAGTACAGCATGATAAAAAATGTCATAGTATAATATGTTAGAAAATGTCATAGTATAGTATGATTAAAAAATGTTGTTTATACACAGTATAGTATGATAAAGTAAGTCACAGTAATGTATGTTAAAAAATGTCACAGTATAGTAAGATATAAAAATGTCATAGAATTGTATGATAAAATTGTCAAATTTTAGTATTCAAAAATGTCAAAGTATAGTATGTTAAAGAAGGTCAGAGTAGTATGACAAGAATTCCAAATTTTAGAATGAAAAAAGGCATAGTTAAGTTTGACAAAAATATATAAAATTCATTTAAAATATGTCATAGTATAGTAGGAAAAAAAATCACAATATTGTAGGTTAAAAAAATGTCATAGTATGGCATGATAAAAAATGTCATAGTAAAGGATGAAAAAAATTCCAAATTTAAGTATTAAAAAATGTCATAGGATAGTATGTTTAAAATTTCATAGTATAGTACAACAATTATGTCATAGTGATTTTTTCATGATTTTTTAAATTTTTATATGAAAAAGGGTCATAGTGTAGTATGTTAGAAAATCTCATCGTATAGTATGACAAGAAAATGTCATAGTATAGCATGACAAAAAAATGTCATAGTATAGCATGATAAAAAATGTCATAGTTAAGCATGATTTAAATTTCAAAATTTTGTATGAAGAAAGGCATGGTTAAGTATGTTTAAAAATGTTATAGTATAGTATGATAAGAATTCCAAATTTAAAGTATGAAAAAATTGTTGTAGTAAAGTTTCATAAAAATATCAAATATTCGTATAAAAAATGTTATAGTATAGTATGATAAAAAAGTTATAGTGTTGTATGTTAAAAAATGCCATAGTTTAGTATGATAAAAATATTTCATAGTATTGTAGGTTAACAAAAATGTTATAGTATTGTATGTTAAAAAAATGTCATAGTATACTATGCTAAGATTTTAATTGCAGTATGAAAAAAGTAATAGTATAGTATGTTTAAAAATGTCATAGTATAGTATGATAAAATGTCAAATTTTATCATGGAAAACTTTTTTATTGTATAGTAAAATAAAAAAATGTCAGAGTATTGTATGATGAAAAATGTCATAGTATAGTAGAGTAAAATGTCATAGTATAGTATGATAAAAATGCCATAGTATAGTATGATAAAAATATCATTGTATAGTAGGATAAATTATCATTGTATAGTATTTTAAAATATAGGACAAAAAATCACAGTAAAGCATGATAATAATATCATAGCATCTTTGTTTGTAGTTAGATTGTATCATTGTACTGTGTCAGAGATGTGTCTGCTGCCTCACGAGTTTAACTACGCATTTATATTTACAAGTATCACCACAAGGACACAAACATATAACTACTTTAGATTTCAAAAGGACATAACAGTGCGATCATAGAGCAGGATAAATTATAGCATGCAGAAATTCTATTACATCAACTGAAGTGTGATAGCCATCATTAACACCTCCCCTGCTCTGACATCTAATTACAGATTTCATTATTATTTCTCTTGGCCATCGCTGCGTTCATGCATCGCTTATCAGAAAGACAAATTCTCCCCCTCACAGCTGGAGACACGTTTAAAGATTTAGCAGCAAATTGACCTTTACAACTCCCACTCTGTCCCATGTAAAAACAAATGGACCTCTCTACATTTGCATAATGATTTCTAAAAGAGACATTTTCCTCTACCGCCTCCAAGAATCGACAAGTTAAACCAGCTTACGCGGCGGCTGAACTGACTATTTTTCAGCCCTGGGAGTGAGTGTGCAGCATATGAAATCTGCAGCAGCTGTCAGCCAGTGTATGCAAACGCAACAAGGAACAGCAATCTTTGTGTCCACGTCTCCCGAGGCATGTAAAAATTCACAGTTAGTCAACAAAACAGCCAGCCGAGAAGTCTGACCTCTTTTCTCTCAAATGTCAACAACAATAACTCAGAGTGTATCACGGGGAATCATACTTCACCCAGGTCTTTCTCTGTCTCGATACCTGCTCAAGCAATCAGGCTAAATCACCCTTCAGCAATCACACACTACACTGCCACGGTGACGTACATGCGCGTGTGTGTGTGTGGTGTGTGTAATCGCCGCACAGTGGCAGCTATGAGTGCAGTAAATGTAGCCGTGCACTCCAGTCTAGTGGGAGTGATTTAATCAGAGTAAAATGACTGACAGCTCTATGAATGTCATGTTATGAACTGATGGCTGCTGACAGAACTGACTTGTCAATCACAATATCACACACACACACACACAGGCTCACATTCCTAGTGTACACAGACACACACATTTGAATACAGGCAAGCTCCCCAGTGAATAAAAGTGCAAGCCTTCATGTGTTTGTGTGTGTGTGTGTGTGTGTGTGTGTGTGTGTGTGTGTGTGTGTGTGTGTGTGTGTGTGTGTGTGTGTGTGTGTGTGTGTGTGTGTGTGTGTGTGCTGCCAAAGACGAGCCTCCCCAGTTAACAGGTAGATGAATTTGAAAGACACTGTGCCTCCCTCAGCAGAATACACAGCAAGGCATCCGGCTGTACTGTATTAAGTGTGTGTGTGTGTGTGTGTGTGTGTGTGTGTGTGTGTGTGTGTGTGTGTGTAGCAGCTCAAACAGAAAATGTTGCTTTTTTATTTTTTTGAGGTTATTTTGGGCGATTTCTAAAATCCCTTCACGGTTAAACCACTTTAGGAGATTGATCTGAAAATTGGATACCCATCTTATGAATCATCACATCTGTAAAACAGTATCCATAGGCAGGTTTTGTGAGGCAAAACAACATGCAACTTGGATAATGTTTAGACTCTGATGAATATAAAAAAACTGTTTTTTAGAGCTCTGCAGACCACTATCTTTGCCTGTTTCCTAACTCTCCAAGGACTCAGGATAACCTGCTTTTTTTCCACAATATTGGCAGCAGGCTAGGACTTCTGAAACTCTCATGCTGTTACACAACCATTCAGGTCACTACTACTACTGCTGCACAATATATCGTTTGAGCATCGTCATCGCAAGTACCTGTGCGCGAGGTGCATGCAATTGTCGGCACAACACCGGTAACAACAACAACGACTGCAAAATGAGCAACAAACAAGAGAAAACCACAGAAAATGAAGATTTGTTGCCAAAAAAGAACAGCAAGGTCAGTTATTTGGAATTATTTCGGATACAAGAAGGATGATGTCGATCATAACACGTGTTCTGTGTTCATTTGTTGCCACAATAACGTCCCAAGCATGCTAAAATATCTCTTAGAAAGAAAGAAGCCATTCTACTAACATTGCAGGTTAATTGTTCACAAGACTTCAGCAGTGCAGCGTAGCATAAAGTGCTCTTCTGGTCATCTGGTGAAAATTCCTGTATTTTTTTAATATCACAACACATATCGAAGGGTTGAAAAATATTGCAATATCGTGCAGCCTTAACCACTACCTCTAAATCTTTAAAAACCCATCACAAATCAGAGTTTGACTGTTCCACTGAAAATATACAGTGGTTACTCACTTTGTATTTACACATACATGAATAGTTGCTACCAGCCATGTCTGAACTCCAACTTGTAGCTGATGGAGCCTGCAGCAAAGCTTCATTCAGCATTGTATGGCTTTGTGAGAGGTGTAAAAATCCACCCTCTTTCACCTCTGAGGCTGAGCATCTGCTTGATTGATCCAACAATCTCAAAAGGACAAATGTCTCTTCAAAGTTGTTCAGACTAGACTGTCTTTATGGCTGGAGGCAGTGACTTCCCAAAGATAGACTGTGTTAATGAGTGAGCTTCAGAGGTACTGGTGGGAAGATTAAGGAACTGTTCGAGAGAGACTCAATAATTCATTCTCCATCCCTTCTTTGCCCTCAGCTGCCCAGCAGCATCTTGTTACTGCATTTTGAACACATGGAAACAGAGCCCAGATCATTTCCATGATGTAATAATCATCATAATAATCATTTTGCACTGCAGACGCGGCCGTTCTTCTGTCTTAGCCTCTCAAACTGATTGCATTTCCATGAAGTGATAATCATAAACGTTCTTCCTTGAGCAGCAAAACTCCGCTGCACTCGGTGATCGACTCGTCAGGGCTCCCGAAAACAAGCGGCTGCTGGAGGAAAGTTGTGTTTAGTCTCTTTGCTAAAGAAATTAGGCAAAGCTAAAAAGATGTTTGGTGACTGGGACCCTACATGTACTGTTGATGAAGTTAGGTGCTGTTCTGAGCATTATCTGTGAGGTTTTGGTTGAGGTTTGCATGTGGAGACGTAGACCCCTGTGTATTGCTATCGTGCGGTCATTACTAAAATTTGTACAACTAGAGAAGCAAGCAGTCGGCAACATTCATCTCTCGAGGGGGTGTCCAACCCCCAGTTTCCACCACATCCGGAACGGCTACGAAAAGGCCGCATTCGTCGATCGTAGCTGATCGTAACGATTCAAGTCAACGTGTTAATTTGACCGGCGTCTTTCCATTCAGCTGCGGATCGCAAGAGTTCTATTTTTTTCCACTGGAGCATGCTGGATAGATTTAGCACAGATTAACCCGTGCTGGAAAGGAAGTCAGGCACAGACACAAAATAAAACATCTGGCTTCTTATCAAAATAAAACATCCATGTTTCAGGCAAATCGTATTTCACACCATGCAACCATGGGCGAAGACCAACAAGCGAAAGGTTCATAGACATCATTTCACCCTGATGACACCATGGATGAGGAGATGCTGATTTTAGAAGTCTAGAAGTGGTTTTCCTCCTCTGGAAGGACACGATCTACTGTTATTATGGTTAGCCTCATCCGTGGGTTCTTGTGAGTTCTCGCGATTACCGCAATCTGCCACGAAATTCATCGAAATTTGGCGTACGGCGAAAATCGCTGCTGGAAATCCCGGGTAACTTGGTGTTACGGTGTATTTGACCATAACTTAAATTTACACCGGCTACTTAATACTAACGTTAAACGACATGGATCTCCTTTGGGACAGACAACAAGAATGGAGAGCTGTCTGTTCCAGCGTTGTTTGTCCCAAAGGAGATCCATGTCGTTTAACATTAGTATTAAGTAGCTATAAAATCGTCTGCTGTTAGGCAGAGAGCATTTAGCTTACCCTTTTGGTTCGTAAATGGTCGGGGCAGAACTATAGATTGATGTCACACGGCTGAATCAAACGCTGTCAAATAACAGATCCATAATAATCTGGCATCTATGAGCTTAAAAATTGTCTAACAGCATTAATTTCCATAATGTGGAATCAGTGGAGCTTTTAGGCCAAACCTACATGAAGACACCAATCACTGCTCTGCCACCATGGTAACTGGATTAACAAGCAGCGGTGCAGTTATTATGGGATGTCGAGATGATAAATGACAGTCTGTCTGGCACCAAATCTGTCTCCTAATCTCAGCTGGAAAACAAAGGACACAGCCGGGTGACAGCTGAGATGAATGAACGTGTGACTGAATGAAAGTGTGAGTGGGTGTGTGTGTGTTTTTGTGTTTGGGGGACAAGGTTGGGTTGGGGGGGGGGGTTTGAGCAGCATAAGAGGGTTTGAGGACAAGGTAGGTCAACAACAGTGAGTAAATATAAACAGAGGGAGATTAAGAAAAACAGACAGATGCACAAACAAGCTGGCAAACTCCCGGACTGAGGCGGACCGTGATGCTCACCTTGTCAGGCGCTTGGCTCTGCAGGCTGCCAACATCCAGAGGAGTGATGAGGGGCACATTCTGAAAGCCGTCCTCCACACTCACAGGTTTGGCCCCTTTGTCCTGAAGATTACTCCCCAGTTTCACCATCTTTCACCGACCTTTAATATATTCCCTTTATTTCCCTGAAGACTGCTCCTGGGATGGAGGGGGATATTGGAAGAAATGATGCATTTTAACTTCACAGCCTTTCAGCTCAGGAAGAAGATTCAACTTAAACTGGATATTCTCATGATATTTAGCTTTAAATGTGAATTTATGCAAGGAAAGTATTATAATCATATCTAAAACATGCGATTAGAAGGGAGATAACACAATTTTCAGACTGAGCTTTTCCAAAATAACAAAAAAAAACACCACAACAACACTTCACTTTTACATCCTTTATCCTCCTTTTCAGGGACAAAACAACAAAAACAGCAGTAACTTACAGCCGGTCGTCCTTGTCCGTCCGCTCCCTGTGCTGCTGCTGCGGCTGCGGTGTTTGTGTCTGCTGGACAAGAGGCGCAGATGAGGAGCGGGTGAGGAGGCTGGAGGCTGCGCTGCGCTGCGGCGTCGCTGCTGCTGCTGCTGCTGCTGATGCTGCGGGAGGGCGACGCTGTACCGCCGGAGACAAAGTGGGTGTCAGGGCGGCAGGTTTCTCTCTACCAGCGGGCAGCCCAACCCCCTAATCCAAACACAGCCTCTTCCTCTTCTCTTCTTCTCTCTCTGCTGCTGATGCTGCTGCTGATGGTTCAACCAGCCGCTGGTTCTGCCGCTAGGGGGGATTTTTTGTCCTTCTTTCAGTCAGTGGTCGTCCCGTTTGTTTTGCCAAAGTGGAAGCCGATTAACTGATGCCTTTGAGGGAGACACGTAAACTCCTGCACCCTGGTTCAGAAGAGTGGAAATGAGCATTAAATACTTGATGTTTTTATAAAGTAAATCCTAAAACCAAAACCTCACTTCTTCCAGATACAACTCTTTCTGAATGTGACAAGTTACATATTTTTATGAGTTGTTTTTTTCTTCTCATCTTTATTTTAGAGACTAATTTATCTTGATTATCCCAAATCAATAAGGCTGTGTGTCACATGATAATAATAGTTCACCTAGAGAATGAAATGTAGAATCTATAATCCGGATGATACAAGTTGAACATTTGTCAGAAAAGAACAAAAATATTCCTGAATGATAAATTAGAGCCTCAACATTTCCCATCCTAATAACAGCAACATACACTTTTGGTCCTACAGCGCCACCTGGTGGTTTAAAGAGGGACACAGCTGATTTTGAGTTAGAGGCAGCTACAGTAGGGGAGAGTGGGGTAAGATGAGACATTTTTCATATTTCGGATCACTACATTAAAGCAATCATTGTTTTGTCTCTAACTAGTGTATCTGCATATTTGTCAAGATGTTGTTCATCCCTACAAACCAACAGAATGAGTGTAAACAGAACTGTCTTGATAATAGAGCATGCCAAAAAAAGTGGTCTCCTATGGTCAACTTTCCCCGTGTATGGGGTAAGTTGACCATAGGAGCGGGGTAAGTTAAGTTTATGTTAGGTTTTTGACCTCATGTTGTAGCTCATAGATACCACAATTAATGCATAAAACTAATTTAAAATGATCTTTTTTGGTCTGAACACAATTCATATCAAACTTATGACAGACTAAATTCACTTTCAAGAGTGAAAAATGGAAATAAATGTCTAACCCCTTCACTCATGTGCTTCTAACCTTCACAGACTCCATGAATTGATGCCCATCTCCTAAATATTTGGTCACATGATCAATTTCTTTTGCCATTTCCAAGCAACAGGGGGTGGCTCAACTTACTCTCCCCTATATACATTAGAGAAAGGGTGGATCTATTTCAAGTAGAGATCACCATAAAGATTGATACTTACACAGAGTTGCCCCCTCCATGCTACACTCCCATGATCTACAAAAGAAAACAACACCATCATCAATAAGACTGACAATTTGAGTTAGCTAATAAAGCCTAAAAGTGCTGTGAGGGGGCTAAAATTCAGGATGCATTTACAGAAACTGTGTTTTTTTTCCTATTTTCCACAGGAAATATTCACAAATCGTGAAACATTTGACAAATTAAGACAACAGGATGAGATCATATGTGAAAAAAAAACTGACCCACAAAAGGTGGCCTACAAGGTAACAATTCTTTAATAGAAAGGTCCTCACAGCAGCTGTCCAAAAATGGATTACCCTTATACATGGAGACATTTATCATTTGTTGAATACAGCAGGAATTTATGTTTTTTTACTGTACAACCACGGGGTCAAGTTTGCAGAGCACTGAAGAGTACAAAATGTAACCAGCAGGTGGTGTAAGTGAGCCATCAGCTGGCTGGTTCAGTGTTTCATGGAAACTTAAAAAACAACAGAACACCCAGTCTGCTCTTGCTGTCGAATGACATGTCCAGTTTTTATGGATCAACAAACTGTAACGTGAATTTTGAGGCTTTCGAGTGAGTTATTTTGAAGTCTCCATGGGGCTCAAAAGAGTAGAGTGGAGTCTATACAAGCTCTTTTTAAATAGCAGTATGATCTTAATGGGTGGAGCATTTGGGAAAGATACAGCAAACATGATCATGTAAAGTATGTGTTGAAAATATCTGGATTGTTTAGAGTTCAGCAAACAGTAGCTGCAGATTTACCAGGAAGTGAATTGAACTATCTGACATGCCAGCTGCCTCAACTCTGAAAGATCAGCTGTGATATTATTGCTTCTTCTTTGTAATTGTGCAGAAGAACATCATTTAAAGACTCCTTTATGTAGGACAACTGTGGATACAAGTAAGTCTTGTATATAAATTGGCTGACAGTAACTCACTAAGAGCATCAAAGCTTTTTTGGCTATATGCACTGTGAGACCTTTTCCATCTCAGTTTGCTGAACACACTCATTTGCAAGAAATATCAATTAATCAATCAATATTTATGGAGCCAAATCACAACAAGCCCAATCAAATGATACTCAACACACTCTGCAGGTCTGGCATGTTTTTTTCATAGTCCTGTTTACCACCGATGGGCGAGCACTATCAGCAGGCAGAAACCGCGAGCAAAACCAGAATTGTTGGAAGGTCGCCATCAGCCGAAAAATAGAATTAGCTGTATGTTGTACCTCAATAAGAACTTTTGGTAACCCTTTCTTTTACGGTACACTTATTAACAGGTAATTACCTAGTAACAACATGAAATTATCTGTGGCGGTTCCAGGAAGCAGAGAAAATCTTGGAAATACCAGAGCAATTCGGCTTCAAATTTGTATGATGATGGAAGGTTACCTACCTGGTAGCTAGACAGTATTGAATTAGTAGTTATGATGTTATTACCAGATAATTTCATGTTGTTACTAGGTAATTACCTGTTAATTACCTGGTAATAAGTGTACCGTAAAAGAAAGCTTTAACAGAACTTATAAGGTTCTTGGATAGCACAGACTAATTGCTTTAGAGTGATGACACTAGTTTACTTTCTCTTTGTTTCTTTGTATTAAAACAAAAAAAGGATAGGTCTTTGTTTTTGCTTCCAGCGATTGGTGGCTCTCAGATTTGGGGAGAAGTTCGCCTTCGGGCCTTTTTCTCTGCCACAGTGGATCAACAGGAGTGACAAAGAAAGTCCAACCCAGCAAAAGAAAATAAACAGAGTGAACATTAGCCTCAGACCTGAGAGATGCGTGTCCCACCTTTAAACTCTGCACAGTATAAAAGTAGAACATGCATGCATGACTCCTCAACTGTTAGAGGATAACATCGGAGAAATGAATGAAGCATAAAAAAAAAAAAACAGACAGACGGAGCACATATTTTCATCACAGTTAAGATTTATTTCATTCAACATTTCACATTACAAATATTTAAAAATTATGCATACTGTTATAAATAGTTGGCTGCAAACAATTAAATAACATTAGATTTTTCTTTTTCGTTTCACTAGCACTTCTACAGACCAACTCCTAGAAATATGGACATATCCGTATTACATAACTTAATTAGAAAGGAAAATACAAAAATAGGAACTTATAAAGTGAAATGACAATAAAAATTAAGGTGTGATATCTTAAGTAAAAAATGCTATTAATAAATACAACAACCTTCCCATACACAGTTAAAAACTATTGAAATCTTGCCATTAAGTAACATCATTAACAGACAAATATTTAAATATTTATTTTCCTTCAGAAAATGTGAACCATATATTGTGGAGCACAATATAGCAATTAGTAAAAACTAGACACTTTAACATATTAAAAGCTTCACCTCAAAAATATAACAAAAATCTGATCAAAATTATAAAAATCAATTATACATTCCAATTAAAAATATACCAATAAACAGCTAAATACATTGTTGACCTAATAATTACAATGCAATCAATCACAGTAGCTTAAAATAAACAAAATAAGCAAATGAGCACAAAACCTTTAATGTTTTAAAAATAACTTCAATTATTTATATTAGTACAAATAGTTTGATTTCTTTTCTTTTTTACAAACACCAGCATGAAAAGGATTACAATAACAGTAGAAAATGACTGTGAAAAACATATTAACATCTTCTTTAATTAAATGTCTGCAATTAAAAATGGCATTAAAGAATTACATTGCAAAGAGTCTTTATCTGGAAAAAGGTTCAAAAGAAGTATTGCACATAACAACTTGAAGTTAACTTGCAACATTTACCACATTCAAGTCTTTAAGCTCCCCTTCCTCCAGATAGGTCTATGTAAGATCACCTCGACAGACAGTGGGGATGAGTTCTCAAGTCTTTTTAAAAACAGTGTTTCTAAGGATGCTCAAAAGTCCTGCACTGCCCGAATCGATTTTTAAAGTTTGTGTCTTGTTTCTTGTCTTAGCTCTCTGTCATGTGCATCCTGCAGAGGTCTGCGAATGGGGAAGCAAGGAGATCATCACGTGACGTGGGGGGAGGGGAGGGGAAGGGAGGTGAAGTGAGGTGAGGTGAGGTGAGATTGGGTTTGGGGGTGGGGGTGGGGGGGGTCGTCTTTAACAAGTTAATAGTTGAGAAACATTTGGTGCACACCACAACAATTAATTTTAATAGCTAATTCATGTACTTGTCATTTTCTCTTTTAATGTCATGCATGCTAAGGATTACAATAGGTGCTAGTTGGCAAGTTCAAGAATATATATATACTTTTTTTTTTTCAAATATTAAAATATCTAAACACCAAACATCCATTCTTGTGATATGAGATTCAGCGTTACGCCTGAACCGAATTTTGCATTCTCCTTATAATAAGTTATACTCCATCTATGGAGAGGAAACCGAGACAGAAGTTACCATTTTCCAACTAGAATAGCCATGTTTAGAGACATTAACATCGATTTTCAAATTAACAACTTGTTTTTTATTTTTATTTTCTTCTTTTTATTCTCGCCATGCTGTTATTCGACCAGATTGACTGGAAACATCGAGTGTACGAGAAGCCAAGACCAAGAGAGCGATACACTTTGGTCTCTCTTCTGCAGCTCTGAAGTCGCATCAACACAAGTGCACACTTAGTTGTAAAGTTTCCTCAGCACTGAAATGTATAAAAAGCATAATTGAAAATAATATATATTGAAATCACTCAACTTTTTTTTTCTTAAAATGAACATTTCCATATATGCAGATCTCTCAGTAACAAAAGTACAAAAGCTACCTTTCACAATGTGAAAAATTGAGGTATTGCAAAAAGGAGTTTCCCCATTTGTGAAAAATGTGCCTAAAATGACTGTTGGAAAAAGAAAAAATATTTAGAAAAGTAGTGCATAATAAATGTTTATATGTGCATGACAAAATAATTTAGCTAGAAAACACTGTACCAAAAATCAGCAGGCCATGTATAAAATAATCTTTTTTTTTCATCTCATTTAACAGCAAATTCTTCACAAAGTGTTTTAACTTCTTAAAATGCTCACCCAAACGCACCCACAAAACTTATGTCCAGGGTGCAAAAACTGGTGCGACAACACCCGCCGATATGAGGATACGTTTCTCACTAGTGTGTGTATTATCAAGTTTCTGTACTGACTCCCTGACATATTTAAATGCTCGGCTAGTAGGTTAACCACTGAGTGACTGAAAATGTTAAACAAATGTGAGGATCGGGTTTTTTAATTTTGCTGTGAATGTGCACTTGATGTTGTTGAATTTGTCCCTAACGCACAGACCTATCGGAGATAAAGAGAACTAGTGGCTACCGACGCGCACCTCCATTTTGAGCTATAGAGAGTGTGAGGCCTTGTGTGTGCGTACGTGTGTGTATGCGTGTGTGTGTGTGTGCCTACAAGCCCTATTCTCTTTCCATTTGTGTTTTAATGGGTTTTGACTGCACTGTCAGATATATATGTATATATAAATATATTATGTTCAAGGCCAATCTTTGGTTTACTGGGCTTGACAGTTAAGCAAAACTGGGTAGAAGTGACAGATCTTAAAAAATATATGTATAAAAAATGTCCTTGAAGAAATGAGAAAAAGGAACACACAAGTAAAAACCTAAATAAGAAATGAGCTACAGTATGACCCACTACTGCACAGCCATCTTTGGTTCCCAAACACCACTGGGTACAACCGACTGTTCGAAAAAAGGAGCAAACTGCATGTGTGCAGTAGTAGAGCACACTGCAGAGACTATCTTCATTTATGCTTCAAAAACACTGGATGCTGAGTTGGATTAGCTTGGCAGGAGAAAAAGATAGAAGGGGGGTTCGCCGAAAGGGCAGATCCCTCCGTGACTCAAATGTGTGCTGACACTTCCAAAAGCAGACAAACTTTAATTGCTTCTTTCGTTGAATGTGGCTGATTTTCAGATGCGAAGTAGAACTCTTTTCCATTCAAGATTTGGGAGAATTGCACAAATGCACTAGAAAATAAAACAAACAAACTATCAAAGACAGGCATTTTCCCATAAAAACTGCAATAAAAAAGGCAGCTACTTGACCAGCCTGCTCTCGAGGAGTTACCTTCACCTCAGTCCTGAAAGATCTGGATCCAAGCCCCACTGTGTGCAGGTTTGGATCCATGAAAAAAGGCCTTGCCTTCTGTTAGCTGCTAGCTTAGCATCAGGAGGCCGCAGGCAGACATGAGGAGGGGGGGGAGTGGGGCCGGGTTTATCTCTGTAGCGGTCCGCCTGTCTTTCTCATATAGCCTCCTTACACCATACATTCCCCTAATACGCTGTATACTGTACGATGCTCTTCTTTGTCCCCGGCACAACCCTGGGTTTGATTACAAAAATAAGGAGGTGATGAAGCAAGTGAGTACAAAACTGTGCCAGTCACATCACACTCGGCTTGTTGCATCACTTCCCTTTGATTAGAGTTCTAAGGAAAGGAGAACACCAGCGGGTGATAATCTTTTCTTTCTTTCTGTCTTTCTTTCTTTCTCTCTTTTAAACTGTATTCGGCACATTAGCAGCTGAGTCTGAGGTATTAGTTTTTGCATGTCATCATGGAGATCAAAACCCAAATATGTGTTGCTGAAAATTTTGTCGTGGTTTTTTTTCAAGTAACGTCAAAGTATTCGTATGATCTGGGAAATCATAAAGAGAGAGGTTCGAACATTTTGATCAGGGAGGAAAAAGGATCCGTTTTTCTTTCTCTTTCTTTCTGCAGCGGGCCCTCTCTGCTCCTCAAAGTACGTTGAGATTCAGCTTTGGTTAACTACTAAGGGTCTCATGTTCTGGATCTGCACTAAATTAGAAATAAGTGCACTCTTCTTAAGCAACACCTTTTTTCAATTCACATTTGCTCTGGAGCCTATTGTGTTTCAATTAAAAAAAGAATAGAACGAATCAAACCTCTCATAACAAAAAAAAGCAAATGAGGCGCTTTTTTTTAAGCTTTTGCTCTGGAGACGGTGTAGAAAAGGAAAAGAAACAGCTCTGCTACAAAACAAGTCAAAGAAATGTCAAATGAAGTGTGGTTTTTTTTTTCTGGGGGCTTCTCGTATCAAAAATCAAAACAAAACACAGAGTTAAGAAAAATATGCCAATTGATTAGCAGAGTACCATATCACACCTCAAACTTTCCTATATATGTTTTTTTTTGAAAACTAATAAAAATATTTCAAAAATCAAACACATAAATAAAATATGTTACACATCTTTTTTTCCTTGCTGGACATATTTGGAAATAATTCCAGTTTTCTTTTCTATCTTCAAAATATAGATATATATATTAACTTAAAAAAATGAGAAAAAAGGTTCAGTGAAATTAGAGCAAAAAGGAACCAGCAACAGAAAAGTGCATTTATTTTTTACAATGATTTGCGACTCCTGCACTACCTGCCCTCCTTCTCCCCTGTTGCCTCTCCCTCTCTGCCAGCCGCTCAGTTCCAGCGGAAAGAGATGTGACGGGGTCTGTCACCTCCCTCCTTCACCAGGGGTTTGTGAAACTCTCGTCCGGCTCTGGAGTGGATGGCCGCCCAGCAGTACTCGCAGTAGTACTGCAGACAGGTGACGTTGGCGCAGAAGAAGGGCGCGAACTTCCCGCCGCAGCGAGTTCCCTGGCACTCATCGCACAGCTGGTCATCCAGCACGTATGGCTTCACTTCCACCTGCAATGAAATGACAGCGGTGATCCATTAGAACTGAGAAAAGGTTGTTTAGTTATGATTTCTCTTTCTGTGAAGCAGTTTGTTTAGACATTCAAGTCGCTGCTGGATCTTTTTGATGTCGAATTATCAATCTGAAATGTTCTGTTTCGTGTAAATAATTAATACACTTCAGGAGTTCTTTTTCTTTTTAGACTGATCTTTGTCTGATCAAATTTATTCTCCGCATTTTTACAGGAATAGCTTCTTCTGATAAAATGATATCTTAAATTAGTAGTTCAGGGCTCGACAGTGCGACCATTTCACTCGCATTTGTGAATAAAAATTGGTGTGTGTGAATTATGAAATGTATTTAGGGGCACGTGCACATAAAAATTAGCCAAGGCAACAAATGTTTTTTCTTGTAAACACCGGTGTGAAGTTTGTTTTAGGTTGGATATCTGGCGGACATTCACTGCAGATCTACCAGTGTCTTCTCACTCTCCATAACCGGGAATAACAACAGCAGAGCGGTTAAATCTACCCCGCATTCTCGCTGTCAATGTCGGGTGTTGAAAAAGGGACTGTCAATCAATCACCGGTTGATGTTTTCAGAAAAAGGCTGTTTTCCTTCAATAGCCTTCATGCCATGTGACCAAAAGACCTAAAATTGATTTCAAATAAGAGTACTAAAGTCAGATAATAAGACACACATTATTTGATCAATTTTCATGTGCATTGTGCTCTTCGTGTGCTCCCTACTTTTTAAACTTAGGAGCACATGTGCTCCTGCAGTTTTAACTTTAAAGACCCACTCTGATGAAAATCATGTTTTTCTTGTTGTCTACATGTTCAAATGGCCTTTTTCTGATGCTACAGGACATATCATCAAATTGCATTTCCGCATTTAAATCTCTGTGAAACTCTGGCAGACCCAAACGGCAGGTTCAGACAGTGAGATTTCCTATGTCACAAATCAAAGCTCCGCCCCCACAGCCCCTCTATGCGGGCCGGACTCTGAGAAATAGAGAGAACTGTTGTGGAACAAGTGTGTGCATTAAGAAAGCTAATTATGATATTAACTTTCATCATGTCCCTTACGACATTAGTGTCCCAGAGCTGAATAGCTCCTATGTTACCTGCCACTTCTACTACATCGGCAATGTAAGGCTACAAGCTAACGTGAAGAGGAGTGTGCAGAGCAGCGCTGTCTCCGCCCACGACTCAGAGTTGAATTACTGATGATCTACTGGGGCTCTGCAGAAGAAAAGACCTTAAAAATGACACAGGTAACATGATTTTGGCCAAAAACTTCATAATCACAATTTAAAGACCATTAAGACTTTTAGTGGTAAAAAAACGATCGGAGTGCGACTTTAAGTGTCAAGTCTGTCTGGGGTTAAGACTCGCATAGTCCGGTTTAGTGTACCTGTTCTCTATTTTTAAGACTCACTCCAAACACTTGTTTAGAGCTGCATTCACTTTCTGTTTCACATTTAGAGACTTTTTCTTTTGAACAAGTTGAAGAAGTTTGCACGGACTGTAGTAATTCCCTAAAGCAGCGTCACAGTGAGCTGTCAGAGAACAACATGTGACTTCAAATGTTGACATTTGTGTGTTTCAAACTCTATTCTCAGACTGTACTGAACATCACTCACATGCTTTTCCAAGTACTCAGTAATAAGAGACTCGGCTATTAGCGAGTGAATGTCACTAAGGCACTCAGTCTACAAAATTTGCACACCAATTATGCAAATGAGAAAGCAGCGCCATATTACTCTGGCAATTTATATCATGATGGTTTTCTCTTCACTTGATATTTCTGCTCAGCTTTTTGCTCTTTTACTTGCTTACTCACCTCTATTGTGCAAATATGAATAATGTTTGAGTCAATTACAGCCCACTGTGGAAGTGCGATTCCTTCGCTGATGAAAGCAGCGGGGAAGTCACTGATAACTTCAAGTGTTTAACACCTAACACCTCTGTGCTATAGTTTCAACACAGGAACTCACACATGGTTTAAAGATCATTTAAATGTGACTTTCTCTTAAACACTGTGGCTTAATTTAGTCCAGATAAGTGAGAAAACCCCGGACAATTGTTGCTACATTAACTGCGCGTATACATGACTGACAAATGTTTGAAATTGTGCTCCCCTCCTACACATCTTCTGCATCCAAACACTCACAATCTGTACACATGGCTGCATTTGGCACTCCTTAATCCACTCTAGAAAGACCTCCCTCTTTTAGCTCAGAAATGGGGCAAAGAAGAGGAGAAAGTGAAGGAAGCAGCACAGGAAGTGAGGCAGGGGGGGAGACAAATGAAGAAAGAAGGGGACCCGGAGGGGAGGTCAAAAAACACTGAGCTCTCTTTTCTCCCCACTCACCCGTTTATCGATTTCTCCATGTTGCAGCTGTACAAAGCGAGCACTGATAGCAGCAATGTAGCTCTGCTGATTAGAGAAGGCGACCCGCCCCGCTCCCTTGGGGTACTTCAGCTCAGGGTCTGTGTCTATGCCAGCGTAGCAAACTCCACCGTACAGGCGGTCCATGATCATAGCCAGCTCCACTGTGAGGGAACAGAAAAAAAACACACACACACAAAGATGAAGAAAATAGAAGCAGAAGACTTGAATGGAGTTCTGGTCAGACCCAGTGATTGCGTGAGAACACATGAGCTTTTTTATGAACATGTAGTCAGTGAACACAAACACGCCGAGATGATGAGGGCTGTTGATCTGACAGCTTAAAGCCGTAAACACAGATGGATTAAAGTTCAGCAGAGTTCGGAGGGGCAAATATGAGAGGAGGGTCAGCTGCAGTGAAAACCAACAAGTCCAGTTTTTTAATGTGGTTTTACACAAATATGCAAATTTGAAGGAGATGACTCTGCAATTTCACAATTCAGCTCTACAAAGTCAGATGACGGTTATTTAATATGTAAATGTGAGACATGTAATTTAACAACTTAACATGAAAACATTTAATACACGACAGGGCCCTGCCACCTCGATCATTAGACCGACTACAGCTCTAAACACGGGCACCAAGGGGGCAGTAAACATGTCCACTCAGCACTCATAACACTGAGATCTGGGTTCTAAAGAGTTTAATATTCTACACAACACGGGGAGTTGTTCCAGATAAGACCTGTGGAGGTCAAAGCAGATTTCACAGCACAGCTCAACGCTCGGGCAAAAGCTGATCACATTATCTTACAATGAGGGGGAACAGTGGAGGCAGCAGACCTAAACAAGGCCTGTTCAGTTTCCACTCAATTTGTATTTTACAGTAAAATTATGTTCAAGTCTTTGGCATATGAGTGAAAAATCGATTATTATCAAACATAATTTATCGAGCACTTTTCATTCATGGACATACAACACAAAGTGCTTAAACACACAGGAAAAATAGAAATGTAGACAAACAATTACACAAACGCACACACACACACACCTGCACACTCTCCCTAATGACAATAGGCAGACATGGCATGACACTGAGGATTGATGAAGCGCCATCTTTGGGGCCATCCACACTGGGAGGAGTCACAGGCTGTGCCACAGGGGCACCAGCGCCCAGAACCCCCGACCCTGACAGACAACAGCCAGTCGGGCCGAAGGGACCCAGGGACAGCAGCAGCCCAGACACAACTCCCAGTGTGGAGACCCTCCCTAGGGAAAGAGTTAAAACTAAAAACTAAAAGAATAACATACATCCAAGGTTCAGTAGCAAAGAGTGACCCTTGAGTATGTTGCATTGGAGTACCTGACGTATAAACTACACTGCAAAGAAATGATGTGTTTCGTAAAACATGTGAAACCTTTTTATCATATGTTGGTTTAAATATTTTTTACCATTCTTACGAGAAGGTTTGTATCATAGCTTTGAACGTGCTGCCTCGAAAGTGACGTCCTATTTAATTCATGTTTTTGCCTCTGTGTACCTTTCTTTTGACGTATGAACGTGTTATGCATGGCAATGTGCACTTGATTTGTTTTACTTCGTTATTTTATTTGTATAAGAAAACTCCTGGATCTCTCGCCTGTATAAATTTGAACTTAAATGTGTGTGTGTGAGAGCCAAATTTATGTGTGTTCTTGTTTATTTTCTGGAAATTTTAAAAACAAATATGAAAAAAATAAAAAAATAAAAAAAAGAAGATAGGATTAAAAAAAAAACCCTGAAAAAATAAGTAAAAAGAGTGTAAAGAGTTTAAAAGGATGAAAATACATAAGATCTTGGAGAAACTCAACACTTGGATCCAAATGTGTTATTGATGTAAACAGACGTTTGTTTTTCATCCACCTGGTTCACACAGAAGGGAAAGTTACCTGCACGGAGCGGACGAGGGACTCCTCCCACAAAGATAGTTTTCCTCGGGTCAAGAGGTTGAGATCCATCCATCACAAAATCGCTGTCATTCAGGTTCCATGGGCGGATCTGAACCTGTCACACACACACACACACACACACACACACACTGGTTACAGCAGCTCTGGACATTTAATGACACCGTGCACAGTCCTTATGGGGGCATTTGTTTGAACGTGCGCTCCCACTAACCGGCTTGTCTTTGATGGTGGGGCTGGACACGCAGAGGTACAGCTTGCCGTCCTCCTCGATGCAGGCGTCGATCAAAGCCTGCACTGAGCTCTCATCCTGGAACAGCAGGAAGGCGTAGCCTACACAGATATACAGCAGGGTTATTCATGCTGCCAGGGACACCAAGTATTGACAAAAGAGTCATGTTGGAATTTAGTGCGATGATTACTGTGACTGTATGTTTGATCGCCACATTCTGCATTCACAGCAGGAGGGCATAAGCTTTTTACAAATAGATGGAGGAACAGACAAACAGGCCAGGCATGCTTACAAAATGCTCCACAGAAGAGCCTAAAGACAAAAGCAGACTGCACAGATGCTCACATAATAATAGTACACCAATACAAAGCTGTGCCAGAAAAACATGTCTGCCTTTTTTTAGCCAGTAGGACGACGAAGACGACATCAAAGTCAAACTTACCTTTTGATGCAATAAAAAAAGGCACTGCAGCCTTCCTTACAGACCAGTATAAGGCAGGAGGAAAATACAGCACGCTAAATGAAGATGCTGCCATGATAATTTGACGTACCTTTGGGGGGGAAATAGGATTTGCTCTCTGCTTTGTGAGGCCAGTCCACAAACAGGTGTCCAAAACGCCGGAAACTGGCTGTAATCTCATCTGGAATTACACAAAACAGCGTGCAAACTCATCAGCGTGAATCCACTAATTTTGTCTTCAGGTGTGTCTTTCCCTCCACAGATTTTCATCAACCCTATTTTGATCTCAATAAACCCGCAAACCTTCATCTATGTCCGGGGGTAGACCTCCCACGAAGACCTTGCGAGAGTAGCGTTCGACGCGCTCTCCGTTCTGGTGTGGGAAGCAGTGAGGGGAGCCCAGGCCTGCGAGACCTTGATCGCCACGCTCATCGTCAGGGAAACCATCCTCCATGGGGAAGAGAGAGGAGTGACCTGAGACAGAGAGAAGAAGAGAGGAAGAACGGATGAGAGGTTGATTTTCTTCAATGAGATCTTGAGGTGAAGGCTGCAGGGACGTAACAAAAATACTATATTTGCTCTTCAAGCAGCGTGAAATAATTCAGCAGACCTTTAATACTGTTAGTATCATGTCATGCACATTACTTGGGATGCATTCAAATGGTGAAGGTGAAACCACAGAGTCATCTTAGCCTGTGTGTTTACTTCGATTGAAGTGAGTTGGACAACAAATAAACAAAATGATGAATTAATTTCAGTCACAAGGCATTCAATGTTTCAGTATGAAAGTAGATTATCACAGGAATGGGACAAGGAATTGGACCGAACACGCAAGACCGGCAACAATCAGGTCTATGAGGACTGAACGAGCATGCAGGTTCTCTGAAATGAAACACAGCGGCCCTCTCAGTCTTAATAGTTCAGAGTGGACAGGGAGTGAGTTGTGGAGGTTAAGCCCTCCCTGGCCTATTCCTGCTCCCTTACAAACCTGCCCTGAGCTGCTTTATAAAGATTTATGCAAGGAGGGAGTTAGCCTGAGCTTACAGTTTGTGCTGTGTGTGTGTGTGAGTGAGTGTGTGTGTATGTGGGGGTGAGCCTGTGTGTGTGTCTTGTTCCGGCCATGTGCCTGTGCATGTGTCAGTGCTTCTGTTGCAGTGAGTGTAAAACACAAACTACACTTTTTTTTTTGTGCCTCATTAACTTTCAGCTCAAAGTCTCAAAGTGACACTAACAGCTATTGTCTGGCTTGACAATGTCACAAAATGTGGGTGAGAAAAAAAACTAAAAAAACAAGCAAGAGTCAAGCATAATGAGAGAACAAATGTTAAAAAAAACAAACAGGATCAGAGATGCAAAAGATCACTTCACAAGCTTTTAGCAAGGCTCCACACTCAAGACGGTCATGCAGACAAACAGATCACAGCACGGACACAGAGGTCGGAGTCATCCACGATGTCAAGTCATTATTTACACAGCCATCGCCCCATAACCAATACAATCACAACAGTATGATGTAACAGCACATGGAGAGCCCTACAGAAAGGAATTTATCTCGGAGAATGAGCCATTTCTTTTTACCTCGTCTCCTGCTATAATTCCTGGCTGCATGTGGAACAGGAACAAACCAAAGAAGAGCGTGATTATAAAAGACGAATAATACACTGGATCAATAAAGGTGCCAGGTGGATCATGACAATAGATGGAGCTTCCACTGTCTGCCAGTCAACCTCTCTACTTTATTTATCATGTGTGAATTATGAACAGCATGTGGAACTGATGTTATTCCTGTTTATGGACACTAGGGCTGCACGATAAATCGATTTTAAATCGTAATTAGATTATTTGATCATGACAATGTTAAAAAAATTAAAATCATCAAATTGATTTTCCTCTCTATCATGTCTCACCCCTCCAGGCCACCGTAGTGTAAACCATAGACTGTATATACCATGGACAACTTGACGAAAAAGCTCTCAATATTTCGGCGATTTTTCTTCATTTCCTGAAACCAGCACTGCTCGGCTCAAACAGCGTACCCCCGGGTGAGCTACGCAATCTTCGTATGCCCATAGGTTGTATCAGGTGTCAATCAAAGAAAACATGAACCCCCTAATAACTTTTAAAAATGGAGCTGTACAGAAAAAAAGAGGACTTGAGCACAAACAGTCTGACAGTAACTACATGTCAACATCCCAACCAGGGGGGAGAAACATTTATATCCTGTGTAATAAATTTCTTAAATTTGTCAACAGCTCCATAAGCTTTGAGGGCGGAGGCGGGATTTATGACCTATACTGCAGCCCGTCACCAGAGGGTGCTGTTCCCATGGTGGCTTCACTCAGCGAGGAGGCAGACAGCTTCCATTCTATATACAGTCTATGGTGTAAACAAACATGGCGTTTGTAAAAGAGGGCGATAATTTCATGGTTAAATAGGACAAGAGCGAGTCAGTTGTGTTGAATTGGTACGGCTTCGCAGTTTCGGATGAGGAGCAAACCACTCCCTGCTACAAAGTCTGTCTGAGGGCGGTATCAACCTGTCCACACGGAAACAAATTCAGGAGTAAACGTACAAGTTTTTTGTTGTATAAGAGTATCATTCACATGGAGACGTCGTTTCGGGTGACTTTAAACATACTTTTTGAAAACGGGTCAGAGAGTGCAGAAATATGTAAACAGCTAGTATTTCATCTACGTCTGGATGCCGATCTTCATCTCTGGAAACAATCATGTGGCACACAGTGTAACTCTTTTATGGCGCCTGCGATGTCGGGTCAAAACAACCTTTATACGTATGCTCTGTACTCTTCTTCTGTCTTTTGTGCATTTCCTGGGCAGCGTTACAGCGCCACTTACTGGCTTGGCATATACACTACATCGTTCTCAGTGTTTTTATTTTGAGAGATGATAGAAAAACTTTTTATTAAAGCAAAGTTTGGTGAAGTTGTCACTGAATAACTGAAAATCTAAAATCGAGTTCTCAGAGAAAAAAAGGTGATCATGCAGCCCTAATGGACACCAAAGACTTTTATGTTGGATCGTCTGTTTTTAAAACTCAGTGCACTGGTTTTCCAGTTACGCAACTCCTTCATTTCAGTCAGCTCGACTGAGAACACAGTCGCCTGATTATGGCCCAGAATCATATCAAAGTGTCCAAGGACTGAACCTTGAGGTGCACCACGACCAATCAGGGACAGTGATAAGATAATAGCCAATGGACCAAGATGTGAGCCAACACAGGAAGTAGTGAAATCTGGATTATAATGAACAACTTTGATAATAGCAGTTGCAGTGGAGTCTCAGCAGTGGCAGATACAAAACTAACATCCAGCATAGATGCCATTATAATCAAAGCATTCCTAGTGGCAGTTAACGTATCGTAGACTTTGTTGCCGAGGAAACACCAGAATGACCAACCACAGGGAGAGAAAAACCTTTTTGTACCATACATGGAGTAGAAGTACCAGAAGTAATAACAGAGCAGTAACCACCAAGTGTTTCTGGATAAATGGACAGCCACTTCACAACATGTGTTTTATCCTCCTACAGTCGTGCTTTAGACTTAACGATAAACTGCATCTATGGCAGCGAGTGGTTACCATTGCAACCTCCATTGTTTCCAGTGTAAACACAGAAGCTGAAGACGGCAGCGACAGCATGAGCTAAGAGGGGGGCCTGCACGGCTATCTGCTCCTGTTGTACGAGCTGATAACTGTTGGACTTCTCCAGGTGGCCACTTTCTTCTCTCTGTCTGTAGACAGCCTATCCAAGAAACAGACAGAGGTAATTCTGCCTGTTTACTTGTGCTTGATGCACATTTAAACAATAATTATTCACATTTGAAATGACTCTGCTGGAAGACTGCGGTAGCTGGGAAATAACTGGAATTCCTTTTCTGCCTTAAAATATTTCTGCCATCCATCTAACAGGTCCAACAGCCTTCAGTACACTTCCCTGTCGTACCCTCGCACATAAAATAGCTCTTTTTACTCATTTTGTCTGAGACGCTCTCTGGGAAATAATATTTTTGTAGCACAGAGCCGAGGTGAAAGGAATTAGAAATCGTTCACTAGAGAGACCGAAGCGTCGACCTATCTAACGCAGCAAGACTACGGGGGGGGGGGGGGTGAAGAAGTGGCCAGAAAACACAAGCAATAATCCTCAGCTCTCTCAGTGGACTCTCCAACCCAGATGGACATTAACTCTGGGAGGTGGGGGTCAGAGAGGGAGGGAGGGAGAGAGAGAGAGAGAGAGAGAGAGAGAGAGAAAAGCAGATTGAATGTGAGCAGAGAGTGCTATAAAAAGATGTGTGTGTGAGAGAGAGAAAGCGAGTGAAAAATAGATTGGAAGAGATGGAGAAACAAGCTGATAAAAAGCTGTGTGGGGGTGAGAGAAAATGAGAGAGAGAGAGAGAGAGAGATCAGGAGAGTGAGGGACGCAATCTGAGTACGCTTATGCGACAAAGAGAGAGAGAGAGAAAGCTGGTGTGCAACCTCAGAATCCTGCCTATCCGCTGGCACCATCTGTCTCAGGGCTTGATGACAGCTCCTCCTGACCATGTGATCCGACCATGTGACCCAGAGATCTCGTGAAGAAACTGCTGGCTTTTCCTGTTCTACATCCTGGCCTTACACCACAACAACACACTTACACACTGATGAAGGCGACCAGAGTGTGCAAGGGCAGAGGAGAAGAAGAGGCTGCTGAATATTAAATCGCTGGAGTGGAAACTGCAGCATGTAAAAGGAGTAAGCCGGGTTTATTCAGCCATTACAGAGTTTCACTGATTTATACAGTCTTAAACGCCGTCTGTTCTTCAGCACAAGACCAAGATCTCTGATTTTATCATGCACAAAAGACAATTCAATGTAAACTGTCGAATATAATTCTAATATTTTTCCAAATCAGCATGATTCAAAGGAGCAAATTTAGATTAATTTTCAATGTCACAATCAGCTTCAATTTAAGCATGAACATCCCTAAATGAGACGCAGCAGTGCTAACATGCACACCTCGAAACAGCAACAGTCATTGATTGAATCCAGTATTAAAATCTTAGTCGCCTCTCATTCTTCTTCTCTTCTTCTTTTGCCTTATCAATCAAACAAAGTTTTACAAGGCTTGTTAATAAATCTAAATAACACCAAAAGTGACACTCTGAGATAGGGCTGGACGAATCTGGACGACGCACGGATAAAAAAAAAAAGAAGATCACTTTAGGAGGATGTGGCCTCCTTTATTTAGAGTACTTACATTTAGTGGACTAACACACAAAAGGAAATACATTCCTCATATTTTCTCACAAAAAGAGCTCGTCTGTTTGTTGCATTTTTGGATTTAGGGCTGGGCGATAAACCGAAATTTACCGATAACGAAATTTACCACAATAACCTACACCATTTTGCCCATATTGGTATATTCCGAGGCAATAAATAAATAAACAAAAGTTGGTTTTGGATGTGTGTAAGTAGGCTATGGTCTCATGTCCCTTTAAGACGCTGTCCTACATCAGAGACATGACTCCACCCATCCAGTCCGTAACAAAGAGGGAAAGACAGGTGAGGAGATGGAGGACGGTTCAAAAGTTGTAGTTAATGTGGGAGGGGGAGAGCAGCTTTCGTTATCGAGGTGACCTGCTCAATATATCGTTATATTGATTTGAGGCCGTATCACCCAACCCTACTCTGAGACCAATTTCAAAAAGTTTTAGCTGCTTTAAGATTTTATGACACAAATTCAGCCGGCTCCATCTTCAATCACCCAATTCTCTAAATCTCCCTTTTATTCCTCGATCATCCTCCAATTTCCTGGAGTCCAAGCCGACCACACCCTCTCTTATATCCACTCATCCCGCCTTAACACCCCACTCTCTCGTCCTGTTTATTCGAGGCGCACGATGAAAGGTCGTCAACATCGATGCTTGTCGGTTGAAAAGTGCTTTTAAATGGCAGCTATATTTCATGCTGGCATTTACAAAGGGCAGGAGGGACGCAGAGGAAAGACGCAAAACTTTTTTAGAGCGTAAGGATGCATCGCCAAAACAACACCAACAGTGGGGTTATTTCAGAAACCCTCCAACTTTCACCACCTGCAGAACTTGGTGTCACTGATACAGGGATCAAGTTTAAAAGCCACTGAACTGGTTAAATTATGCTGATTACCAGAGTTAGCATGTTTGTTTAAAGACAGGATTTAAAAATATCATTTAGGGTTTAAATGTTCTCGCTTTTTATTTATTTCATTTGACAATCGAGGTTTGCTTCTCTTGATTTTGACCCCTTTTTTATATCATTGATGGACCTTTGAACATCTGAGTTTGTCATACATACCATTTAGGGGCAGAGGGTTGTCCGCACCTGGATGTGGGAACCCCAGTCGACCTGCAGGACAGAAACATTTCAAATTTAGGGCCCATTTTAACTCAATGTGCGAAACATTTAGAGAAATCCACAAGTTTGAACGATAATGAAATGACAGCCTCCTTTACAAGTGGATTAGTTTGAATACATTTGTCCAAGGTTTCACCGTGAAGTCATTATTCCAAACAGAATCACTGCTGCTGTAAAGACGGCGACTCCCACAGCAGAAATTCCTCCTCTGTGGGCTGATCATCGTCAGTTTACCGTTCAAGGCCCGTTTTGAGATTTAGCAGGAAAATAGAGAGATAGAGCCACTATCAATTTGTAACTCTGTGACTTGATTATCACAACATGTGCAGGGGTTCCATGTTTTTAATGGATTATTCTGTAGACAATGTTGGACATAATCCAAATAAAGGACCCAGGGTTTGGTTTGAAACGGCTGATTTTGGGCAGGAGATCAGATCAAACCGTGGGTGTTTCTGACAGTTCATTAAGAGTGTGTATACCAAACAGGCGATTACAGATATGAGCGCCGAGCGTTGCTTTCACATCAATCTCATTAGAGAGTACATCTGTGGGACACAAACCGTCTCTCTCCCTCTCATCGACCTCCATTTCCCTATGTGTGCCTCCCTCTGTCTCTCTCTGAGCCTCATATCATAGGTTTTACATTGAGCAGTTTGCCAGGCCCACCTAACACACACACACACACACTCACACACACACACACACACACACACACACACACACACACACACACACACACACACACACACACACACAGAAATACATGTTATGATGCCAAACAAGCTTCAAAGTTATGCAAGGCCCCGCTTGCTGCAGAGGGATAATGAGATGAAAGAGCTGAAATAGTACAACCATTGTTGTACGGGTATGGACCGCCCTGTGATTGGTGCATTCCAATGCCTCGGTCACATGGAAATTTGCTGGCCCCTCCCCCACACCTCGCCTATTGAGCCCAACAGTTCTCAGTGGATGTGGCGCATGAAACAGAACTGGGACTCACTGACCACAGAAACTAGGATAGACAACCTGTGGTTTTTAGAGGCTGTAAAGCTAAACTAGAAGAAACACGCAAGCATACTGTAGATACTTAGAGGAGTCCATAAAGATGTTATCAAATACGATCAGATGTTTGAACTAAAAACAGGTTATTCACACAGACTCCAGCGCTCAGTTTATCTCCTTCGGTAATTTGGCTTGGTATCATAGACTGTGCGCTCATAGGTGCACCACCCAAAATCAAAGTACATCTGAGCACAACCCGTCACGTTGGATTTTAAAAGCCTTTAATGGTCCCTGTGGAGCAAGTGTGCTGACACGTCAGCTCACCACATCCCAGTGTGTCTGCAGGGTGGTGTGTATGTGTGTGTTTGAGTGTGTGTGTGTGCCCGCTCTATGAACCATATTTGCATGCTGCTGGCTGCCTACATGTACAGCACAGTAATAGTTAAGGCACACGCATGCACGAGGACACACAGGGCAGTGGTGTGCGCGTGTGCGAGTGTGGTGGCTGAACAGAGAGATCCTTTCTGTCAGTCAGGACAATGCTGGAAGCGATTCAAAGCCACTCTCTACAGTAGACATTTTGCCTCGCCTGTTCCCCAGATTCATCGCTTTCACTTTGTTCAATACGTTCTGCCAGAGTGAGAAATTTGGTGCCCTGCTTATGTGTGTCTAACTGTGCTTGAGCATGCATGCTGTCCAGATTTATTATATTTTTTGGACATGTATGAATGTGTGCAACAGGGAGCAGGAGGGAGCAAGAGTCCATCAGGCTGCAGAAGAGCCAGAGCTTAAAGAGAAAACGCTGTAATTATGCTTCTCTTTTGACTTTGCTTTGAGGGAAAAGGAAAGGAGTCGCCAAAGTCACTGCTACACCTGTCAGAGCACTGAATAATCCGGGAATATAACTATGACAACACAAAATAAACAGAGTTATTCTATAACAGGCCGAGAGCCACGGGTCAAAGACAAGGAGAAAAACAGTCGAGAAATCATGTCTGATCTGATCAGTCTGAGCAAATGTTAAAATGATTAGAGATTCGCAGAGAAAAAGAAAGAAAGGAAGAAAGAAAGAAAGAAAGAAAGAAGAAATAGAGAAAGAAAGAAAGAAAGAAAGAAAAAAGAGAAGGAAAAAGAGAAAGAAAGAAAGAAAAAAAAGGAAAAGGAGAGAAGACAGAAAAAAGGAAAGACAGAAAAAAGGAAAGAAAAAAGAAAAGAAAAAAAGAACAAAAAAATTAAGAAAGAGAAAGAAAGAAAGAAAGAAAGAAAGAAAGAAAGAAAGAAAGAATAACCTCCTGTTGTTATTTCACATTAATTTTTTTTACTCATGGTGAATATCTGATGAGGAAAAAGTGACAAAGGCTCTTTCTTTATTGTACCGACCCACTCAGAGTTACAGGCATTAAAATTATTGTATAGAAGCTGTTGATCTTTGATCTCTTTGCTTTTTACAGTTCAGAGACACATCAGTGTTCATTTCAGTCTGTTTCAAAACTTATCAAAAACTCCTCTTAGGAGCTTTAAATAGATCAAACATCATAATAACGTCAAAAGCCTTCACACAGTTGGGTCTGTAACAGAGGAGAAGCTTTTACTTTTCATTTCAGACGTGAAACAACTTTGTGTTTATCTGGTGCCCAGCTTTCAGATGGGAGTTCCAAGAATCTGTGCCAGCATTGCTGCAGCTAAGACACCAAGACGAACTTAATGAGGTAACCTTCCCATCCTCCTCTCCTATTACTGAGGGAAGATTTACTAAAGCCTGACAGCAAAACATTAGATCACAGCTGGATATGGCTGAACTCAGTAGGTGTGAGGCTGAAATAAATACGAGGTGATAGTGGAGTATCTGGAGCTCAGACTTTTCACTCTCCCTGTTATTCTTGAGACTAGAGTGTGTATTTATGCTTTCTATGTGTGTTCTACAGAGCGCCCCTATTTCAATTACATTCACTGGCATTTAATTACACTATTCTCTGTCTGTGGACGTGCAAACATGACGACTGGATATATTTTGTCGCTGCCATTTTGAAATCTGTTGTACTGATGTTCAGGCTTGCACAGAAATCTGAGTGAATCCATTTTTTTGTCCTCATCCTACAGAGAGAGTGCAATTAAATCCTGCCCACATGGGAGGGTAAAACAACTCATGGGTTTTTATTGATTTTATAATGCATGGAGGTTCCTCCTCTTTACTTTCCTGCTTACAGACAAGTGAAAGTGTGAGGTGAAAGCCCCAGAACACAGATTTTTAGACGCTGAAACAGGAAAAAACAGGTTACAGGAAGCAGGAAGAAAAGAAAAACTGGATCCTGGTGCTTCACTTAATGAGTCTATTTTTACATTTTTCGATTGTGGCTTCATATTTTTCTATCAGTACCTGCAAGCATTGAACTAATCAATCCACAACAAAGCCCAAAACTTGAACTAAAGTACGTGAAGCTCCATTTCTCAACATTTTGTTCTCAATTACTCAAACTCCTCCCTGACAGCCAATGGCTTATGTTGGCCACAGACCTCTGTGTTATCTTAGCACTCCCTGTCTATAAATACTGTCAGCTACACCCTCTAAAACAGTAAACAACACTGTCGACCTGCTGTAGTCGATAGCACATTTGTGGGTTAGCAGTGACCAATATTGCGTAACACAATAACAGACATTGGCTTATCTCTGTAAATCAATAAAAGTCAAAAGTCAGCCAGAGTTCCTGTTACTGCAGCATGACTCTCTGCTTCAGCTCCGGCTTTTAAATACACTGAGGATTAAATCGAGAAGGATTGGGACAACACCTTTCAACGGCAGAGCTAACAATGTCCTCCAAACTGATCATCAAACATCAACACCTCTCTAAAAAAAAAAAAAAAAAAGAAGCGCTTCAGGATACCAGTCCGGCAGAGTGATTGAGTCACATGCAAAGGTACAGAGGTTGTTTTCCTCGATTCAAACCAGTGGCCCATTTCCTTCTCTCTCTGTCCATCATCCTTTTTAAACTATGGCATAAAACCCCCCCAAAAAAAACTCAAAACTGGGGCTGAATGATGTACTGTTGAACCTTCTCAAGTAAAATAAACGTATGTCCAATAGTCATATCACAGAACTGAAAAATGTGACTCTAGGGCTGGGCGATAAACCAAAAATTTACTGATACCGAAATTTAGGACAATAACAGACGTCATTTTGCCCATATTGGTATATCCTGTGTCAAAAAAAATGAATAAATAAGAGTTGTTTTTGGATGTGTGTAGGTAGCCTATGGTCTCATGTCCCTTTAAGACGCTGTCCTACGTCAGAGACGTGACTCCACCCCCATCCAGTCCGTAACAAAGAGGGAAAGACAGGTGAGGAGATGGAGCACGGTTCAAAAGTTGGAGCGGCTGAAGTAGACGAAGTTAATGTGGGAGAGGGTGAGCAGCTTGTGGAGTACTTATTGTAAATTTATTGTTATCAAGGTGAACTGATCAATATATCGTGATATTGATTTGAGGCCATATTGCCCAGCCCTATGTGTTACTGTCAATGAAATAACATGTCCTTCCTTTGTTGGGGTGTTGGAGCTTCTGTCAGAGAACTGAACACAATGTGGTAAGAGTAAGAACTCTCAATTTGTGCCATAAGAAGAACCTCTTATCTCTTCAAAAACTACCACAGTTAATTTCAGTCCATTTCCCACCAGCTGGAAACTCTTAATGATCCTTTAATGATCCCAATTACACATAAAATGTTTTTTTAGGACATTAAACACAATGAATTTATCGGATATAGATTCTTGTATTTTTCATATTGCAATCCATATCACAGAAGAAATATATAAAATATATATGATTTTTTTTAGAAAGTCGTGCAGCCCTGGATTCAACACAACACGAACGCTTAACAATCTGTTGCTTGAGTATTAAGAAATCCTGCTTCAAAAGGGGACACTGCAGCTGTAACCATCACAAACTAATGATGGCTAACAGCTTCGGTTCAGATCAGAGGGAGTCTGTCCATCTCTCCAACAAATCCCCTCTTAAATACAAAGTCTAAGCTCCCATCAGCCCTCTCTTCTTCTCTCTGCATCTCTTTCTCAAAACGCCTGAGAAAAAGAGGTCAGACTTATTGCACCACTCTTCGGCACACAACTCCAAAAATGAATTTCCTCACGAGTGAGATGGTATTTTTTGAAGTGGGAAGAAGCGAGAGAGAGGAAAAAGGAAGACAAAAGTTGCAGACTGCGTGCTACACAGACTAACCTTTCTTATAATTTTTCATCATAACACCAAAGAAGACACTGTGTCTGGTTGTCTGACCTGAGGAGGAAGTGAAACTCCTCAGCTTCTGAGGCGTTGGTATGTGAATAAACATATAGTACTATTTCTTGCTACTGCAATACAATAGCAACACGAATGTATCTGTATCACCAACAGTAAGCTTCATTTCAATTTACGACAGTGAATCCTATCAGGAGATAGAGAAGTGGATTTGTCACTCAGTGTGTGCAGATATGATCGACTCATTTATGTAAGGTTTCCCAAAAACGACGATAACAAGTCTTTCATGTGTGCAGCGAGGATTCCTGCAGGTACTGGGGTGTGAAATGAGAACAGCTGTAATGGTAGATGTGTGCCCAGTGTTTCATGGTCGTGACTGACAGCTGGCATTTTCACCTTTCAGTGTGTCCTGCTCGGCCCTCATGATGTCGATCAAGGAGCTCTCCAGCGTGTTCATGTTGAAGCTGTCAAATGATCTGGTGCGTTCCTAGAGAGAGGAGAGGAAGACAGAGAGAGAGAGAGAGAAAGAGAGGTTGACTTAACTTTCCTTTAACCTTTTTCAGAGCCAGGAACAGTCTTAAGATTTGACCTCCGCGGGATGCCAAGAAGGCAATTAGATTTATCTATGTCAATTAACCCGGGCCGACCAGGGAGCACCGAATGAAGAGGAGACAGTCTTCGTTCTTAATCACACACACGAAAAAATATTGTTTTGTAATTCTGACAGCTTCTCGATCAAATCTTCCAGGACAAAAGCAAAGAATAAATAAAAAATATGCCTGTAAATTCACATTATTCAGTTCACTCAGAATAAACACTCAATTAAAAGGCCGATCAATTCATCTTCAGAAATAATCATTCTTCCTGACTTTTTGATTTGAATGCAATGCCAGGCTTATTGTACGGACTGAAAACAAAGTTGGTCTCTTTATTTCATTGTGACACTTTTGGCATTTGCCGTAATAGATGGATCCACAAACATGATGAATAGGCCCTAGTTTACATACAGATCACCGAACTCTCGAGTGGTTCACTCATATATTCTAAAAGTGAATCGGTAGCGACTAAAAGGAGCCGCTTTACTCTCGTTTCAGGTTTTCACTTGTGGGGAAGTGCTCTCTTCATGCTTGCGGGTTTTTATAGGCCTCCTGTTTTGGACTGTTGGCTGCGCCACTGCAAATTGAACATCTCTCTTTGCCTTGCACCGGGGTGCTGCAATTATTCTACTCTGCAGGACAACCTAGTCATTATAAATCATCTCTTACCAGTGGCTCAAGAAATCTGACAAAATGGAGGTATTTCATATTAATCTACTTCCTATTTGGAGTAGGGCTGCACGATTTTGGCCAAAAAGAAAAATCCTGATTTTTTTTCTCTAAAAACTCAATTTTAGATTTTGTTTACGGATTTATGCACTCTCTGACCCGTTTACTCCTTAATTCGTTTCTGTGTGGACCGGTTGATACTGCCTTCGGACAGACTTTGCAGCGGGGAGTGGTTTGCTCTTCATCCGAAACTGCGAAGCCATACCAATTCCACACAGCTGACTCGCTCTTGTCCTATTTAACCAAGAAATTATCGCCTTCTTTTGCAAACGCCATGTTTGTTTACACTGGTGTGAGTGGGAACTGGGGAGCGCTCCTTGGGGAAGGGGAGCCTACGGTGGCCCGGAGGTGCGAGACTTGATAGAGAGGAAAATCGATTTGAAGATTAAATTCTTTATTAAATCGTCATAATCCGATTACGATTTAAAATTGATTAATCGTACAGCCCTACTTTGGAGCATTTAATTTATCTCTGTTTCATTTCTGATCAGTCCTCCCCTGAATGTTGTCTTCAGTATTATTGAACTGCTTTGTTATTTACAGTGTTAACTCACTGAATAACTAAGCTGTAGACTCCCTCAGTCAACGTGGCAGCATCACGGAAGTCAACAGTAAAATGAGCAACAGAGCCGAGCGGGAGCTCAGCCAATTCTTAAGAGACAGCTTTGTCACCTACAAACAAGGGCATCCTTGGCATACCGACCATACTGGAAATGTCTGTATGCACAATCTCACACACACACACACACACACACACACACACACACACACACACACACACACACACACACACACACACACACACACGTAATGTGTACACAGAAAATATGTGCAGGCTTCAATAACATTTGCACATACACAAACACATATTCCAAGTGCCATGCTGATAAGGTTTCTGTCTTGACTCCACCCCAGCCAAACAAAACATCATCTGACAACAGCTCGGTAACAAAGTCATTGACTCCTGTGGCTTCCTTCTATTCAAAATAAACATAATTCCACTCGACAAAAGCTGCTGGAGAAAACCCCGACATGAAGATCAGCTGCAGCTGAAAGTCACACTATCATATGACTGACTGTGTCTCATTTCTCCCGTGGGTTTTTCCAAAATCTCTTCCCCATCTTGTTCTCCAATACATGCCTCCTTCAAAGCAGAAATACCTCAAAAAACTTTTCTATTCCTCTTTTATGTGTCAGAGTTCTCACACAGCACAGCGCCAATGACTCCGCACATCATGACTACAATGTTTAGTCACGATTTTTCTTTTCTTGGCTGTCTGGTCACGACTGAAACTAACTTTTTTCTTTTTCAGATCTATTCTACGAATCTCTCGATCATAAGTGCAGCAGTGGGAGAGATATGAAACATTTCAGTTTGTATATATTTGTATGTATAATATGCACATTAGAGTACAGATATAAAGAAAGAGAACATGGAGCAGGAGAGACTGCAGACAGTTGTGATATTAATGCCAGAATACACTTGGAGCTCTGTATCATCCTCTTAGACTTGATTGAGCCTGACAGGAAGCTGACAGACCAATCAGGGAGTTTGGAGACAATATGATGAGTCACAGCCCCCAGAAACTTACAGATCTTTGCAATAAAGTTTTCACCATCTGGGACAAGAATCTTAACTTGACGCAACTTTAAAGTTTCAAAGTAAAAAACATGAATTTCTTGTAATAACCTTGAAAATAAGGTCCTCTTGTTAAGGAAAGATGTCACCAGATTCACTTGATTCTAATTTGTGTAAAATTCAGGGCTGAGACATCGATCAATAATAGGGTCAGGTAGGGCTAGGCGATACAACGATTATGATATCTGTCAAAAATTAATTTCCATCAATATCAATACGAAACATGGTTAACATGCTTTTCGATAGCCATATTTTGGTAGACTATACGTAAAGCCAATGAAAAGGGAAGTTGTTCAAGGTCACGCCGAGCTGAGCCAATCATGTGCTGAACTAGAACCAAGTAGCAAACAACTGCGTAGTAGCAGGCTGCAGCTACACGCAACCATAGCACTTTAACACGTGAAGCCGACAGCACTGTTGGTGAAAAATAAAGATAATGAGTGCTACCCCTGCAGAAATACAGATGAAGGTTCAGCAGATGACGACATCCATATCGGTCAGGCCTTTTTGGTAAGCCACACAAAAAAAATTGGCCGCATTGCAGTCATGAGTTGAAAGTAGTCTGCCAGCGCAAGACCATGTCACTTCTTTAAAATCCAAGCTCAAAAACTACAGCCATCAACACGATAAACACTTGATAACTGACTGACAAATGGCTGAAATCTATATCCACTAGTAGACTAAGAAATATCAACTCTAATAGAAGGTGTAAAGTGACTATAATGTGCTGGTAGTAAGTGGATTGGGAGGATCATTACTGCCTTTTCATTTTCAGAAGCCAGAGAAAATAAGGGGAGAAAAAAATAATTCAATCCTGACGAAAGAAATACGGACCTGAATGTGAAGCTCTTTGTCAAATTCACCTCAAAAGTCTGAAAAGCTTCCTGACATCACCACACATGATTCGCTCTGCCCTAGCCATGACTGATAAAGGGCAGCGGGCCTTGCACAAGAAGAATTACCTAACTTGTCCGTCAACGTGCGAATAAACTGGAGTTACTCTTTGTCTTTCCAACAAATGCATCTATCCTTAACAACCTTCATTTATCCAGAGAGCAGGTTACACCCCCATAGAGAAAAAGTAATGACCAATGATGGAAAGTCTGAATGCAGAACTTTGAGGGGAAGAAAGCATGCTATGTTACACAATGAACTCCAAAGGGGTCAAATGCTAAAGGGTTCAGAAAAACAAATCTGCGTCAGTGAACCATATGATCAAGGGTCAGCCAGGCACGCAGCCGGCAACACACTTTTTCATCTACTGTCTAGTGTCTGCTGTGGCTCCTGAAATTCAATACCTACTTTTATTATCTGATCAGCCAAAGCGCGGGGTTGGACGTCTGCCATGCTGGCTGATGAAACGGCCAAACTCCCCAGCTGTAGCCAAAAATTCTAACCAGCATTTTGGCTTGTGTAGATTTCCCACAGTGACTGAAAGAAGGCACAAACTGCGACAGGGATGACATGGTAAAAGGAGAACACACCCAGCGAGCACTCTCTCCCTCAAAACAAATATCAACACAGGGATGTAGGCCAGACTATGTAGACTATGTCCTCATATCCGCCTCTGTATCTTATGTGGACTTAAGCTGTTGCTCCAGGTCAAATAAATTAAACATATGAAGACAGGGGAAGAGGTCTGCATCACCGGTGAGCTAGCACGGGCAAATGCACAGACGTGGTTTGCACTCTAAGCTCTGAGAGTGCAAAGTTTGCTGTTTCTGCTTCAACATGGCAGTCATTACTCTTTCTTGTATCATTTTCCTGACTGTAGTTACAACCACTGTTCTCGGTGTAATCTAATCAGATTGTTTCAGGGGAATAGGGATTCATTTCGTGGCTGAGATGGACTCATGTATGGCGAACACAAGGACAGGACGGCGCTGTGCTGTTGCTAAGCGTTAGCCTGGAGAGGTTAGATGGTGATTAATCATCAGATTTCTGCTTCCTTCTCTCTCTCAACAACTGGTCAGCTGACCAGCGCAGTACTCATCCCCGACAGATTGCAGGGTGTGTGCAAATAAACACACACACACACAGTTGTGGTCGCCTGTCACATCCAGGGACAAACACACACACACACACACGCACACAAAGATATGCCGCAAGCGAGACACACACAATTTACTGTGTAGTCCACGTCTGTGTATCTATGTTAGCTTGCCCACGCTAACCCAAGGCCATAGGTATAAACATAGCAGACAAGGCTTGACATACACTCATATTTGCAGTCAATGGTGAAATGCAGCCCATCGCCTCTGGATAAATGACAAAAATAAAAATAAGCATGACGCAGTGCGGTTTGAGCCTAAAAGCGAGACACACCCTTTTTCACCATGGCTGTCAATGAAAAAAGGCCAGCATGATTGATTGATTTGCATTATCTGCCCGGCCTTGTTGCTATTTCTGACCCTGAATCAGCAATTGTGTTCGGGAGTCATGCAGGTACGCTTTGAAAAATAGTGAGTTTGAAGAACAGCAGCATTTGCACCATGGATGAGATGACAATGCACAGATTAAATAAAAAAAATGGGAGGATACAGCCTCCTTCATTTAGAGTACTTATTTTATTTCTCACAAAAATAGCTTGTCTGTTTGTTGCATTATGACTTCACAGTATTTGGATCTAGGGCTGGGCAATAAACCAAAAATTTACCGATACTGAAATTTACGACAACAACCAACATCATTTTGTCAATATATTTGGTGTCAAAAAAGCAAATAAATAAAAGTTGGTTTTGGATGTGTGTAGGTAGGCTATGGTCTCATGTCCTACGACAGAGACGTGACTCCACCCCATCCAGTCCGGAACAAAGAGGGAAAGACAGGTGAGGAGATGGAGGATGGTCCAAAAGTTGTAGTTAATGTGGGAGGGGGTGAGCCGCTTGTGGAGTAGTTATCGTCCATTTATCGTTATCGAGGTGAACTGCTCAACATATCGTGATATTGGTTTGAGGCTGTATCGCCTAGCCCTATTTGGATCATTGACTGATCATGTGTTGTAGTACTTTTCCTGGTATAACTGCCTGCTGACGTAGCCAAAGCTTCCCACTGAGCAATAGACGGCTAATAGACGGCTAACAGACATCTATTTTTTTTAGACCTTATTTCAACCGTCTTGATTCTGTATATTTTTAGCTGGAATTTAGACGTTGCACTTTAACCCATTATTCAATAGCTATTTATTTCAAAAAGCAACTGTGAGTTGCATAACTGATCTCCAAGTACTTAAACAAAATAATTATGTTGCCGTTGAGCAAAATACTGTGTAGTATAGATATAGCCCAGATTTAGACTTGGTCTCAACTTGGTTTAAATTTAGACGTCTAAATAACTTTCATTTTTAGACCTGTGGTAGCCCGGTTTTAGACCAGTCGTCTAGGCTACATTTAGACGTCTATTAGACCTTTTTTAGACCAAAAAATGCTCAGTGGGTTCTTAGTAGTTACAATACAAACTTCAGTTAAAGTGCATCAATAGTAAGTCTCTTATACCCTGCACTGCTGATATCATATTGAAAGAAGAAGCAGTCAAAGGCACAGAGTCGGAGATGTGCTAAAAGAGAAGTGAGATGCACCAAGTGGCTTTTTGAGGGGGATGTTAACATCCAGAGTAGTAGTGTCACGACTCATCAGATGCCACTGGGTTGTGTTGCCCTTTACCGGAGTCTGTTCAACCACTAAAAAACGAAGTTCAGCTGCATTCAGAGCCAAGACAGCTGTGAACCAACAGAACTTTGTCGCCTACAGTCGAGCTACACGATATATCAACTGTGAGGTACATGAGCAACAACAGAGACAACACCAAAACATGTCAGGCTGTCATCAGTTACTCTTTTTTTAATGTATAAAATGCAATTAAAATCTACAGTATCTAACATCACCTCAACACTGCTTCTCACTGAGCCCTGTACATGCAGAATCTGAGTGACAAATGACTTTCAAATGCTAATATTCACACAATCCTGCTGCTTTCACAGACACAAAAATGCTCTGTTAGTCAAGACAGATTTTAGGGTTGAAACCCAGATGCTCTTTTATGTCGTGGGCACACACAGAAACCACTAATAGGACCTCAGAATGTTAACTTTTAATGCCTTGCACATGAACAGTGTGGTCATAAAATAACATGCAGAAGAAGGCCGAGGATTGGTGATGCGGAAAAATTTATAAAAAAACATAATTTGAACCTTGTCAGAAATTATTGTTGAAATATGAGGGAGTTCATTGCTTTTATATGTTAAACCTTAACTCTAACTTTCTGTGCAGGTGTCAGTGCTGCTGTCAAAGGGCTGGACCCAAGTAAATAAAAGTAACAGGAGGATATGACACGACAGCAAAAAACAGACTTAAAGATTTATACTTGTTAAAGTAAAATCATACTCCATTAAGTTTTTTAAGTACATCAAAAACACATTTATCTGATACAAACTCCTGCACTTATGTTGAGATTTCATCATTACAGGAATACAAACTTTCACTAGAAATACACTATAAAAATAGGCGTGTGCAAACACAGGTATTGTTTGACACATAAAGAACAGATGACTGACATGGAAGCTGAGAGCTTAAGCTTATAGATTCTTCATTGTAAGTTTATCTTTCACACTTTCAATACTGAACAATGTAACCACATATCAAATACTTTTGTTAGAATGTGTAGGGCTACCACTCATATCATAGAATAATTTAATCTGAAGTAGGGTTGTCCCTGTACAACATTTTTACTTCCGATATGATACCGATATTGTAGCCTTCAATACTGGTCGATACCGATATTGACCCCATACTGGCACAAACTTATTGTATGGCAAGTTTTGCACTCAGCTGCAACATCGTTTTTTGACTTTAACGAAAAACACTGCCACACGGCCGATCACTCCGACTCCTTGCTACTTTGTTAGTACCTTAGTACACACTGCTAGATAGAGGTGCCGAATGGAATGGGTCTGGAATGGACTGCTTATATCGGAGATTTTAGATGCAGGCCAATATAATCCAATATTCATTTTTTGCCGATATGGGACTGATATCAATATCGTATCGGGACACCCCTAATCTGGAGGTCGAATAGCAGGTTTAGCTTCGGCTACACCAGCCACAGCTGTGTCTTGGCTTCGTTATTCTAGATTTAGTCACCAACACTAATCTGTCACACTGCAGTGAAAGGGCGCTAATGGGCATCTATACCATCCTTATTAAGCAAAACCTTTTGGAACTGCATCAAATTAACTGCTGAGGGAAATAAGGGTTGGAACAGCAGAACTGGCCCAGATTTGACACAACATATGCATCCCAGCCTACATGGTGTTTAATCGTATGCGCCACAAAGCAGACAGGACAGCCTTCTTCAGATTCAGATGACGTTTAGCGAAGAAAGGAATAATTGAAGACAGCATGCTGGGGGTGATTAATTCGAGCATTAATCTTCCATGTCACTGGCCTGTTCATGAAAAATGGAAGTTATGGGATGGTGAAGGATTGTGGAACGCAACAGGGTAAGGAACATGAAGATACATGGGTGCAGAATGAGATCTTACAGGGTACAGCTATTTTCCCCCTAATCCAGTTTGCATTCAATAGTGGGAAAAATGCTGTTTTCTTCACATTTTTGTGCTTTAATTCACATGCTGGAGACAACAGGGAGAGAGGGGAAGCCTTACGCAGTGACAGGAAGGGGAAAATGGCAGATGAAAGAGGGGGATGATGGAGAGAGGGAAAGCGAGCGGTGAGGTAAGGTAAAGTCAAAAGGAGAAGAAAGGAGGGCAGGAAAGGGAAGCAGGTTGAGCTTTGATGCTTGAGATTATGTTTCTTCCTGGTCAAAGTCTTTCAAAGGCTTGCTATGACATTAAATACCCCCAACTGTCGAAAACAACCGATTACCGAGAGTGGGCTGAATGGCGAGTATGTAACAGGGCTGACAGAAGTAGTGTGGTCAGGTCCAGCAGTATTTGCACTACTTGGGGATTAGACCTTTATTGTATGCAATGAGCTGGGCTAAATACAGCATGACACCTCCACATAGACTCTGCTTTGTCTTCTTCCTTTGTTAAGACACATGTGCAAGAGACATAGGCCAGGGACTAATTAGGGCTCATGCACACACGAGTATGTGCGCACACGTACACATGCACACAAGCTCTTTTTCTTCCTGTTTCAGAGCTTCTGTCAAGGGTGTGAGAAGGGCACAATGAGGCTGTATGAGCAGCAGAGTTATGCGCTTGCCAGCACCGCTCAGTCCGCTCATTAGTCTAAAAACATTTCTCTCATTTAGCACTAAAGTCACAAGGACCATGGGTAATTGCTAAAACCTCAGGCTTAACGGTCTTGAGTGTTTGTTTGTAGACACGCAGGCATCTAAGAGCACATGCATGCACAAGTCATGAACGTGAGAGGGAAGCTGAGCAAATAAGAAAGAGGCTTTTTGTTTCAAAGTGAACTCGTCCACATTATAGGAGTCGAGCATAAGTTCACAGCGAGGTTTCTTACCTTCTCCAACTTTTAAAGCAGGTACAACTGAGAAAACAGGTGCTCAACATCTGACTCTCTTTCATAACGCACCCTCATATACCAGCATTTAAAGGGCTGCAGGATACATAAGCTACAACAACAGTAAGAGGGGGGGAGCTGTAACCAACAGTTACCCAAGTAGCTTACTGAGACAATATCCTGTCCTGGCTCACTTGCCTTCAGGCCCTGCAGGCCACCGGCCAAATTTACCAATCCGTATCAGGGCAGTACACCTGACACAGCAGCAGGTGAGAACTGACAAAACAAGGAGAGAGGGGAAACTGCAGGGCTCTACCCCCACTGCTCTACTTTTCTCCCACAGTCCAAGACAAGAAGGTTTGGTTTATTTATTGCTCTAAACTGCAGTAGGTCCCGATCAGCTTCTCTGGTCTCCTGTTCCAATCCAGTTTTCAACACTGAGTATCTACCACTGCCTTGATAACAGCGTTGACCACTTTTTCAGTCCTTGTTTGTTTACATGACAAACTATTTATGCTTGACTTGCCTGTCTTTAAATCTAAGATCCGACAATGTCACAACTGAGTACGGTGACTCAGTTTCAATCCGGGCCAAGCGTCAGTCCGCAGCCTTGTAGTGTGCTTTTCATGGTCTTGATTCCCTGGTCCGCGGTCTGTTCTCGATTAAGGACCATCTGGGTGTGGAGTCACATCAACTGTAGCTGCACTCGCAACCTGCATCACCAAGGGAGGTGATGCACTAGAGTGATGAAACCCCAACTGCCTTCTCCATCAGTACCCACACTATATTAATTTGCTCCAATCAGAGAGCTGAGATCCGGATAGAGACACCCAAGTAGTTCCTTTAGACTGGTCTTCTTCATAATGCATCCCATTAACTAACACATTTCAAGATCTTGACTAAATGAAAGAAAACAAATAAAACGTCATTTCTTGCTTTTCTAAATGACAAATTTCTGTTTGGAGGCTGAGGACCAGCTGACCAGTGTATTAGCGGTTAGCAGCAGTGTGCCTGGCCTGGAGCCCAACCTAAATACTAAAGCTGTTGGAATAAAGCAGGGGCTCTGCCTGCTGCAGCAAAAGCCACAGTACTGAAACAATTTCTCCCTTTTCATGTTGTGGTGCTTTGAAAAAAAACTTCAAATGAAATATACGCTGAAAATATTTTTGCCCTGCTGTCAAATTGCATCACCTCATTTTCTCATATGAATGTCACCCTGAGGCAAATAAACCACTTTCTATTACCTTGTGCAGACTGGGTCCAGGTATTAGAAAATGGCCGGTGTATTATCTGACCAACACATATCATTTCACTGGATGTACCTTTTCTACAGACAAGAAACTGAGTCCAAATTCTACTAAACTGTGACTTTATGGGAGCCAACCATCTGCTTTGTCTCTGTGGAGTTGACTGTTGCAGTATCATCTAATACTTACGTGTTTGGAGACATGGACACTATGATAATCTAACTTTGGTTTTATACTGATAGAACCGTGGGGACTCTACAACAAAAGCTTGCAGTCCTCCATTTGTTGTGTCAGTGCTAAAATGGGAACTATGTGAAGCAGTTGGAGATGGCTTATATAGAAACATTGTGACAACAGTTCCTCATGGGGTCCTTTTAGTTCACAACAACAATGCTATTTTAATTACCAAACCTTGGGAGGGCTTGTCCACTTGTGTGAGGCAACATGTGTCATCAGTCATCTGATTTTGACTGGCACTGACAAGCATCTAACATGTGCCATTGTCTAACAACCAAAACAAACTATGGGTTGAGTGGTTTGGTCAGAAGAAGTGAGGAAGGCAACACCATAGGAATTAAAGTCCCACTCCGATCATTTTTTTTTACTACTTAAAGTGTTCTCAGTGGTTTTCAAATTGAGATGATGAAGTTTTTAGCCTATATCACGTTACCTGTGTCATTTTCAAGGGCTTTTTGCTGCATTCAAGTTACCGTGGAAGTCAGTAGTCCGAGCTGAAAATGACGTCACACCCAAGTTCCCAGTGTTTCAGTCACAAAGTCGGAAAAAAGCTAAATCTGAGGTGGACACAAGATAGCTACATCTACGAAATTCATTTTAGCGCTCGCCTTGTGTAAGAAAGCCCTAAAATAACTTTGGTAGATGCAGCCATCTTGTTTCAGGCCTCCAATTTCGCTTTTTTTTCGACTTGGTAACTTACTCGCTGGGAACTCAGGTGTGACATCATTTTCAGCTTCGACATCTGACTTCCGAGGAAACTCTGATGCAGTATTTCTTCTGCAGAGCTCCAATAGCTCATTAGCACTTCACCTCTGAGTTGTGGGCTGAGACAGCTCTGCTCATTCCTCTTCACGTTAGCTTGTAGCCTAACATTGCCAGTGTAGTAGAAGTGGCAGTAACATTGGAGCTATTCAGCTCTCGGACATGATGAAAGTTAATGTCATAATTAGCTTTCTCACGAGCATAGCAATCTGCTGACACGCTTGTTTCACAATCGTCCTCTCTGCTTCTTCAAGTCTGGCCTGCATAGCAGGGCTATTGGGGCGGAGCTTGCAGTTGTGACATAGCAAATCTCACTGTATCTGAACCTGCCGTTTGGGTCTGCTGGAGGTTCACAGTGACTGGAAAGCAAAAATACTCATTTCTCACTAACTTTTCTCAGAAAAGTGCCGTATGAACATGTAACAAGAAAAACATGATTTTCATCGCAGCTGGGCTTTAATGAAAAGACAATACTGATCCAATTCTTTAAAGGCTACATGCTGTTTAGATTATATGTAGCTCATAATTTGTTGCATTCTTACAGAAGGAAACAAGCACCTTAGTAAGAAGAAAAAAACCTCCTTTCCAAATGGTGTATGGTTGCATTGTGCAACATCAGGCGATACTTAGAAAGGACATTAATCCAGGCATCTGTTGGTCTTGTGATTATTGGCAAAACAATGGCTTTTTAGGGACACGAAGCAAGGCACAAACAAGTCTGTTCTATTTGAAAATCATCAACACATGCATAACTGTGACTCCAAACTCTAGAGATACAGAAGACGACCGAGACACTCCACATACAGTCCTACTACTGATGAGTTTAAGTGTACTCTTATCTTAACTGCCAATTGCATGCACTTCTAATCTAGACCTGTACATTTATTCTAGTAGATAATAATCAATTAACACGCACCACAGCTAAAGCCAGGCAGTGCCCATCCTCCATCTGCTTTAGCAGTATCAAGAGGGCAAGAGGACAGCACTGCTTTAGCTGATCTAATTCAACCACGAGAAAGAGCAGCTGCCTTAACTCTACCAATAACTGAAAGGTAGATTTCACGTTACAGAACATTTTGCCAATAAATCTAGCAGCTAATTCTATGTATTCACTTTATTAGTATTTGTCCTCATTTAGTATTGCTTGAGAAGTTATGAATTTCTACTCAAGTAAGCTGCTTGTAAAAGCTGAATTTACCATTATATGATTCCACAATATTATGGATTAGGATAAGACCCTAATGATTAAGATCTGGCCTGAATTGAACCTGAACCCGTGACTATGTACAATAATAGGGCTGTTAGCTAATGGTATATGTAACTGCTCAAAGGAAAGCTTCACTGCTTATACAACAGAAGAAAAGAGAGACATGTTCAGACATGTCGGAACAACTTCTTTACAGATTGCCCTTTTTTACACTGTGAGTCATCACTGACATAGAGTGCAAAGATAACGTTAAATGTGAAAAGGTCACATGAAGCATTGCCTTTAAATGTAGAATTGAGTTAATTTGATTGTCGTAAGGAAGTCACCAAACTAAACTTCTTTGACTTGCCCCATACATACACATCACGGTGTAGCTGAAGGCAGCCACGCGTCAAAAACCGACCATAAGTCAATTTGACAAACCAAGAAGAGGATCTAATCCAAAGGTAAAAAGGTGGAGGATATGTAAAGCATTTCAAAAAGCCTTTCATCAGGTCACCGGGCCTGAAGAGCCTACAGCACCCCCCTCCTCTTTGTAACAGCCAACCCAATCAATCATGAGGTAGATCAATAAAATGAATTTATCTCTGTGCTCCTTTTACCCCTCTACATCAATCCTATCATTTGATTTTTTTTTTTTTTACATGTGATAACACAATTATTTGTGTCATCTTCATTTGGTGTGGACCCGACTGTGAAAATGACACCATGAATAGGCTGGCATTTTGAAAACCAGTAGCTAGGCTTTGGCCGCCGCGACCTGGGTGATTAATAAAGCGGTAATCCTGAAAAATCATTAGGCATTAGACTCGGGCCATCAATTCATACTATTACCCCCGTGTCCTTTTTTTTTTGCTCTTGGCCAGTGTGAAATAAATCCCATGATGACTTCCCTTTCACGGATGCATCTAGACTCTAATTCACATCTTAACCTCTGTCAGTCTTCATCCATTCCTCTGATCGCTCTCATAGCACTCTCTCTTTTTCTCTGTTTGTAGCCATCCTTTCATTTCCATATCCCTTTCACCATCTTTTTTTCAGCCATCTACGACGCCTTTATCCCCACTACCCAAACCCCCTGCCTCAGCTCGCGTATGTGGCACACACCACTGCAGTGACAGAGCCACATTAGTCATCATCAGGGACACACAGCTGTGGAACTACAGAGCCCAAGGACTGATTTCTGAGCTAACACAGTACCAAATGCATCATGTAAATCCTTGCCCTTCCCCCACTTCTAAAAATAGAAGCGATACCACGTACTGTAATAAAATTAACAGCTTACATGAATGACACCCTGATGTTTAATCATTCAGGCAGCGGGCGACCGCTGCCGCATGAGATAACAAAAGCATGAAAACAGAGCGCACACAAAAAAAAATACAGTTTTGGTTAATATAAAGGTGCATGAATTCTTGAACAATCATACAATGAATGATCTCAGGTGAGCTAACCTGGAAGGGGAAGATGTTATCACTGCGTCCGACACCATCATCCATCCAGGACTTCGGGTTGAAGCCCGCAGGACTGTTTCGAGGGTACTTCTGGGACGCCACATGGTTGTTAGGGAAGGTCTTCTTCAGTGGGGAGATAGAGTTGATGGGGGTCATTCCACCATTCAGCCCTCGGCGATAATCTCTGCCCTGAGATCCTCCCCAGCCGCCGCCACCGCTGCCATATCCTCCTCCGGGACTCCACGAGGTGGAGGAGCCGGGGGAAGGAGAGGGACTCTGGTAGCTGGCCGGACCCCAAGGGGACGGGGGCTTGTTCAGGCTGTTAGACAAATGCGGCAACTGGCTGAAAGCAGGATTTCTGTGCGGAAACGGCGGTGGAGGGTGTGGGGAGGCAGGGGAGCGCCGATGCTGCTGGTGTTGGTTGTGGGGATGCTGGAAATGGGGGTGTGGTGGGGGAGCAGGGTGGTGTTGGGACAAGGCTGCTGCCGGTCCAATCTGGGGGGAGAAATTCCCACCAAAGCCTGGACTGACATGGTGTGAGAAGTTCTGGAATAGCAGGGGCCCATTGTTAGCTGAGGCCGGGTTGAAGAAGCTGACATCCTCATTTATGATGGTTGATGGCGCCGGTGGGATGGCGGCTGACCAGTTGTTGAAGCCAGTAAGTGATGAAGAGGTTGTACTGGACTGGACAGGACCAGTTCCCCCGAGACCAGAAGTCTCCTGGTAATCAAAACCTGTCAGGACAGGGGACTCGAGGCGTAGCTGCTTCTCCTTCCCGTTACTTCCTTCAGACACACTGCTGTCCGTCTTGACTTCCTCTGACCGGGCTTTTTCCAGTTCTGAAATGATCCCACCGCCACTTCCACCCTCCTGGTGACTCCCAGGGGACAACTGCTGCTGCTTTTCTTGCGTTTCTTGCATTTCCTGTTGCTGCTGTGCTTTGGGCTTCTCCGGGCCCCCCAAGATTTCGTCTTGCACGCTGTTGTGGGTGGCAGAGGCAGGGAAAAGCCAGGGAGAGCCTCCTGTGGTGCCATTCCCCGCGGCTGTGGTGCTGTTTATGAAAGCAGCAGGGCTCTGCGACACATTTTGGTGGTGGTGTGGGGGCTGCAGATGCGGGTGGATTCGGACCGGGAATGCAGACTTGTTGCCAGTGTTGTTTTGAACTAGGACTCCGAACCCGTAATCCCCCATTTGTTTTCTCCCCCCACACACAAATGCTATCCCGTGATCGTTTGGTCCTATTGAGAGAAGAACACACAGGATGGCATGCACTGAGTTAGCATTCAGCACCTCTCTTTGGAGTAGGGGGAGAGTGGGTTAAGATGAGCCATTTTTCATATTTCGGATCACTACATTAAATATGACTTTATTAGTCCTCTAATCTAAAATGGTGGACTTTAATGTTAGAATTTAACCTCATGTTGTCGCTCGCAGATACCACAATTGGTGTACAAAACTAATTTGAAATTATCTTTTTAGGTCTGAACACAATTCTAATAAAGCTTATGACAGACTAAATTCACTTGCAAGACTGAAAAATGTTTTTTTTGGTAAATAAATGTCTAACCCCTTCACCCATGTGTTTCTAACCTTCACAGACTTCATGAATTGATGCCCATCTCCTAAATATTTGGTCACATGATAATTTCTTTGATGATTACAAAGCAACAGAGGGTGGCTCAACTTACCCCACTCTTCCCTATAGATCAAGTGATTTAGAAACAACTAGACCATGATTATTGATATTTTCCAATGACAGTTTCTCCCTCTCTCTCTCTGCTCCCTGAGAGAATCCTCAAACATATGATTATCCCACAATATCGTCATGAATGAGCTCATTCTTACGCCGAACAATATTCCCTTATAACCCTGGTTACTCGCGGTTGAAAAGTCTCCAACCAGTTAAGGTTACATCTTTAGCTAATTATAACCCCGTGACGTTGACAGCTTGTAAAGCTACAGCTGAGCTGCTGGCAGCTTCAAATACCGCTTGTGTCAAGCCGACACATTCTCTATTTGGACATGTTTTACTCCAGCAAGTAAAAAAACCGTGACACACGATTAAATAAGCTGAATATGACCGTGTATAGAGCGGCTACATACTCGCAAATGTTAAATATAGCAACCGTTGATATCTCGACCTTGTTTGACAGCTGTCAGGACTCTATAGAGAGTCCATCTTCAAAAACGTACAGCAGGAGAGTTAAACGTTGGTTTTGCTACACCCAGTCAATGATATCTCATGTAATTTGCTCTGTAATACATTTTTACACATTAGGAAACAGTCGTTTAAAGCCCCTGGACGCGCTAGCTCTGCCCGGTGTTGTGTCGTAGAATGCACCCCTGCCGAATGCACCCCCTGACGGGAGCGCGGCTGTTAAAGTACCTAACAAGGCGATATAATCCAAGTTTTTCTTACCGTTGGGTGGATTTAAAAGCGTGTACCTTTGATAATTTCATTCAGACTATTCAGATAAACCGAAAACAACACCCCTCTGATACGAAAATATAATGTCCTCTACCTTGACTGCTAACTGTACAGTTTAAATACCCATGTACGCCTCTATATGTGCATTTTTGAGACACATAAGAACAGAACTCAAGTTTGCTTCTCATTTCACATGTTGTCACGATTTAATAATCGTGTTTTCTTCAATATGAGATCATTTTCTTCCACTTTTAAGAAGCTAACGAGCGGATAGGATGCAGGAGACGCAGGGGTGCGTTCGGCAGGGGTGCAATCTACGGCGCAACACCGGCTAACATTCCCAACCGTTGCTAACGCTAGCTAACTAACCGTTAGCAGCGAACGCTAGCTAGCTGGACAGGGGTGAAAAACTAGAGCGAATTAAAATCCTCGTCACCTTCTGATCACCGCTTTCGACCTCGGCGATGTCTCAGTGGAGATCCTCCCCTCGGGTGGAGAAAAGGTGGTGTCCTTGAAGAAGTCTGGTGAAGCTTTTTTTCAGAGGAGGTTGAAGAGCTGACTCGTCCAGTGCAGTCGGTCAGCTCGTTTTTTTCTCTCTCTCTTCTCCTGACGTGTCCTGCCTGCTCAATGACACAGCTCTCTCTCTCTATCTGCTGCTTTAATCTGGACTCTTTAATTTCACCGTGGCAGTGGGTTAAATATGCTCAGCCGCGGTTCTCTCACAAGTCTTATTAGATCGGTTTCATTGTTCGCTCGGTTTTCAGGTGATTTTCTCGCTTTCCTTACAGAGCTAGCCGATTCCTGTGCTTGCTTTCTTGGCTGCCCCTCTCTCCTGGAACCGACCGTGGCCGAATGACAGCGAGAGATCAGCCGAGACACACTTCCGCTTATAGCCCCGCCCATCTCATGGTGGCCACGCCTTCTGAGAACCACACCTCGGCGCGCTATTGGTCAGAGGACCGGCGAGCCGTGCCCCGTTTCTACAACAGTGAACGTCCACGCACCAATTATACACACATGTCACAGTGGAGTACAGCCCACTGAGGTCAGTGATGATGGAAAAAAAAGAGAAATCCTCCCAGCAGCTCGGTCCTCCTGTTCCTTCACGATGCAGCCGGTATCAGGTCGTGAGAAAACTCAGATACCCAACCCCCCTCCTCCTTCTTTTCAGGAAAAACAGCATCCTGATTCATCCAGGACAGGATTATTATTATATTCAGGGTTTGATTGTAACTAAAATTTAAAAGTGTTACCTTTTTTTGTTTAATACAAATGCAAAAAATATTTTTGTCAACACTTAAACATGAAGGTGACATACATTTAAAACACATCTGAAGAGAATTTGGCCATGTTTAACAGAAATTTGACGATGAATTTATTCTATACATGACAATAAGATTAGACTTTTCCGACAGTTACAACACAAGCAATACATTTAAAGGGATATTCCTTGCTTCTCTGGTTATACCAACTTTAGTAACGACCGCAGAGAGCAATACAGAGCGGTCTGACATGAAGAAATGATCATAAATGTTCTTACTTAAGCTGCATCACCACCCTGATGGATGCAGCAGTCTGTAATGGACTGGCCTGAGGTCTCGCTACAAACAAGCAGCTGCTGGAGGAGAGTAGGTGAGTTGTGTTTAGTCCCTTTGCTAAAGAAATTAGGCAAAGTTAAAAAGATGTTTGATGGCTAGTACTATGGCTAGGACCCTATATGTACTGTTGATGAAGTTAGGTGCTATTCTGAGCATTACTTGTGGCTATAGAGTGGCTTTTTGGTTGAGGTTTGTTTATGGCTCCTCAGACCGCTGTGTATTGCTAGCGTGTGGTTGTTACTAAAGTTGGTATAACTAGAGAAGCAAGCGGTTGACAACATTCATCTCTTGAGGGGTTGTCTACCTCAGTGTTGAGGTGTATTTGACCCTAAATTAATTTTACGCCAGAATATCCCTTTAAGCAGCTGTCATACTATTATATGGTGGCATTTATAACTAGAATTAATTCAAACATTTATAGGTTTCTATGAAGTGTTGTCATTGGCTCGCCTTTTTTTTTTTTTTTTTTTTTTTTTTTTTGCTTCTTTGAGGTCCTCAATTGGAAAAACGCCCATTAGAGACAAGAAGGGTTATTTTATACATTTTTCTGACAAGCTGGTGGGGGGCAGATGGCAGATGATCTGATGAACTGCAAATTGAACAGCCTTTGTTTACCCTTTTAATGGTAAAGATTTCCAATAAGGGTCAGAAGAAAGCTGGGTGAGATTCTTTGTGAGGAAACACACATGTACGGGACAAAATCAGCCAAAAGAGGAGTGGTATATGACAAAATTGGTGTGTTCCTTCTTATTAAACCTCGCCTGTTAGATAAAGTGGGAATGCCACCTTTCAAAGAACAATACCAAGAGTGCCAGACAAAAATTAGCCTAGCTTTTGAATAAGGATAAGCAGCAATGTGAAACAGCTTTTCTGGCTGTGTCCCAAGGTAAAAACGAACCTTCCACTTAAAAATTAACATGATAAATTTCTTTTGTTTCATGCTCACAAAGACCTAACTACAGTTACATAATGGATTACTTTGGTGTAGTGACCTCTAAAAGGCTTTTGGTCTGTATGTGGTTGGCAAAAATCCTGCTCTGATAATATAGATTCACTACTTGAGCCCAGAGGTGCTCAGAGGGCCCCTTTTTATTTTTGGATACAGCCAAGCATGTTGTCTCCCGCAGCTTTTACTCCTCATTCGATGCTAAATTAACTCCCTGGTAGTTGGAGTTTCATATTAGATCTTATTATCTGCCTCATCTATCTGATGTTGAACTGTTCCTTTAAATATCAACTCTGAAACTTCTTAATGCAGGGACAACTTTGAGGTTTATATTCTCATCTCTCCCGGTTTCTGCGCAGTGTGTCAGACTATTTTCATCCTATTTAAGAGACTGCTTCTCTCTCCTCTGCCAGATGTCTAACCACCTCGCCCTTTTCCCTTCTCCCACCCACACCATTCCCCATGTCTCTTTATCTCTGTCCTCCTCTGTGTCCTTCCCTCCTGTACGGTCATTATCACCTCGAGGTCATCAAACAGCTTTGACTCTGTCTCTCTCACCGACCCTCAACTAGCAGCATTACATGCAGCGGCAAATGGCTATCTAATAAATCTGTCACTTCGGGTCCAGCTGGGAGAGAGTGATAAATTAGGGAATCTGTGGTGTTCTGCATTATTGAGAGTGAGCAGAATGGATGAGCAGGTGATGAGGGGCGGATGGCAGGTATTGGCAAGGTTAGGAGGTGACAGGTTTAAAGTAATGCGATTTAAAAGTAAAGATTACAGATGTCTGATAGTAACACGATTAACATTTAGCTTGCAAATTAGCACGGGCTGTCCGAATACCCTGACATGAAAGAAAATAATGGAAGTTTTCAGCCTGAAAAGTGAATTTAAGTCAGCTATTTTGACAGTTTGATGCTATCTCTTAAATGAGTAAGTGATCTGTCAGACTTCTGACAGAAAACTGTTCAAACTTATTGTCCTATCTTATGTTTCAAAGACAGGAATAAGTCATATCCTCTTATTACAGAAGGAATCACTCATGGCTGTTCCTTGTCTTGTCTCTTTGTAATATAGCACTATTTTTTGGTGCACCCTGGAAACTTAGTGGTGCCCCATATCTTTTTGCTGATTTTGTCATGTATATTTGTAAGCCGTGTATTTTTTCCACAAAAGCTCTCCAACGAATCCTTGCCATGAGGAGTGTAAAGAAAAAAAGTCTGTTTCTTTGGTATCCAGTTAGTCACTTGGTCTGACACTTTACTGAATGCAGTGCTTTCAAACACTAAAAATAACAGGAGAGAAGTAATTGTTTTCTATCTTCTTCCAGGTGGTTCTGTTCGCCTTATGTAGCTCAAGTATCACAGTTCACTTCAGCGTGTTTCAACATCAGCTGAAACCTGCTTTGATATCTGAATATTACTGGAGACAGTCACCATATCTGAAATGCTACTTAACCTCATTTTTGGTTAAGGCAAAGAGGAGGCGTTGAAACAGGCCTTTGTTATCCTTGCTGGCAGCAAATGTGTGTGTATGTGGTTTTCTGTATTTTTGCAGCAAGCCTCAAGTGGGCATTCAAGGAACTGCAGGTTTCCGCACCTCCATGTTGGCCTTATTTCTCAAGACTGAAGGCTGCTGGATGTTTAAGAAACAGTAGCCATGTTTACATGTGCAAAATTTCTTGATCCGATTAATAATTTGAGGGATCGGAAAATCTGAATCCACTGTTTATATTGGCGCGAAATCAAATAATCCAATCATGACGTGCGTATGCATGCACCAAGATTTATTCGGAAGCATTTGGACATGCGCAGAGTCGTCTAATTTCACTAAAACAATCGCTGAAGAAGAAGAGTTGTATTCACACCTGTGCTGTCACCTGTGCTCACTTCATCCAATTCAGGATTTTTCCCTCCACTCAGAATGGACCTAAGACTGAGAGTGGTTCTTTTGCTCCTAGCGTACATGATCATCAAGCAAGCCCAGCAGCACATACTGATCCTGCATTACATGAGGAGACTGTATCCAGCATGAAAGTTGTGTCAGACTCAGACCAACTTCTCTTGGATTCCACCGTGTTTACGTCTTGTCACTAGTGGCGGAAATGTGTCACGTTGACGTAGGACACACATGCGCAATCAGGCTAGTTTGCCCCGACAGAGAGTCATGATCGAAATAAGTGTTTACACGGACGCATCTCGGAATAACGATCGGCATAAACCACCCCTCTCGATCGGAATACAATTTCTTTCCAATTCAGCCGAATTGGATCAGAATCTTCTGATCGACATATTCCTATTATTTGTTCCCATGTAAACGCAGCTAGAGAAAAATCAACAATCTTGCCTCTGTGTGAACAATGAAAGCAAACAAGACAAGGGTCGAGTTGTTTCCTAAATGCAGTTCAACGAATAACTGTAATAACATTTCTACAGGTCATCTTAAATTTATATGATTTGGGATAGAAGGATGAGGAAGTTTCTGTCATTAAGCCCTACGTTTTTAGAGAGAAGACAGTGTGCAGACAGTTACATGTCCTACAAATCCAATCACTTCTAGATAAAATCAGACACATTAGATCAATGTTAGTACTCTTTATACCCAATATGTAAGAACTTTGATTACATGCTTTCAATATTTGTTATAGGTTTCATTGTCTTTGTCTTCTCTGGAATCATGAGACACTTTCAAGAGTCTTATAATAATGATTTTAAAGTCCAGCATTTTTAATTTTCCTGCGTTTCTGTCAATCTAGCTCTTGTACCATCCATTTCTATTATACACACATCGTCGCCTGTATTTGTGACCTCCATTTCCTCTCTTCATCTTTCCAACATCCTCTCTGCTCCACAAACATTCGTACTGAAGTGAAATTCTAACCATACACTGGAGGGCAAGAATCCGCAGGAGGATGAAGAAATGTTTGATTGTCCTAAATGTGCTCCAGATTTACAGTATCTCTGAATATTCCTCTCACAGCAGGGCGGATGATCAGGCAGAGAGCTTAGTACACTAAAATGGATTTCTAGGACAGAATAACCGGTCTTACTGGCCTTAGAAAGAAGACAACACCCTCTCCTTCTGCTTCCTTCTGTCTGCCCTTCACTCCACACTGACATACAGTATATATGAGGAGGAGAAATGGCATGCTGTATTTTTCTAAATTATGGATGGAGTCTATACGTCCACGGCTCAACTCAAATGTTACCAAGTTCAAAGCGACTAAGATGTGTAGTTGGGCATCTGTATGAAATAGCCAGTCCAGTGTGTGCTCTGCCATATCCAAGCCTGGATAGGTGTTATGAATAAAACATTGAATCCATTAAAAAATTAATTGCCTTTTTACCTTAGGCA